GGGTGGTAGAGGAAAGAAAAGGTTGTAGGGCTGTAAAACTTGCCCAACAAAAGCAAAGACCATACAGTCCTCACCGCTGTGACAGGTGGAAAGGGGAATAATTAAAGAGTAATTAATAGAAACAATTTAAATAAACACAATGCTGTTTATTATAGTCCTGGTATTTCTTTTCATGCCCTCCTGCTTCAGTATCCATCCTGCAAATTTTAAATTAACCAGCATTACAAGAATTTCCTGCAATGCAAGTGTTTCTTGCACATATCCTTTCTTACAGCTGCTACTGTTGGAAGAAGGTGATTTCTCCTCTTAAGGAGACCTAGCTAGTCTCAGAAATCATTTGGAGAAAAAGGGAAGACACAGCTTTGTTTTCCTAATTCTACTCTGCCTTGCCCTAGATTTATGCTGGACCTTGGAGATATCTGTTGGGGTTTATCTTTGCCCCTCAGCATGGCTTCTATTGAATAAAAAGGACAGTACCTAGGACAACATTTGTCAGTGCCTCCATGGACAGGTATGACCTATTTAAAATCAAAAGAAAAGTCTTTTTAACAGTTGTCTCTGGAAGCAATCCAGGCACTGAATGTCCTGTGTCAATGTATACATTTTTCTTTTCCCAGCTTTGGAAGTTCTCATTTTGGGAAATTATTAGGAACTAAATGGAACTAAATTATTAGGAACTAAACAAAATCCTTTGCAGTTGAAGTGTATAGTATTTTTATCTAATCAGGAATACAATGAACAGCCCAGGTTTTACCTCAGGCCTACTTTTATCTCCCAGAGCATGCAACAAAATGGGAGCAGAACGGTTTAGGCCATATTGAAAGTCTAGGTAAGGGGAAGAGCAAGACAAATGAAAGCTTTAGAAATATTAGACCATACTGAGTGGAACACTTCACATGTCTTAGTAAAGAGAGTGTTTCCTGTAGTTGTGGCTAATGATTGTCTCCATTAGGCACAAGGCCTTCATGCTGGCACAAATGAAAATGTACATGCTTCCTATCAGTTATGCTAAGCTGTGATGATATGGTAGTTCACTGAACTTTGGCATCTGAAAGAGCCAATCAAAAAGTTTACCATGACTACATATATGACCTCATCACTTGATGATTATTTTGCTACGTGCAACAGTATATATGGACAATGCCTATGAACGACACAACATCACATTATAATGCCTTGCAAGGAGAACAGAACTACCTGTTTAAGGCAATATGCTGAAAAGTTTTTAGTTGCTCCTCAAAAGGAAGGTGGGATGTGTTTCCTATGTGTCCTGCATTCACATCCTTTTACATCCTGACCAAAATTGCCTTATTAAAAAAGGTGTCTTTATGTATAAAGCAGACATATGTTGCTTAGATACTTAATCCTCATTTATATCTAACCTTCCTTTGCTGATGCCTAAACTAAGCACCTTTGGGGGTGGACGGGGAAAAAAAAGAGGTTGCAGAGCTATAAAACTGCCCAATGAAGCAACTTCTTCATTACTGGAAGTCATCCTGGCAGATGGAAGAGCCCCTAATGCTATAATTAATGGGGACAGCTCTTTAGCTCTTTTTAGGTGTAAATTGGGTTTTAATTGGATTGTTTTAAATTGTGGGCCAAAGCTGTATAATTCTTTTAATTGATTTTAAATTTTGTATTGGTATGTTTTTTATCCTTGGCTGTGCACCGCCCTGAGTCCAATAGGAGAAGGGCGGTATATAAATTGAATAAATAAATAAATAATAAATATGCTGTTTTATTTCAGTTCTGGCACCTTTTTTAATATTATCCTGCTTTGATATGCATCCTACAATTTTTAAAATAGCCAGCAACAGAAAAAAACCATTTTCAACCAAATACTAAGGCACATAAGGAAAACACAGAGACACAATGAACTTTAAAGTAGCAGCAAACCTTTACTGGTTACAATGTACGTTTCCTCCCAAACACTCATCTCCACTTATTTGATTGTATCTTTAACCTGGTATTGGGAACTGTAACTACATAACTACATAACTACATAAACAGTTTACTTTCTTGAAATCCTTTCTTCCAAAACCTTTCCACTATGCAGAGGGACGGGGGTAAAGTGCTTTTTGTAAGCAATCTCTCCTTTGCCTGATTCTTTCCTGCAGGTGGTGTAATTGCATTGTTTTCAATGTGTAGAAGAGCAAACAACTTACTGTCTTCTAATCCTTTTCTCTCCAATCTCTCTGCTCTATGGGGAGGAGGAAGAGTCAGGCAAAGGAGAGATTGCCTACAGAAACAGCTTGTTGTCCCCTTAAGAATGGAGAGATTGGAGAGAAAGGAATTTCAAAAGTACTGGAAGCTATTCACATAATGCATCTACAGCTCCCAGGCCAGGCATGAATACATTGCTTTTGATGTGTAGAAGAGGAGTTTACTCTCTTGCAATCTCTTCCTCTCCAATCTCTATACCCTGCAACAGAGGGGAAAATATATACTGACTGATCATATGACTGAGGAATGTTCTTAAATTACCTGTAAAGTTGAAGGTCACAAATAAGGACTACCTGTAATTATATATAGGATTGAGTGTTTCAGTCAAGTTGGCTCTCTGTCTTCTTCAGATGACCTTTCTTCTTTGATCCTTAGAGATTGCCTCATGTTTCTCTCCAAGGGAACTTTTTGAGAAGATTGACTTAGTCCTCTCTGCTTAAGTGCTTCATCTTTAGGTTATGGCTGCTTCATCTAGTCCTGTGATGGCAAACCTATGGCACGGGTGCCAGAGGTGTCACGCAGCACCCTCTCTGTAGGCACGTGAGTTGTCACCCCAGTTCAGCTCCACCGCGCATGCACGTGCACCTCCCACCAGGCCTGCTGGTCTTTGGGTCTCTGCTGCGGATACATATGCACGTGGGGCAGGGCATGTGCAGGGCACATGCATGGGAGCTGAGCACGGATTGCATTTTGGGGGTTTGGGCACACGTGCACGCTTTGGTCACTTGATCCAGAAAAGGTTAGCCGTCACTGACCTAGTCTCACACTCCAATGATCTTTGGCAGGTATTTGTATGTATAAATATGTAAATTTGTATGTACATATTTACATGGTCAAAGTCCTAAACTGTGTGCTTGATATAGATATGAAAAAAATATGTTCATCTGAATATTTTACATTGTTTCCTATAGACAAAGCAACACCACTTAATATTACAATGCCATCTCTAGGGGGGAAAAACCTCATTTAGTTGTAGTCTGGAGTCAATTCTTTTCCCCAGGTGAACTTTAAATGTCCAGGATATAATATAATTATTTATTTAAATCCCAGATCATTCCATAATCATGTTAAAGTCAAGAAGATATAAAACGTGGTTTTCTTAGTTTCCTTATTTTTCAAGAGCAGTGTCATTCTGATTTTATTGTCTAATACATACCATATATGTTATACAGATAAGGATAGCAACTTATGGAGGATAGCAATTTACAACATAGTGGACAACCAATCTGATAACAATGAATCTGGATAATCTGCTAAGTAAGACAGCTACTTCTGTGTCCTTCCCAATTTAAAATCATACATGCAAACCTGTGGAAAGAAGGTATTTTCTCTCTCCACAGCTATAAACAGTTCCCTTATCAGAGACCCCTCTATCTTGCTTTTGATTTTTTTAAAATATGGAGAGTTACACCAGAGCATTCATTACACCCATTCACACTTCATTTTGCTGTTTGTGAACCAGCAGTTCCTCTGTAGATTTATAATCCTTTAAAAAAAAACTGTACTACTAAATCCCCATAATTTGTGATCATTCCCCACAAACTACTAATACCTTCCTAGAGGTGCAATTCAACTTTTGAAAAGGAGAAGGATAGACGAAGAAGTCTATCAGATCAAGCAAAAAGAAAGAGTGATAAAATAACATCAGTTCCCTAAAGTTAGTGCTACCAAAAATGTCAATTCTGGCTAGATTCTCATACGCCAAATTGTGGATTCATCACTTGTGCCAAGAGCACGTCGTGGTGGTGATGCGAGAGCAAGCCAGATTGGCGAGAGCAAACCACAACTTCTATCATTCTGAGTAAAGACGTTCGCCACCCCCATTTTTCTTCCTGCACTGAGAAGCCACAGGACCTTTGTCTCCTTTTGAGGACTCATTTCTAAAATGTCAGCTTTATAAGCAGAAAAGAAAAAAAAAAAGAAGGCCAAAATCAAATCACACAGGTTATCTTTGAAAAAAGAATCTGCCTAAAGTCTGGGACAGGTCACCCCAAAGTTTTTAAACGTTTAAAAATGCATGCCTTTATCTATATTTTAAAAAACAGCAACATCCTTGGGGTTAAAAAAAGAAAAAGAAAAATATGAAAGAGAGGAGTAAGAGGCCTCTTCTAACCACGGCCGAGTTCATCTCGCCTAAGGCTTTGACAGCCTCAAATAAGAAAATGGTCGGCTTAAAAAAAAAAAAAAGGCGGAAGAAAAGGACACCTCCGGAGCTTCTATCAAATTTATCCCCCGGCTTATTCTGACACATTAGAGACCGTCTTTCGGTTTCGCTTCGACCAGAGGCGAGGGGGATTTTTGAGGGGTAGGCGGTTCGATGAATTTAAAAAAAAAAAAACACCCCAACCTGATCTCTCTCCCCTTAGAATAAATGCCAACGACAACCAAGAACGACCGGCAACCTCCCCGCCCTTTTTTCCTTTTTAAAAAAAAAAAATTAAATTAAAAAAAAAATTAAAAAACCACCACACACACTCACATGCAACCTAATTATTACCCGGTTAGTTAATAAAAAAAAAAACCTCTGAGAGCACCAAAAACTCCCAACACCTCAACACCCTGGAGAGTTTTTCCAATTGAGGGGGGGTGCGGGGTGGGAGGTGGGAAAAAAACACACCCTAAAACCCCCCCCAAACTTTTTTGCTTTTTGCAAAACTGGCATCTTACACCGACCGTCCCGCACTCGCTGCCCCTGCAATTAATTGTGGGCGAGTCCCCCCCACACAGATACTCGGAGAAAACCGGACCAAAACGGGCGCCCGGAGAAGTTAACTCACCCGGGTTTCCTCCCAGGAACGGCTCTAAGTTTCCCTCGGCTCTGTTCCGCCGGGAGGAGGAAGAGGAGCTGTTGCTGCTCCTGCTGCTTCTCGCCCGCCCGCCGGTCACTGCCGAGCTCGGCCTTCGGCGGCGGTTGCAGCAGGCTCCGTTTTTTTTTCGCTCGCTCGACAGGTCCTCCTTTCCTGCTTGCTGTTCTTCCGGAGGGAGGGGAGAAAGAAAGAACAGCAGCCGCCACTGCTTCCGCACCACCGCGAAGCAGGCGCCACCGCGCGCGCGCGCCCTCGTCGGGCCTGCATTCGAATGCACGAGCTGTGTAGCCAAAGAGAGTGGAGAGACGCTGCCTGGCAGGCAGGCAGGCTCCTCCTCCCCCCCCACACCTCCCCGGGAGAGGCCCGCTTTCTGAAGTGGCTTCCTTCCGACGTCGGAAAGAGGGCTGGGTGCTTAAATCTTTTAAGAAGCGGGGCCTTCTCGAGACGCCAAAGGTCGCCTACAACGGACAGAAGCAGCAAGGCTTCCTCAGCCATTTGGGCTCCTCCTCACCCCCCCCTCCCTCCCTAAGCTTTACCAAACACGGAACCGGTACAAGAACTAATCAGCCTTGTGATCCCGTGGGGGCGGGGGGGGTTTGCAAGATGCCTTTGATTAGGTGTGTAAGGATAGAATTCTCTTTTAAGAGAATTAGATTTGGGCCTTTGAGGAATCGCTATACTGAAGGTATATCATCATTGCCAAATGAATCTGTCAATAAATTTGCTGAATTTATATCCTGTCCGATTCCGAACGTGTGGCAAGTGATAAATGCATGACTGATTGGTTGTCGAGTCAAATTAATGGTTGAATGAGCAACGTGGAAAAATAGGGGGATTTTGGAATCAAACTGAATATCCATGCTTTTTTTTTTTAAAAAAAAATTTTTTTAAAGCCATTGCTTTCTCAAGCCTGAGTGGACTCTGTAATGACTAGAAATCTTTTATATAAAAAATGGATAAGTATCAGGAAGGTACTGATAGTGTGTGAAAGAAAGTTCCGAGAAGCACAATTGCAAACAATTGTAATGATGAAGACAAAAAGGACCTATAGTGGAGTAAGAAATGGACCAAGTCCCCATGAAGTATCCTGCAAATGTAGAGATGGAAAGTTGAAACTCAGAATGAGCTCAGGTTGGTCAAGGATAGCTGGGATACTTCCCAGACTGGGAACGCTGGATGGGGAGGATATGACTAATAACAATAACAAACAATGAGTATAATTGATCAATGGAACAGGTTGCCTCCCACAGTTGTGGGTCCTCCATCACTGGAGGTTTTTTTTTTTAAAAAAAAGGCTGGACAGAAAAGAACGACTCTGCAATTTTCTCAAGTTCAGGTAGGTCTAGAGAAAAGAAGCTTAAGGACTTCACTTTAGGATTCCAATTAACTTTAAGAAAAAGTAAATGTTTTAGGCAGAAGCTGTATTAATTTTATTTAGTCTGGAGGTGCTTTAAGTCCAATCTTTTGTATCTCTATGTAAGGTCAGTGATTGAGACCACCAGCTTATGAGCTCTTGGCCCTGCTTACCAGAAGGATACTAAGAACAATAAAGAGGACTTCTTTACATATGTTCAGTATGAATGGAAAATTATCAATGTGGTTAATGCTTGATGAAAAAAGCTAGAGTTGCTTAATTCTTAATTTTCTCCCCTCAAAAAAGAGAACCTTGAGATTCATAGAAACATGATAAGGAAACTCCTATTTACTTTGTGTTTAAATGTCAGATAAATTGCATACCAAGGATATTGTCAGCCCGCCTAGATAAACCAGACAGGAAGCAGGGCTAATTCTAGGCTACATTGCAAGTCTGGAAGGACAAATTTCCCCGCCACCACTTTTAACTGCTTTAGCCATTAGGCGGGTCCTTTCCTAAATTTTTATGGGAGCTCCTGCCTCTCTTCTTGATTGTCTCCTAGGCAGCATCTCTTCCTTTCTTTCCCCCCACCCCCCAGATCATCCACCCATTCCATTACAGATATGAAAGCTGTATCCAATCCTTTGTATGTTTTCTTTGATACTGGAGGCAGAGAACTGTGTTAGTCAATAGTCCCCAAAATCAGACGGGGCTTGGTAGCAACTTTTGTGGAAAAAAAATACGGAAAGGCATAAGCTTTCATTAGTAAGAAAAAAACAACTAAGTAAAATGGCAAATATATTGATCATATCACAGAAAAAAACCCTTGCTTTATTCTGTGATGATTAGTCTTCTACTTCAAGTATGGCATGCAATCATGCCAAATTTTAGTATTTGGAGAAAGTGGAACAGAAAAGGCAATAAGGATGATCAAGTAGGGTAGAAACTGAATCCCATGAAGAAAGATAGAAGGAGCTGGTCATGTTTAGCCTTAAGAAGACTAGAGAGGTTTGAGTGATACTGTTCAAATAGCACAAAAGATGTCACATAGAACTTCCTATTATTGAAACAGCAGGACATGAAATAATGGATTTAAGTTATAGAAAGATACATACATTCTAATTACATTTTATAAAAATGTCCCTGTTACATAAGCAGCTTGTCAGTGGAACCAGTTGCCAAGAGAACTGGTGGGATTGCTTCAGCCAATGACTTAAAGTGAGAAATAGATAATCATCCACTGAGGTGCTTTAATAAATTGGATTTCTGCATTGAGCACTGGATATGACTTGTAGCTTAAATAGACTTGTATGATTCCATGCAACAACAAAAATAATGTTGGGATTGGATTAAATTTTTTTCAGAAACAAATCTGCAAATTCTTTGAAAATGAGTTTTTCTGATTAAAAAATAATGAGCAATCATTCTTAAATTTATTGGGGAACATGGAGGAGAAAACAACAGTTCTTTCCTGGCCTGAAATGAGAAAAGTTTACACAATATTCCCCTAAATGTAATGTGCAAAATGTTCTAGTACATATCCTACTTTGTCACAAGTTTTGAAAGTCACAATGCTTCAACATCTTTGAAACATCTGAATCAGCCTGAGATTTCATGCATCAGAGTCATGTCTCTCAAAGCTGTACCTTTTCTAGCCCTTGTTTATTAACAGATGTTTTCCTTTACTTGGAACAGAATGGAAAGGTACAGTACTTCAGTGTCTTCTGTTTGAATTCAGTGTAGTACAAAATCCAGCATAAGCTTCAAGAGAGGGAAAATAAGACATTCTGAGCAGATGGATATTGTTGGCAAGGGAATGAGAAGTTGTGTTTTCCGTGCAGGTTAAATCAAATGTGTTCAGAAGGAAATCACTCTGTGTACCTTTAGTGCCAGGGAAATTGTACCAACTCTACTAAGAAGTACAGCTAAAATACATTTTCTCTGTACACTTAAAAAAACCCTAGCTTAAATATCAGCATAAGATACATATTAAATGTGCTGGTAGGATATAAATGAACATGGGGGGGAGGGGGGCTAACTATATTATAGCATGAGCCATGTTTTCCTTATAATAAAGACATGGCCTTTTTCTGCCCCCCTCCCCCATTCTTTCTGTTTTACTATACATTTTCTGCAATATGTTGCAACATGGCATTTCTAAAAGAAAGTACAATACAATGTTGAGAGCTAGAGATGAAATATTGTGCTTTAGCCTAAAATGTATGAGGTCTTGCACAGGAACAGAAGATGCTCCAGGATGAATGGGAAGAAGAAGTAAACAAAAACCAACAAATCCAAGATTTACAAGGTTTGAAGTTTTCTCATCCTGTCTGAGGAATTTATCCTCAGAGTCAGCTCAGCATTGGAATGGAAGGAGTTGTTTACCTTGCAACATATATTTATTATTTTTATTTATTTATTAAATTTATATGCTGCCCATCTCACTAACCAAAGCAACTCTGGGCAGCTTTATCAACCAAGATACTCCTTGGATTGGCCCATCCCTTAGTACACAGCGGGGGTAGGCAACTACAGATAGTCCTTGGCTTACAACCGTAATTGAGCTCAAAATTTCCACTGCTAAGCAGGACAGATAAGTGAGTTGTGCCTCATTTTATCACTCAGAAGGTTGCAAAGGGTGATCACATAAGCCCTGGGCACAGCAACCATCATAAATACATGCCAGCTGCCAAGCATCCACATTTTGATCATGTGACCATGGGGATGCTGCAAGGGATCATGTAAAAAAATGATCATTGCTCACTTTTTTTTTTGTGCCATTATAACTTTGAACGGTCACTAGACAAATGGTTGTACAGCAACTTTATAGCCTGTTGGACTTCAACTCCAAAAATTCCTGAGCCAGCCATGCTGGAGGTCATTCAAAGATATAATGACACTGAAAAAACTGACTTACAACAAGTCCTCACACTTACAACTGTTTCAGCATCCCCGGGTCACAAAATCATCATTTGTAACCTTCCCAGCTAATATTTGATAAGCAAAGTTAATGGGGGGAGCTGGATTCATTTAATGACTGCATGATGCATTTAACATTTAAGTGCAAAAAGGTAAAAAAATCAGGCGTGACTCACGTAACCACCGCCTTGCTTAGCAATGGAAATTTTGATCCCAATTATGGTTGTAAAATCAAGGACTACCTGTACCAATTTAATTAAATTAGAATGTTGTTGTGTTCTCTCTCTCTTTTATAGGGCACAAGATATGGTCAATCTTTTTTCTCCTCATAATCACAATCATAGGATTCATGTGATCCTAAATTGTAACATGGTTTATTTCACTTTGGTTTACCTGTTGTAGGATCTTAAATATTGTAGCTTATTCAATTAACTGTGGGTTAGAGCAATGTATAAATGATATACTTTTGTCAAATTAATACTTGTTCTTGTACAAACTATGTATATGTATTTTGTCTGTATTTAAGGAAAGAGAATAAATTGCAGCTGGGGCAGTTAATCAGCAAATGATACTGGGGAAAAAGTGTCCTCATTCATGTCATTGACCCAATTAGAATTAGTTTCTTATGGCTGGAAGAATTGACTAAATCAAATTTGGCTGAGTTTGCACAACACATAAATGTAGCCATAAATTAGAGAAGGCAATTGTTGGGCGCATGTGACTTTGCATCTTCCAAAACATGCTCCCCAAATTGGAAGCAAAACACTGTTTTAGGAAAATTTGGTATTTTTTTCCCCACTTTTGGGGCAAATATAATGTTGGATTCAAAAATCTAAAGTTAAACAACTTATTTTAAAATTAAACACACTGAGAGATGGGGCATTGTTTATTCAGATGTCTTTCTTTGGTCATTAAAGCAGTTGCTCCATATTTAACAAAGGGAACAGTGAACAGGAGAAAAAGTCAAGTATCAGAACTTGAGACAAGAAAGATTAGATCCCTGTTGCTTTTGTCTCAACTGAGACAGAAAAGTTGTGGCTGTCTACCATACTGAAGTCAGCCAACCACACATTTTAGTCTAGCATATTGTACAAACCCAGCCCTTGGCTATTTTAGGGTTCAGTAGCCATGCAAACCAAGAAAACTGGGTTGAGTAAATAAAATTAAGTTGACCATGAGGACATCATGTGAATCCAGTCAGATATTTAAAAAGTGTCTCATTCTCGGTCTGAATCTCAGGCAACCAATAGCTTTGTTCCAAATAGTTATCCAAAATAACTATTGTGGTATAGTAACTGAAGTGTTAAATTAGTTCTGTGGAGAGCCAGGTGCAGGGTTTTTTTCAGTTGTAGAAATGCACCACAAACCTTTGAACCAAACAAGCACTCTCACCTAGGTTTACTCACATGATAAAATTAGGAGAGATCTTCATGTGAGGCACCTTGAGCTTTGGGAGAAAGGATAGGAGATAAATCTAATAATGTCAGCATCCACAGGGGAAGTAAAAAAAGACAAGGGGGCAAAGATGATAATGCAGCCAAAACTCTGTCACTTTGTATATACATAATGCCATTGTCAAATAAATAAATTGGGAGGAACAAACTGATAAATTGGGAGGAACAAACAGAATTACAAGATATAGCTTGACCATGAAGCAATTATTAGATTTTTATTCTGCTTTTATTATTTTATAAGTAAGTCAAGGCAGCAAGCATACCTACTCCTTCCCCCTCCTATGTTCCTCACAGCAACAACCCTGCGTGCTAGTTGGGCTGAAATTGATTGGCCCTAGGCACCCAGCTGGCTTTCAGGGACTAGAACTCACAACTCATTGGTTTCTAGGGCAGAAACTTAACCATTGCACCAAGTATCATGCTAGGGTGTGGGAATATGTGCATTCCGTGTTTACCCTAACCTCACAAGAGATAGTAATACTTAGCCACACTTGAGTAATCTGAAAAAAAAAAGGTCACACTTGATGAATATTTGGGTAGATGACTGGAAAATCTGAAACCTGTTGGCTAGACTGGCAAGTTGAAGGAAATACCAAAGATAGCAGTAGTGAACCATTTCTGTATGGTTGGCAGGAAAAAAAAATCATTAAAACACCATGTAGTCCCAGAAATCAAACTTAATCCAAGGAAGATTTACCTTTTCAGATCTGTTACCAGTGTCCACTTTGATAGAGGTCAATAAAGAGCATTAACCTTTACGCTCAAGATCTATCTCTTTTGGCTTAAATGATAAGGCAATTCAAGTGCTTTAGTATTGTTAATGGCACCACTATCCTTCTGGATTAATTCCCATTATTCTATTTCATTTAGAAATAGCAGGAACTCTTCCAACTTGGTGGCTATTCTAAACGGCTACCATTATTGCTTTGGGTTGTACTGTTTTCACTCATGAAATTATTTTTTAATTGAAAAAAGAAACACGTTCATGGTATTAATGGTGTATGCCTCTACTTGCGCTCAATTAGTTTACTGTATATATGTAAATGAATGTTAAAAATGCATGTCCCTCTCCATTCCAAAGCAATCAAGGTGTAATACCTGTACATCTGAACTATTGTGATGTTGAGCCTGAGGATGGTTTAATAAAGTTAAAATTAGCCTGATGAAAGTATTGTTCTTCACCACATATGTGCCAATTTATCTTGTCCTGGTTATTTCTGGTTAAACTTGATTATAAATTAGTAAACCTGTACATTTTTGCAGAATCAGCAGATACAATATGTTAATTTTGTATTGCATTGAATTGCTTTGCTAAAATTATCTACCTTGTGTCACCAGCAGACACCATAAAGTGGATTAAAACATACTCAGGAACTGAGTCTGCTGAGAAGACAGTAAGAAAGATTTGTTCAGTCTCTCTAAAGCAGGGGTCTCCAACCTTGGCAACTTTAAGACTTGTGAACTTCAATTCCCAGAATTCCTCAGCCAGCTTTGCTTTGCTGGCTGAGGAATTCTGGGAGTTGAAGTCCACAGGTCTTAAACTTGCCAAGGTTGGAGACCCCTGTTCTAAAGGGTGCATTCGAGAGCCCATCGTGTACTGGTAGTTCTCAAATTCAACCATTCGTTTAGGGACCATCTGAACTTACAACAGCACTGAAAAAAGTGACTTATGATTGTTTTCTCCACTTTTGACAGTTGAACCGTCCTCATGGGCTCAAACACTTGGCAACTATCAGTTGCTGTATCCTGGGGTCATGTGATCACCTTTTGCGACCTTCTGATGAGCAAAGTCAATGAGGAAGTGGGATTCCCTTAACAACTGCAGTGATAAGAAAAATTATAAAATGGACAAAACTCACTTAACAGCTGCCTTGGTTAGCAATGGAAATTTTGGGCTTAATTGTGGATCTAAGTTGAGGACTACTTAGCCACACCCAAACCTGCTGACTGAAAAGTTTTACTCTTTTTTTCAAAAAGGGGATAGAATCAGAAGTTCAAGAAATAAGATTTGCTGCGAGTGGAAGTTTTCCATTTCCCTGAATTTTCCTCAAGCTGGAAAAGTCCAAGTCATTCACAGAAGAACATTTAATTTAGGAAACTTTTATTCCTGTAGAAACAGTAAAAAAATATAGCAAGGGACATGTGTTACATTTTTTATTCCCATTTTTTATTTTGTGTTATTCCCAAGTTTATTTTTGTGCACAAGTGAGGTAACTGGATATAATTTCAGCTTTTATTCATACTTCAGGATATGTAGAATATAAGACAATGGCTTTTCTTTAGAACCTGCTTGTGGTTTGTAATGATAATTCCCAGTGTGAGAGATTGTAGTAGGAGGATGGAAAGGAATAAAAGCGAGCAGATATAAACAATTAAAAATAATGCATAAATCAGTTGATAGGTTATCTTCCAGGTAGAAAACAGGTTTCAAATCATTCAGAGATACAGAAGAATTTTGCTTGATTGGCAGAAAAACAGCCATCCGTTGTGTAAGATTTCCATGAACCAATTGCTGATTCAGAATTACTTCCAGATACAGAAAATTGAAGTTGCTATACCATGGAATCAATAAGCTTCTGTATCAACTGTTACTACATCCGACTATGGAAAACATGTGACAAGTAGTTTTAGCATCCATTTACTCAGAATAAAAGGCTAAATCTCTGTTCATACTTCTTTACTCTAAGGTCAAGAAAGAAGATCTTATAGAAAAGAGCTCTTCCTTCTCCATGGAGAGCTGCTTTGCAGTCTATCATCTTTAAAGCTTTCCTTTTTGAAAAAAAGCCTGATAACAAAAATCCACCTTAATTTGACACATACTAAAGAGCTTCCTTGGAAAAATTCAATTATAGTTTTAAGACTATGGCACAAATTTATTTATCATTGCATCTGATTTTGAACAAGATTTTAGCACATGCTCTTTCTACAATAAAAGGAAAAAATAGATATGTAGATTGCATTTCCAGCTCCAAAACCAATTGTAAATGTCTAGAAGTACTTCAATAAATGTAACCTTCAATATATACACTTAAAGTTCATAATGGAGTCTCAAACATCTTTCAAAGGGATTAAAATGGCAACAACTACTGCTTTAATAAGTGAAAGTCAGTCACACACACAAAATCCACATACTCTTCCTGAGTAAAACATGCGCATGAAAGTATATCAATAGAAAATTAATTTTTGTATTTTTTAATTGAAATCCATGAGCAAAGTATCATCTTACTGTTTTGCTAAGATTAGAAAACCCAATGCCAACACAGGTCATTAAGACTTTTTCACCTCCCTTTCGTTCATCTTCAAACGGTTTGGTTTCAATTTTAAACATAACCTGGAAATAACTTCTCAAATGTCGTAGGAATTCAATTCTAAAAGAAAAGGAAAAAACAACTATAAGTATACATCTCTTTTTCTAAACTGTAGTCAACACAAACAACCTCTGCATTTCAAAAGAAGGTGTACTATTCATGAAAAATGTCTACCTGATTATTTATAAAATACATTACTTTTCCATTGTCAAATGTTATAAAAAGTAAAAATAAATAAATATATAGGTGAGCGAAACTGCTTATCTCCAAAGTAAAGTTTCCTATTAATTAAGATAAAAGACAGTTGAAGCTAAAAAGCATTTATGAATAATATTTGGAGAATTCTTTAAAAAGTCTGCATGGAATTTTAACAACATTTCCAAAATATTACTCGGAGAAGTTGGCTTCATAAGCTTATTACCAGTTTAAAAAAGATTTTTTTAATGACTAAGCCATGCAGAATGTTTGCACTTTCCTATATTACTAATGGACTATTATCCATCAATGAGGCATACAAATTCTTCCTCTCCTCCTTCTATCTCAAAAACTCCTACTTGATTCTCAAAAGTATATAACAATGCCCGGCAGTAATTTCATAGTACAACCCATCTCATTGTGATGGCACGATCATTCTTCAGTTATCACAGTACTGTACCTTTCATACATACAGCACCGGTACCATGATAACCGAAAAAGGACAGTTCACAGTCTAGTACATCGAAACACGATAGTCACACTGCAGTAAGAAGAAAAGCTTGATCCATATGAAGGCTAACACCAGCTAAAGAACTGGCAGCCGTAATTTCACATCGTTGTGCTTATAATAACTACCGTGCCTTTATTTTATACAATTCAAGGCAACATATTTAATTTTTATCCTGCCTTTATTATTTATTTTACAAAGAAAGTCAACTTATACATATACATACTACTCCTACCTGCTTATTTTCCCTTCAACTAAATTCCTGTGAGGCGAGCTGAGCTGTGAGGGAATGACTGGCTCAAAGTCACCCAACTGGTTTCCATGCCTAAGGAAGGACTAGAACTCTCAGACTCCCTGGTTCTATCTAGTCCAGTATCCTTACCACTACACCAAACTGGCTCTCGGATCCAACAGAATGGATCTCTGTTTCTCTTGAATACAGTAGTCCTCAAATTATGACCACAATTGAGCCCAAAATTTCTATTGTTAAGTGAGACATTTGTCTTCCTTGCTGCAGTTGTTTCAAGTGAATCACTGCAGTTGATAAGTTAGTAACCTGGTTGTTAAATGAACCTGGCTTCTCCATTGACTTTGCTTGTGAGAAGATTGCAAAGGGTGATCGCATGGCCCTAAGACATTGCAATTGTTATACATACGAACCAACTGCCAAGCATCTGAATTTTGATCACATGATCATGGGCATACTGCAAAGATAGTAACTGTGAAAAATGGTCATAAGTCACATTTTTCAGTGCCATTGTAACTTTGAATGGTCACTAAATGAACTGCTATAAGTTGAGGACTACCTGTACTGACTAGAACATGCTGAAACTTGTGACATGAACATCTGCTATTTCAAAATACTTTCTACTCAATGTCATTGCTATCAAAATTGCAAACCAGGGAGTTACTCCTGACAACAGACACTTTACAAAGGAACATGTTACCATACGTTTATAATTCATGTTTGGCCTGTGTCTATATGAGCAAATGCAATCTGTTCCTGCAAGCTTCATTAGCTTGATTCAGTGAACTGATAAGAAACTTTCTGATGGCATTATATAACAATAATAACATACTCCAGGGCGTGTTCTAAACATTAGCATAAGTGGTTCTTTTGGCAGCCATTAACTGTTCCAAGTAGCAGCCACTAAATGGCTTCCTGTCACTTCAGTTAACAAACTGAGCAAGAATAATCAGTCGTGGGTGTGGTTGAGAAAACTTACGTGTAAGGTGATAATGGTCCTAGAAGGACTTTGGAGACATCTTGCTGCCCAAGAGTCATAAGAAGTAGAATGAGGCTTTGGTTTATAGAGTCCACGCAGCCTCCCTGCAAAGGAAATGCTTTAATCATTAAGCTTTGTGGTAGGCACAAACTATAGATAAAAGGGGAAAAGGAAATTGGAAGACAGCAGAGGGGGGCTCTGCTCTTACATTTCAAAAGTCAAAACATAAATTATTTTCACAAATCCAATTGCACAGCAGTATATTCAAAATTATATCAGAGATATCTGTATATCTTTAAATAATCCTACAACTGCTTCCCAAAATTGAAATTGTGACACACTGTTATCTCACAGTGCTGTGCAATGGTGTAACAGGAGGCACATGGCAATTTGTTTCACAAGGACAGCTTGTTCCATGGAGCCCAACTCAGCCTGGGTGCATGTGAAATACAAAACAAACAAAATCAGAAACTGAAGTGCCCTCAGTCACATAATCAAAACTCTGGTGTTTGGCAGTCGGCCCACACTTAACAACTGCAGGGGCACTTTGATTATCTCTCCCCCAACTTCCATTTCCACCCATTTGGCCATCTTGGATCATGTACTCCCTCAGCGGCAGTGGCAGCATCAGAAGCATTAGGCCTGAAGTAGAGGACTGGGGTCTTCAGTAGTCTCATTTGTCTGCTGCCCCACCTATCTGGGCCCCTACCCCAGTCCCAGTGCCATCACCTTAAGCCCCACACTGTGGCTAGACTTCTCAGCTGCCACCACCACCTGCTGCCGAGGAGTGCCACTGTACTGGGTAGCCAAAGGAGCAGATTTTGAGAGAAGGAGTGGAATAGGCCAATTGGAGGAATTCAAGAGGAGCAGTTCCTTATCTTACCAGGGCTCAGAATTGGGAGAGGCCAAGCTAGGAATGACTTTGATGGAGTGGATCCTTGCCCAATGACTGGTGGAACTTGGTTAATGGGGACTCCAGGGACTTCCTTCACTAAGTGATGAATTCATGTGACATCACTTTTTACAATTGCCTCACTTAGCAATGGAAATTCCTCTCCCAATTACCATTGTAACCTGAGGACCATCTTTATAGACTTCTTCCAATTGCTAACCAAAAGAAAGGTGCATTTTATTTGTTGTATTTGGGGAAAAAGCCTTTATATACAACTCTGCTACTGCCACCTTTTAGAGAATATAAAGCTTATATTGTAATAAAATATGGGCAGAATTAACTAAAATTACATAAACGTAAATATGCACAGGACTAAAATGCATAGGATGATGAGGGAGGCATTAGCACAGGCTTCCTCAGCTTGGTGCCAGATTTTCCAAACAGCATGGAAGAACTCATGAACGAATGCGAGCTTCTAAAAGAGTCTTCCCATCTCTGGTGGCTTCCTGATATTTGGGGATCACCACGTCCGGATGGCCAGAATTCTGGAAGCTCAGATTTCAACATATATGGAGGGCACCAGATGTGAGGATGGACTAGCAATTATTCTTCAGAAGAGCCCTAGAATCAGCCACTTACTCGGTGGATCTCTTCAAGGAGTAACTTTGCACAGTTCACACCAAGGTCTTCTGGAAGTACAGCGGCACCCTGGCCCTGGGGATTAGAGGCCAGTTCAGCACTAAGGAAAGTCCCATTTGTAGTCTCAGCCACAAGAGACAGACCAAAGCCAGGAGACCTGAAAGAAAGATGGGTGCAGAGAAGAAACTGAAGAGAACATTTTTTTAATGTATTTACTTTTAAGTCTTTGACATAAGTGTCCAAACCTTGACAGCCAATCACACACAAGTATTTAAAAATACATGGTAGCCAATCCAAACACCGACCACAAATTTGATGCCATTCATTTTTCTTATTATCTAGGAACATAACAAGCAGCCTACCACTGGGTCAAGCAATTGGCTCACTATGCCAGCAATTTCTACTCTGGCCAGCAACAGCTTTCCAAGAAGTCTAACAAGGGTATCTATTAGTCCCTGGTGCTAACCCTAACCCTTTTAAATCAGGATCAAATCAAAGACTTCTGTGGGCAATGCACCTGCTCAACTACCCAATGGTTGACATACAAATGATGATGGAGTGAAAGGAAATCCTTTCCTAGAAGTTTTGAAAACAGGTGGGTGCCAGCAGCTCTAATCAGAAGATCTCTAAGATGTCAGAAGGATGGGAGATAGCTTGCTAGCAGGTTCAAGAAAGAGAGGGCAAGCTCTTTCTCCAAAGAGGTTATCCCTAGGTAGTTATTCCAAAATGAGGTTATATAACCTAATGGCTAAGTAATTAAAAGTTGAATAGCCTAAAATAGGCATAAGCCACCCGTGGCCTACATTAAGTTCCCCTTTGGCATCCACAAAGAATTCCTAGATTCTACCGCTGATAACCCTTGATAGCAATAAATACTATTAGATAGTATTGTGATCACATGAAAATCTCTGAAGCCATAATATATACATTCAAAAGAATTATCTGAAAACTTACTTTCCAGAGCTGGTCCCTTTCATATGATCTGTATGAATGTAGATATCTGGTAGGAATTTATTCAAGATGCTCCTCGCAGAATCCACCATTCGGTTTGCTATCTGGGGGGATACCCTGACTGAATAGCTGGTTTAGGAAGCTAAGGAAATATTTTTGAATACATTTGAAAACAAAGAAAGGGTCAAGTACCCGAAGAGGGCTTATGGTGCATTTCTTTCATGAATACATGCACATTTATGCACAATACACATTTGAATATTTTGCAACCACAAAAAGCAAATTGTAAACCAAACTATGCATGTACTATTTATACCAATGCTTTTTCTGGTTCAAAAGTTCATACCAAATCCAATTACTCTTATATTAACCCTGTAGAAAGCCACTGTAGAGTGATGTAATACTGAACTCCAGACAAATTACCAACTTCAAAGCAGCCAACTCAACATGGAAAAAGTGGTGGCAATTCCTCACCTGGATTTGATGTTGAGGAGATGGCTCATGTGGCCTAATGTTAACCAATAATTTAATGTTAACCACCACCACAGAAATCAGATGGTAGTTACCCCCATCCTCTGCAAATAATACCTGAACTTAGCTCCTGTATAATCATTATTTGTGAGAGATAAAAGTTGGACAGATGAAGATCACACAGGAATCTATTGTATATAACTAATAAAGTACTTTACTCTTATCTTCATGCATTCTTCTCTTGTGAGTTCACAAATGGATTATCTCTTTATTATTTTGTCATGCTATCTCATTGTGTTTTATTAGTAACGGATACCAGTAAAAAAGGTCAGCCATAGTTAATTTACTGATATTAATCAAATTAAACAAGGAATTTAGATATGAATGGACTCATGAGGAATTAAATGCTTGCATGATGTAGCATTGTTTTAGGACTTTGTTCCACAGCTAAGGAAAAATATTGTAATTGACCCATCTGAATTCCACCTGCTCACCGTATGTTGTGAAAGTGAATATTTTGCTAGAAAGTTCAGGCTATTTATTCACAGCTCAGTTATTGATGTTCTTGGACTTCACATTCATCATGCGCAGAATCATATCTAATACTGCAAAGCATCCTGTTCTAATTTATCATTTGCTTAATTGTATAAACTACAATTTGTTGAACCTGCATAATATGCTAAGCCATAAATCATGGCTCTTAGAAAGCATAGGTTGGGCTCATATAACACAATAAGCTAAAACAGAGCAAATCACATTTTATAAATTGTGTTTTTATTCCATCTTTTCTGGGAAGCTTAATTCCTTCCTTAAAGTCTATCCCCCCATATCAGCAACCCAAAGAGAAGATTGATCCAAAGTCAGTCAGTGAGTTCCAGGGTAACCGATCACACAATATTGACCCAGTGTTACATGTGAATTCAATAATTGATCTCAAGAGGGATTACTTATACATTAAGTCAGGCATTCCAACTTTTGGGCTGCTTGGGTCACACTGAGTGAATAGGAATAGTCTTGGACCACATATAAAATATATAATATAATTAATGTATATAAATAACAAACTTCTTTTATTTTATTTTTATTACAAACTTCTGGGGTTGCATTCCAGGTATCCATGGCCACATGCAGCCCATGGGCCGCAGGTTAGACATGTCTGCATTAAGCGGATATAGAACTAAAAACTCAATCTTTGAATGAAAAGAGCGTCTAGAATTCTCTACATTCAAAGAAGGATACGCCATACCTCTGATACGCTTAATTTTACCAGGGTCAATATATTGAATAGGTTTTAATACTTTCTTCACAGGACAAGCAAAGATCACTTCCCCTCCTCCTTTGGGGGGCATACCCCGCCTTATTATCTGAAAACAATAAAAAAGAGCCTTGATTGTCTGTCAAAAATCCAGAGAATTGATAAGATTCTAATAAATTAATGCAGCTGCCAAAATGAAGAGGAAGAAGATGGGGCTACCAATACTATGGTGAGTTCACAAATATGAACTCATAGAAATTTATTTTATAAAGACATTTCTTAAATGCAGCGATGTTCCGACCAATAGTAAATTCTTACCTTCAACTCTAATTCTTCACCATCAATTCCAAATCTTTTCAACAAAGGTAGAGCAGTTGCCTTCAGAACATCCACCTGAAAGATTCATTACAAAACCTTTTTTTATTAAATGAGAACACTTTCAATATTGAGGAAACAAGAAATTGAAAGTACATGATGAAAAAAAGTTAAGTTTGTATATTAACTGACAAGTTAAAAAAGACAAGATCACAAATTAGCAACCAATAATCTATATAAAGAATATCTTTCAATCCTGAGGCACAAATTAGCTACTAATCCATTCTTGTTTCACAGGCACTGAATGCCACCCATAGTCCACTGTTTCTAGGAAAAAATTTCTATGAAAGAAAGTGAAGTTATTCTTGCAGCACATTCATATAATGTCCTTGCTGCTCTCTGAGCTTAGTGGTTTTCTTGCAGGCATTTCATTACCCAACTAGGTAACATCATCAGTACTAAGGAGTGGGCTTTGCTATCCGTTTATATAGTAGTGGCTTGCCCTGTCATGTTGGTGAGAGTATTGTTTTGTTCTGAGTAGTTCCTTGGACAATTCTTCCCACCAATGCTGACAGTGCAAGTCAGTGGGGATAATATTTTGGCATTCAGTTACAGCCATTTTATCCAACAACACTGAACACTCCACTCTGTACAATCAGCTAACCAAGCCGATATTGGAAAGGGGAGTCAACTGGCCAAAAAGAAAAATGTACGGTAATTGGTCCTCATCCATTTTTATAAAGTGTTTAAAAGGAGAAGGATATAGTTCGCACCACTTCTCTCCTCATCTGTTTTATCCAAAATGTAGGAAAAGGTAAAAGTACAGATGGTCCAACTGGTGGAGTGTCTCAGAACCTGTACATGTCTTTCTCTGGCTTGCATTTGTAGACTTGTAGAGTCATTAAGCTATTGGTGAATAGTTATCCAAATACATACATGGAATCCTGAAAATGGATTGCCTTTTCAGTTATGTTTATGTTGGTCAAGATCAACTTATAAGGACCAATGCAGAGGATATATGAGCTGACTGGGGCAAGCAAAGTACTCAGGGATTCTCCCTAAAGCTGTTTTTCCTCAAGACTTACTGACATCGACCTTTAAAAAGGAGAGCCACATAATATTGCATCCTGACCCCAAGGCCACCACTTTACAGACTTTTTCTATATAAGTTACATTAAGACAGAAGACAGAAAAAGAATCTGCAATAATGAAAACACACATAGGTCTGAGCATGTGAAGAAATCTCACATTGTTCTTGGGAGCCATCACATAAAAAAACCCCGCATGGCTCCTTATCAATGGCTTATCTATCTTTCTTCTACGGGCTTCTCTATGCATTGGATGGGGCGCTGCAGCATTTGATAGTATGCTTCCTCTCTCTCTCTTTTTAATGCCCAAATCCTCATTTGCAGGTGGGGTTTCGTAAGGGAATTCCACAGGGGAACTACATATTCAAGAAGACTGTGCCTGTGGAAACAATGAATCCTTTTTCTGTATGAGTCTCATTGCATGTAAAAATGAGGTGGGACTTCAGTGCAAGTAGTCCTTGACTTATGACTACAATTGGGACCATCATTTCCACCACTAAGCAAAGTAGTTGTTTAGTGATTCATGCCTGAGTTATGACTTTTTTTTGGTCATGATTGTGAAGCAAATCACCGCAGTTATTAAGTGAATCATGCAGTCGTTAAGCAAATCCAGCTTCCCCCATTGACTTTGTTTGTCTTCAGAAGCCGGCTGAGAAGATAGCAAATTGTGATCACTAGATCCCAGGATGCTGCAATCATTGTAAATTCAAGCTGGCTGCCAAGCGTCTGAATTTTGATCATGTGAGAGTAGGGATGCTATGCCGGTCGTAAATGTGAGGACCAATTATAAGTCACTTTTTTCAGGTCCAGTGTAACTCTGAATGGTTGCTAAACAAATGGTTGTAAGTCGAGAACTACCTGTAGTGTGGATGCATGCTATTTTGACACACACACACTCCCATTCCTATAGGATGCCCCTGACTCTATCCCATCCCTTTCACAATTCTGTGAAAGCACTGTATGAACAATGCACTAGGAATAGGAAAAGATGAATTGGTAGACCTTCAACTTACTGATGGATCTATCTGATCATTGGTTATACCTCTGAGGACAATTCTTAGTGCATGTTTCATGAATGGGGCTAAGCAGAGAAGACTCTCTAGATAATATCCAATACTACGATTTTCACTACAATCATGTTCCAGTGAACCTCCGTGAAGCAGACCAGGCTGGTAGTACAAAGTTGTACCTGTTAAAAAAACAACAACAGGAATGTTATTGTAAAAGCTGTGCTATAGAGACAAAAAGCAATACATATGCCTTGCCTATCAATCAATCTCTATCATATGCACAAATGACTCTACGAACCTACAGAAGAGCTTTGTGGTAGTTAATTCTTACTGTGCAACCAGGACATTATAGCAATGGGTGGGAAAGAAAATAAAGGTCAGGAATGGGAAAAAGCACAGAAAAGAAGTGTTAACGTGCTCTCTCTCTCTCTCTCTCCCTCCCTCCCTCTCTCTCTCTCTCTCTCTCACACACACACACACACACACACACACACACACACACGACTTGCATTGTCCTGTAAGCAGATCTACCCATAATTACAAATAAAAGAAAGCCTTAGAAAACAAGAAAATATATACTTCCTTAGTAGATATAATTTACAGAAATGGCAAAATTGATTTGCTTCATTAGAAAAAAGATAACTATTATATTTGTTAGCACCTGGAAACCTTTTATGAACCTTTTGCTAACAATACAAAAAAATAAACTTGTGATTTATGGGCTTGATTATTAGAAAGAGTAGAACATGGAAAGAAAGGAGTCACAATGTAACCCGAGAGAGAGAGGATAAAAGTACAAATGCATTTCTAACTGTTGCAAAGAAGATTGGAAGTCACTTCTTTACATTTTTCTTTGTCTCCCCTTTCTCTTTTATTTCTTTTCTATTTACTTTTCATTGCTTAACTTTACTTTTGCTTTTCTTTAATTTTGTATTGTTTTTACTTTGCAAATGTTTCTATAATAAAAATGAATAATAAAAAAAGAAAATACCCATTCCCTTTCCCAGATCTCTAAATCCACAAGCTTAAGCACTTGCAACCACTGTATCAATTTATATTTCCTTCCATATCTACTTTCCTATTGAAAGGTGTAACTCTTCAATGGAAGCCCCCTTGTGCTCTGCAAAGTTAGGTTCCCAATGTGGTACATGATGACACAAATATGACTAAGGGCACCTCCCTTAGAAGCCATTAAGTTCCATAAGCCATCTCTCTTTATGTTGCTTTAATTTTAAAAATTGGAAGCTAGCCTAAGTGGACCCTTTTAACTTTTTTTAAAGAAAAAAATGATGGGCAGTTGCAATATAATGCTTAGTCTGGCCACAGATTCAATTGCCTAGAAAAAGGACATAGTTGAGAAGAAGTAGAAGGAAGGAAGATGTCCATCAAAACAATGGTAGGATAAAAGGAAGGACAGATAACATGTTAGTAAAATAGTGCTTTTAAACGACTATCTTCTCCGAAGTTCCAAATATGCCACCAGCTCCAAAAGACTGGAGCTCCATTTATGCCGATAGCACTACATATAAAATAATTAACTGTTTTAGGTATTGCAAAGATTTCTCTATTTTTGGATCTATTGCTCCTAATAGGAAGAGCTCCGGTTTGTATTCTATCTTTTGTAATGTGATTTCCTCCAACCAGCTCTTAATCTTATACCAACATTTTTTTATTTTAGGGCACATCCACCACATGTGGTAGTATGTTCCTAATTTATGGCCACATCTCCAACATTTGGGTGATAGATCTGAAAACATTTTTGCCAATCTTGCTGGTGCCAAATGCCATCTATAGAACATTTTGTACAAATTTTCTATATTAAGGTACCGCGATTGTAAATTTATAATTTCTTTCCCATAATTTGTCCCACTTTTCTAATTCTATATTATGTCCGAGATTTTTTGCCCTACTAATCATAGTTTCTTTTACCATTTCTTCTTCCATTCTATATCTTAATAAAAGATTTGTAAATTTTTGTAATCATTTTTTTTCAGGTCCTAATAATATTTTGTCTATGTCCAATTGTTCCTTATATATGCCATATTGTTCCTAATCTTTTTTAAATCTGACTTCCTGTGGTGCTGCGAATGCCGATGGCAGCTCCTTTTGGAGCTCCAGCACCGATATTTCGTTAGCCGCTAGAACAGCGAAAAACAGCTGTCTAGCGGCTCAAAACTCTCCCCCGGGGGAAAAGGGGGAGAGAAGAGCAGAAGGGTTTGGGTAGAGCTCCCCTAGATCCCCAGGCTTTCTTTTTTTTTAAGCCTGGAGGTTGCAGGGTGAGAGCTTCCTGGAAGCCCTTTGGTGCTCCGGATCCGGGACGTATCTGCCTCAGGCAGAATGGGGCGTCGCAATCACACCATCTTTTTGAATTTTTTGTAAGAGTGTATCCTATTTGTCTTTTTTAATCGTGGTACACTTTACCAATAGCCATATTCCTATATATTTAATTTTTTTAACTCTCAAGATCCCCAGTTTCTCCTCTAGTTCTTCATTCTGTCTATTCGTTAAATTTTTGGTCAACATTTTAGTTTTATCTTTGTTTATTTTGAGCCCCACCACTTTACCAAATTGGGTTATATCTTGAAATAATAGTTGTCCAGTTTCTAAAGGTTCCTCAATAATTAATACCAAATCATCAGCAAATCCTGTGATTTAATTTTTAATCCCTTTATTTCCGAATTATCTCTAATTTGTGACATTAATATTTCTGTTGAGAGAATGAATAATAGAGGAGGTAGTGGGCATCCCTGTCATACTCCTTTCTCTATATTGAAACTTTCTGTTTGTTCCCCATACTAACGGCAGCAAGGATTACCATTGCACAAGGGTGGAAACAAAATAATATACCACCAGAAGAAATAGTGATTAGGAAAATTTTACAATGTGCAGAAATGGATAAAATGACAATGGACATTAAGGAAAGAGAAGATTCGGACTATTATAGAGTGTGGAACAAATTCTACAAATGGATAGAAAAAAAATCTAAATAAAAATTGGGAAATTTAAGTTAATATCGCTGAAATAAAGAACTATATGTTACTAATTATTGTTAACCTTATAGTATTAATTGTGTAAATAAATATAATGTAAATGTATATATTCAGTAGCAGAACTGAACAAAAATAGACAATATGCATGTCGATACAGAAGGCTGTAAAAATAGCATATAATATATTGTTATGTTTGTCATGTTTTTTACTCCATGTTTGTCCTTGTTCTTTTTTTCTTCTTCTGTTTTTAAAAGTAAAAAGCTTAATAAAAACTATTTTTTAAAAAATAATTACCTGTTTGGTTTATTTCAATCCTAGAACCATTGGTTATCTTGTCAATCAGCCTGAGAAAGTTTGCCTCAAAATCTGTCAGAGAAACACACATCAGATTAGATTGCTAGTATTAATCAATAATTCCAAGAATCTTTAGGGCCATCTTCACAAATCAAACAGCATGTAATTGTGGTCATATTACAGTTAAAATAGTTTGTTAATCATGTGATTAAAATAGACAAAATGAGTAAAATCTACTCCGATTTTGCGATAGAAAAAATCAGTAACAGTAAGATTATTTTCCCTCCAAAAATCTCCTATTTGCCATTCTATGCATACAGTCACAACCTCTCCTCCAAGAAAGTATTCAAAGGTTTCAGTTGGACTGCACTTCCCAATGTTGCAAAATAAAATATCCACTATTGTCTAACCCAGTTCTATTTTTCTATTTAGACACTTTCTGGCTTTTTTTAAAAAAGAAGAAGATGATGAAAATAAAGAATGAGATAGAGGTAATTTATCTACCAGACACCTCTAACTCTTGTTCCTTATTTTCAGAAAAAGGGGGAAAAATATTGCCAGTGAAATCTATCACTTTTGTAATGAAACATCAGAAGCATCTGGAAGGAAGGTGGGGGGGTACTATCAGGTGTCAGTGCAGTGATGGACAATCATCATGCTTTTGTGTTTGGGTTTACTTAGAAAGATAATGTAGAAAGACCCATGAAACCTAATCTGAAAATATTGCAACACCATAAGACCACCAAATAAGTAAAAGTCATTAATTACTTATATTCTAGTTCCAAACCTTTTCGCTTTCATTCCTTATTTTTTCTCACCTGTTACATTTGGATTTATATCTTACTGTAGTGAAAAAGCAAATTCACCATCCTCCTTTAAGAAATAAATTTGAGAAGCAGGTCAATGATATCAATGCCTGTTCTAATAGCCCTAAACTGGATATATAATATCCAATGCAATTCGGTACTCTTCTCATTCCATTGTCTATTTCGCGACTTATTCAATTATAAATTAATTGAACTCAGTGTGATCAGTCATACTGACTTTCAAATGGACTCAGGACTTTGGTGTTAACCTCTTAAGGCAGAAGAGTGAAACTAGTGATTGAAGCACTACAGTCTTCACAGGGCATGTCAAGTCAAGGGCCTTTTTAAAGACAGGGTTTCAAGAAAGCTTTGCTCGTTAAAATCCCCTTATAACATTGAGACTCACACTTTGTAGTCCACCCATTCCAAGAAAGGCACTGGGTCCTAGAACAGGTACTGCCATGCCTCATTTTCTACAATCCTACAATCCTGTTTTTGCAACAAGAGAAAACACTAGAGAACAAGTACCCAGAATGCAGTCTCGTCTTACATTTGATTGTTTGCAATCATAAAATTGTAGAATGGCAATACTTCATTTAAAACATCCTTTAACATCCTGTAGTGGACAAAAAAACTCTACAGAGAATCATTAAAACTGCCCAGAATATCATTGGGCTCCAGCTACCAGCCCTGGACGACATCTTCGAATCTCGCTGTTTGAGGAAGTTGCATAACATTCTCAGAGACTCTTCCCATCCTGCTTACAATCTTTTTGGACTGTTGTCTTCTGGCAGAAGATACAGAACAATTAAAACTCAGACCACATGTTTTCTGAATAGTTTTTAACCCAGAGCTATAATTGCACTCAACAATGAACTAAAGTGCCACCATCAGTGAGCTGTTGGACAGCATTACTTGGTCTGTTATGTAGATATTTGGGTCGTTTAGGGGTGGGAAATTGTGGTGGGTGGGAGTGTGTTTGGGGATTGTTATGTGTGTTGGACCTGGTCTTTGGGTGTTAAATGAATTTTGTTGTATGGGTATACTGTGTATACAGGTAAAATGACAATCAAGTTATTATTATTATTAATTACTCTACCGTGTTTCCCTGAAAATAAGACTCTGTCTTATATGTTTTTGAACTCTAAAATCAGCGCTTGGCCTTATTTTCGGGGAGGTCTTATTATTTTGGGGTGCATGGAGCAAGATGGGGCTCCTCTTGCCGTCTTACCTGATTTCCAGCTCTATGTTTAAATATTTTTGAGGAGGGCTTATTTTAGGGGGGAGGCTTATTTTAGCACATGCGCTCAAAAGCCCGACTGAGCTTATTATCAGGGAATGTCTCATTTTCGGGAAAACAGGGGTATATCTGCACATACGACAATAAAAAGAAATAGGTTCTGCAGGTTTTGGACACTAACGTTTCTTTAGAGAACAATAGAGTGAGTTTAGTTAGTTATTGATATTGCAATGCTCAAAATGCAACATCACTTCCTATGATGTGGGTCATGCATTGTACAGATTTTGGGGAAGGAAGGAAGGAAGGAGGATACAGGTTATTATATATAAATTATTTTAGGAGATTCATTGCTGTTGTAAATGCTTATGTTCCTTTGATTTATTTTCTGAGGGTTTAGAAATTGTACCAGTAGATAATAGGAGAGATATGGCAGGCTTTTATTGTTGCAAATAATCAATGCAAGGTTGGAATCACACTCATTTTCCATCAGTTATAAATAGTCTGAAAACCCCATCTGTCTCTCTACACTAAAATGGGCTTTCTATTACTGAGAGTCTTATATTGAAGACTATTCATAAATTTGGGGTTTGCATATATTGATACCCTCAATTTTCTTTCTTTCTGGTAAATCACCTGGCTTAATAGTAATTAAAATTTCTGCTAATAAAGAAGTCATATGGAAGAAAAAAAAAGAAATAACACATTTACAAAGCAGTGTTATCATTATACAATTATTTGGTGATAACAGTTGTTACACAATTGATTTCCATAATTAGCTGCTCTGGAATGGCTGATGATTAATTTGCATCAGACTCTAGGGTAATTATAATTTGTAGTTGGTATTGCCGCAGTTATGCCCTGTTTTGTTATCTGGAGTACCGGTAGGGGATAAAATGTTCTCTTTTATTCCACAATTAGGAATATGGAGAAAAAAACCAACAACTTTGAATTTCAGGTTTGTTCCTCAACTGGCAAAGAAGCAAGTCTGAGTCATCTTCCATCTAGCCTGAGGAAGACTCATTAAGTGTTAAGTGATTTCCTTTCCACAGCTTGAGGGAAATAGGTTTCCCCAGTTGTAAGAGGGATGTCTGCATGTCCAAATATCTATGGCTTACAGCTCTTTCACCCCTCTGTTTGGCATTAGAAAAGCCATCGAAGAGCCCATTCAAAATATCCCTACTGCTCTTCCACTGACTTGAAGGTACCTGGTGGCGTTGTCACCAGTTTTCAGACGCTGCTGTCAGCTTCAGTGCCGTTCCATGTGCTCCCAGGATAGGGAAAATGAAAGTACCATGATTGGAGTACAGCCACCCCCAAAAATGGGGAGGGCAAGCAGGATTTCTGAGTGTTTTGAGAGAATCATGAATTTAAGGAAGAAAAAAATAACGGGAAATCTAAGAAAAATAAGGTGCAATGAGACCATCAGAGCGGATAAGAGGAAAAAAGGGGGGAACAAAGAAAATGCTAATAAAGTCATTATGGGACGGAAAAGAATACTGGTAGTCCTTGACTTACAATCATTTGTTTAGTGACCATTCAAAGTTATGAGAGCACTGAAAAAAGTGACCTAAGACTGTTTTTCACGCTTACAATCGCTGCAGCATCCCCTCACGGTCACGTGATCAAAATTTGGACTGCTGGCAATCAGCTCATATTTATGATAGTTAACAGTGTTCTGGGCTCAGGTGATCATCTTTTGCAACCTTCTGACAAGCAAAGTCAACGGGAGGAGCTGGATTCACTTTACAACCGTATTATTAACTTAACATCCACAGCAATTCACTTAACAACTGTGGCAAGAAAGTTGTAAAATGGGGCAAAATACACTTCACAACTGTATTCTTCACTTCAGAATAGCAACTGAAATTTTGGGTTCAATATTTGTCATAAATCAAGGACTATCTGTATTATCTCCTCTACAATATAAAGGAAAAAATGGCACAGCATAATAGAATAAGGGGAGCTATGGTTGCAAAAACAGGGAATGTAAAAGAAAGACATTTGGGCCAGAAAGAAGGCTGAATTAACAGAAAGCAATACAGGTAGTCCTTGATTTATGACCACAATTGAGACCAAAATTTCTGTTGTCAAGCGAGATATTTGTTAAGTGAATTTTGCCTCATTTTACAACCTTTCTTGCCATAGTTGTTAAGTGAATCACTGCAGTTGATAAGTTAATCACCTGGTTGTTAAGTGAATCTGGCTTCCCCATTGATTTCGCTTGTCAGAAGGTCGCAAAAAGTGATCACATGATTCTTGGACAAAGCAATGGTCATAAATATCAACCATTTGCCAAGAATCTGGATTTTGATCATGTGACCATGGGGATGCTGCAAAGGTCATAACTGTGAAAAATGGTCATCAGTCACATTTTTCAGTGCCACAGAAACTTTGAACAGCCACTAAACAAACTGTTGTAAGTCAAGGACTACCCATATTCAGAGAAATTTTCACTGGAACAGAGACCGAAGAGAAAGCATGCTGTATCAGAAAAGAAAGAAGCAGGGAATTGTCAATAAAGGATTAATAAGGAAATGCAGTTAAAATGTTTTCCCAGTTTGATTTGGGATGGAAAAATTAGCCAGACACACGGGGGACAGAGGTACCACACAGCAAGCAAAAGTCAGGCACAGTAGGAACTTCTATATTTGCTTCTATCAATTTTCTTCCAAACATTACAGGATTACAGGAGGCTATATATTTTCAAACCATCAGTGTTTATTAAATTGGCTCCCACAAACACTTCATGTGGCTTGTGAATAGATTTTGAGTGCCGACGTCTTCGCTCACACTTTGTGCTAGTTGCTTTGGGGTCCCTGGCAATTTATTCCACAGGCATGGAAGCAGAAAAATGTTTTACAGAAATGGTGAATGGCAACTACTAACATAAGGCCAGTAAAAAAAGAAAAATAGGATGCTAACTGAGAAAGGGTTAGGGAGAAAAAGGTGTGGAACTTGGAGTCCCAGACCAACAAGGCTCATCAAAGCAGCTTTGGGTGCAGCACTATAGCCGCTGCCAATTGCTGTCAAATTGCAATGGAAATGTGATAGAAGGGGCACAATGGTTAAATAATTGAGTATAATATTAGTTGCACTTAATACCCTGGTTTCTCTTCAAATGACACAAATCTTATCATTTATATCTTCTGCTGAATGCTGGCTGCCTGCAATCTGGCAGTTCAAATCTCACCAGGCTCAAGGTTGACTTAGCCTTTCATCCTTCCGAGGTGAGTAAAATGAGGACCCAAATTGTTGGGGGCAATATGCTGACTCTGTAAATGGCTTAGAGAGGACTGTGAAGCGGTATATAAGTCTAAGTGCTATTGCTATTGCATATAAATGAGATCCAAATCCTCTTCCCTGGTCTTTTCCATCTTTTCCCCTGAACCCACTTAATTCCAGGATTGTGACTCAGGTACAAAAAAGATGAAATGCAACCCTCAGACAGAAAAAGCTTGTGTATTTTTCTATTAAAATGTGTTTATGTTTATATTCCTACTTTCCACTAGGAAATTCTTCCTGAATGGATTCATTTCATTCTCAAGCTTATTTATTTATTATTTATTATTTCAATTTCTATGCCGCCTTTTCTCCGAAGACTCAAGTCCAGTCTGTAGGTTAGATTTAAGACGTATCAACTGGCCAAAGTGTCACTTCTTATAAATTTGAACTCAGGCATTCCTCATCCATCACACCAAGCACTGAGTAGCCCCAGGTGGTCTCCATCACTTGACAGCTCCTCCTGGCAGCTTGACAATCAATCATTAGTCTACTCTAGTTGTAAACCTCAATTGGATTAGAAAAGCTACCATTGCCAATGTTGGAGATTCTCCAGCCAAATAAAACCTCTAACTTTCTTAATAAACAATAGTAACAGGAAGAATACAATCTAGAGAAAGATCAGCGGAAGAAAAGATGAATCATCCTCTTTTTTCCAGTAAAGGCAGTTATGTTTGTATGGACACCAACTCCTGATCCAGCAGCAGATGTGGGCTTTTAGGCTGAAAAAGTTGCCTATCAGTGTTACAAAGTAGTGATGTAAAAAGAGAGATAACTACAATTCTGTCTAAAGAGCAAGGAAATACATTTCAGAACTAACTGCTATGTATTCAGAACATAGTACTGAAGTGTTTGGACCTTCATCAATTAACCAAGTCACTGAGAACTATATTCTTCAGATCATGACAAAGCAATTAACCAACAAAGTGATTGTAGAAGCAACTGATGAAGTAAAATACCAGCCTATCTAATAGGTGCAAAATTTAGAAGGACACTCTAGAAAATTATGCAACAAAAGCTTTTAAAAATATAAAATCAGGAATTGATTCCTACCAAAACATTTTAAAATTGATTTACCTCTAACCTTAGGAGTTAACTGGTTTACAATTTAATAAGAAACATTTGTAAGTGGAACAAATTTTGGCTTCAACACCACACACAATAACAAAGGAATAATTCCCAATAGAGTGGAACTAATGTCCAAGAAAGCAAGTATAATTGCACTGAATATCTTATGTAAAAAATCTATATGCCATATTTTTCATCACATGAGGCAATGTAGAGAATGATTAATTAATGGATTAATTAATGATTCATTTATGGAATAATTCTTTTTGAATTCTGAATGTCTCAGCTGCATGCCCTAATGTGTTCTTAACCCAAACACCACACTGTGCTGAACAGATTCAGTCACACCATCACGCTAAGTTATGGTTTGGTAATATGTGTGAATTTAACATTATAGCTTAGTTAACAAACCATGGTTTGAGAATCTTTGGTTTAGCATGATATATGACAGTAAAAAGCAGCATTCTGAGTCCAAGTAATACTACCTTTTATTCTTAGGAAGGAATATTCTACCGCATAGCTCCCAGCGACTGCTAAGATCCCACAGAGTTGGTCTCCTCCGGGTCCCGTCAGCTAAGCAATGCCGGCTGGTGGGCCCGCGGGGGAGGGCCTTCTCTGTGGCTGCCCCAGCTCTCTGGAACCAGTTACCTCCTGAGGTCCGGACCATCCCTACCCTATTGGCCTTCTGAAAAGCAGTGAAGACCTGGCTTTTCTGGCAGGCCTAGGGCCGTTGATCTCGCTTTGCGATCTGACGAGATCCGGCCATGAATTGTGTGAATGGGTTTTAATGTCTTTAATTTTTGAGTGTATTGTGAGTCTTCGGAGAGGGGCGGCATATAAATTGAATGAATGAATGAATAAATAAATAAAATAAATAAATAAATGGGGCAGTGGAAAATTACAGCTCCTTTAAGGTGATTGTGATTAAATCTATTACCAAAGGATTTTCTTAATTAACTTGTTTGGTTCAGTGTATTAATTTTGGGCAGGCTGTTGTCTTAGGAACATCTCACCCAGATATGGCCTGCTGCTGCACAGATAGTTCAGGGAAGGGTTAAAAAAGCCATTGCCATATTCTACAGGTAGTCCTCAACATACAACCATAATTTCTGTTGCTAAGTGAGACATTTGTTAAGTGAGTTGCCCCATTTTAGGACCTTTCTTGACGCAGTTAAGTGAATCACTGCAACTGTTAAGTTAGTAAATTAAGTGAATCTGGTTTCCCGTTTGATTTGTGCTTGTCTAAAGATTGCAAAAAGTGATCATGTGACCCAGGGGTGGGTTCTACTTACCTTTACTACCGGTTCGCAAAGGTGCCGCATCTGTGCGCTTCGCTTGCACGCTGTTCTGCGCATGTGCGGAAGCTTCTGCGCATGTGTGGAAGCTTCTGCACATGCGCAGAAGCATTCTGACAACATCGGGGTCGGTGGGTGGAGCCTCCCACCGGTTTTACTATCGGTTCTATAGAACAGGTCTGAACTGGAGGCAACCCACCACTGACGTGACCCCAGGATTCGACAACTGTCATAAATATGAGTCCATTTCCAAGCTTCCAAATGTTGATCACGTGACCATGGGATGTTGTGACAGGCATAAGTATAAAAAATGGTCACCAGTTCCTTTCTTTCGGTGCCGTTGTTACTTTGAACTGTCACTAAAGGAACTGTTGTAAATCGAGCACTACCTGCAATCTGAAGGGGGGGGGGAACCATTTGACATTCTCTAAAGCCTGATGTATTTATAGGGACATGGTGCCTAAGCATTGGTAGGGTGGGACTGGCATATCGCCCCATGGTCCTTTAAGCAGATCGCTAACCCAGCGGATCCAACCGAGCTCTTTTTTTTTTTCACAGCAGCACACAACCTTGCGGATTCCACAGACTCTTTTTTTTTTTTATCAACAGCCTGATAACTCAGGCTCCTCTCCCAGGCTACGGCGGGCAAAATCAAAGAGTCGCCTCTGTCTTTTTTGCGCACCGATGTGAGGTGCGCACCTAGCCGCCTTTGCCTCCACGGGAATTCAATCCACCCGCCAGTCTCCTTTCAGCGGGCGAGCCTCCAACAGGCACTCGCAGCAACCGCCCGGCTCAACCCCCCCCCCCCCCCCCCCCGCCTCCCTAAACGTCCCCAGGGATTCGCCTCGCAGGTCCCGCACTAACCAACCTCTGAGGCCCGGGTTGTCATCCTTGGCTCTGATCTTGCGGATTTTCACCGGCCGCCCGCTCAGCGTGGACAGCACCAGCCTCTGCCGCAAAAAGTTGCTCCCGACGTAGCTGAGGGAAGGAGCCTGGCTCGCCATTGTTAACTGCCCGGGCGCCGCTTGGACACCGGCCGAACCTCTTCCCCCCCCCCCCCCCCCCCCCCACCGCCCCCCTCCTCAACCGCCAACCGTTCTGGATGCCGGCCGAGCCAACGGACGCCGAAGCTCGCGCCGCTCTTAGGATTCCCCCAACGCCGCCACGGTTTTGCCCCGCAGTGCCCAGCGCGCGTCCACGTGGTTTGGAACAGGAAGATGGAACGCAGAGACAGCGGCGGGGTCAAAGGAGAAGGGGCGGGACCTGCGGAAGCGCCGCCAGCGAGCGAGCTCAGGCGATTGGCTCCGGCGAGAGGAGTAGGAGGAGCTAACGGGAGAATGAGAAGGCGGCTTGCTCGGCCAGGGCATTGACGGAGGGAGGGTTTGGAGCGCTTTCTACCCGAGGACGGCACGGCCGCCAGTAGCATCTTTTCCCGGGCGAGTGGGAGTAGGCTGTGCGGCGCACAGGAGACGGCCAAGCACGAACCAGCCAGCTGATATGACTGGTTGTATGGCCGGTCTTTTCTTTAAAAAAAATCTCCAGTGATGAAGCATCCACCATTTCTTGAAGGCAAAGCTGCTCCACTGGTTAATTGTCCTCAACTGTTAGGAAGTTTCTCCTTAGAATAGGAATAGGAATAGGAATAGGAATAGGAATAGGAATAGGAATAGGAATAGGACTAGACTAGACTAGACTAGACTAGACTAGACTAGACTAGACTAGACTAGACTAGACTAGAATAGAATAGAATAGAACAGAACAGAACAGAACAGAACAGAACAGAACAGAACAGAACAGAACAGAACAGAACAGAACAGAACAGAACAGAACAGAACAGAATAAACAGAGTTGGATAATAGAACAGAATAGAATAACAGGCAGCGCCCGGGCAGTTAACAATGGCGAGCCAGGCTCCTTCCCTCAGCTACATTGGGAGCAACTTTTTGCAGCAGAGGCTGGTGCTCTCCACGCTGAGCGGGCGGCTGGTGAAAATCTTCTAGTAGTCCAACCCCCTGCACAGGCAGGAAACCCTACACCACTTCAGACAAATAGTTATCCAACATCTTCTTAAAAACTTCCAGTGTTGGAGCATTCACAACTTCTGCAGGCCAGTTGTTTCACTTATTAATTGTTCTAACTGTCAGGAAATTTCTCCTTAGTTCTAAGTTAGTCCTTGATTAGCTTCCATCCATTGCATTGCTTCTTGTTCTACCCTCAGGTGCTTTGGAGAATAGTTTGACTCCCTCTTCTTTGTGGCAACCCCTGAGATATTGGAACACTGCTATCATGTCTCCCCTAGTCCTTCTCTTCATCAAACTAGACATACCCAGTTCCTGCAACCGTTCTTCATATGTTTTAGCCTCCAGTTCCCTAATCATCTTTGTTGCTCTTCTCTGCACTCTTTCTAGAGTCTCAACATCTTTTTTACATCATGGCAACCAAAACTGAATGCAATATTCCAAGTGTGGCCTTACCAAGGCATTATAAAGTGGTATTAACACTTCACGTGATCTTGATTCTATTCCTTAGTTCTAGGTTGCTTCTCTCCTTGATTAGTTTCCATCCATTGTTTCTTGCCTTGCCTTCAGGTGCTTTGGTAAATAGTTTGTCTCCCTCATCTTTGTGGCAGCACCTCAAATACTGGAACACTGCTATCATGTCTCCCCTAGTCCTTTTTTTCACTAGACTAGATATACCCAATTCCTGCAATCATTCTTCATATGTTTTAGTCTCCAACTGCCTAATCATCTTCACTGTTAGGAAGTTTCTCCTTAATTCCAGGTTGCTTCTCTCCTTGATTCGTTTCCCTCCATTGTTTTGCTTTCTGGTGCTTTAGAAAATAGGTTGTTGCCCCCCCCTTCTTTGTGGCAGCCCCTCAAATATTGGAATACCGCTATCATGTCACTCCTAGTCGGGTGAAATCCAGCAGGTTATGACATGTTCTGGAGAACCGGTAGTGGAAATTTTGAGTAGTTCAATAAAGACAATAACTCTGCCTCTGCTTCGCAGCACAGCAAACAGTCTGCTTTAGTTTCATTTTCAGCACAGCTTGATTAGCACAAAAAAAAAAAAAAATCTGCCTCCCAGCAATTTGCCTGCTTGCAGGAGGCCGGCTAGGCAATAGGCAATGGCAATCTGCAGCATGAAACAGCTGCAACCCATGGAACAGACAATCAACCAGTGGTGAAATCCAAATTTTTTTACTACCAGTTCTGTGGGCATGGCGTGGAGTGGCGTGGCTTGGTGGGGGTGGCAGGGGAAGGATACTGCAAAATCTCCATTCCCTCCCTACTCGGGGGCCAGCCAGAGGTGGTATTTGCCAGTTCTCAGAACTGCTCAAAATTTCTGCTACCAGTTCTCCAGAACCTGCTGGATTTCACCCCTGCAATCAACTGCTTGTGCTAATCAGGCTTGCTGAAGCTGAAACCGGCTGTTTGCAGTTTGCTGCTTGCTGCAAGGAGGTAAATTGATGGGAGGCAGAGGCCAAAGGGTGTGGGGCAGTGGGTAGGCGGGGCTACATTAGGTGTATACGACACACCCAAATTTTCACCCTCTCTTAGGGGGGGAAAAGTGCGTCTTATACTCCAAAAAATATGGTAATGACCTTTTGCCACAGTTGTTAAGCAAACCAGTGTAGTTGTTAAGTGAATCTGGCTTCCCCCATTGACTTTGCTTGTCAGAAACTGGCTGGCAAGGTTACAAACGGTAATCACATATCCAACACATTGCATCTGTCATAAATACATGTCAGTTGCCATGTGCTGGGATTTTGGTCATGTGACCATGGGGATGCTGCAACAGTTGTAGGTGTTAAAACTGGTCATAACTCACTTTGTTCAGTGCCATTGTAACTTTGAACAGTCACTAAGCGAAGGCTCAGCTCGCTTCAGATCAGCTTCCAAGTGCAACACAAACTTTTAACATAGTAGATTTGTAGTTTATGTCTCTGAGCTTACTACTGGGTTAGGAAACATGGTTAGAATTGTAGTCTGAACATTGTGAGCCTTAAAGTTTTATTCTCACAGTTCTTATAGAATTGAATTGACTTCTGCACGTTCTGTGTATATGGAGGAAATTGATGCTGTTAAAAGAGTGGATGTTAGTCAGGAAGATCAACATTTTTGCACTCACATTTTTGGTTCCAGGCAAACTGGTTGTTACAACCGGCAGCAGCCCACCACTGGCAGAAACCGTGATTGCTGCCTGCTCCAGAGCCACAAGGTGAGCTGCAGAAGAGAGGGGCCCTCGGCTGCAAGGTTGCCTGGTGTCATGGGCAGGGCTGTGGCTGGCAAGAGTGCACCAGACACATCTCCAGGCGCCCGGAGAGACAGAACTCCTGGCCCTCGCTGGCTCAGCTGATCCGCAGGCCACAATTAAGGGACCAAGCAGCCATGAGGTGACCGTACCTCCTGCACCTCAAAAAAATCAAGACACCCACCCAAAAGAAACCCTAGCCATTTGGGGGGGGGGGTCAAAAGAAAATAAGATCTGGTCTTATTTTTGGGGAAACACAGTATTAATTTACTGCATTGTGTTATCCTAAAAAATGTGATTGAGTAATTCTGCATAAGCTAACTATTAGTGTCTCCTTCAGAAATAGGCAGTATATTTCAAATCAAATTTTGAATCTTTTCTGCTCTTTTTTTCCCTTAAAAAGACAACATTGTTTCTTCAGTATTGGAAGAATCACAGCAGGTAAGTGTATGCTGTATGCTCCAAACAAACCAATCGTATTATGCAGTGGTGGGTTTCAAAATTTTTTACTACTGGTTCTGTGGGTGTGGCTTGTTAGGCGTAGCATGGCTTGGTGGGCGTGGCATGGGAAGAATACTGCAAAATCCCCATTTCTTCCCAATCAGCTGGGACTCAGGAGGCAGAGAATAGATGGGGGCGGGGCCAGTCAGAATTTTTACTGTCGGTTCTTCGAACTACTCAAAATTTCTGCTACCGGTTCTCCAGAACTGGTCAGAACCTGCTGAAACCCACCTCTGGTATTATAGCTAAGTACAGTGATCTATTTTGAAAAGGAATTGCAGATAATTGGAGCACACTCATTGCCATCCAGATGCCAGACTCTCTTTCTGATCTTTCTAGACATCATTATAGCACTCAGGTCCTCTGAGAGGAAGAGCACTTTATTATATAAATAGAATTAATTATATCATTATTAAATCATCATAATCTTCCATTTATAATCCACTCTTCTCTCTTAATCTCTTCTGTTTTCTTTCAATTAAAAATCGTTTGAACAGGAAAAGACTAACTTTTTCCACATAATTCTAAGGCATGGTTTGTTTATTCCTATTTACAGGTAGTCCTCAATTTACAACCATTTATTTAGTGAGTAGTGCAAATGCATGAAATGGGGGTAATCAGGTGATCCTGATGACACAGATAAACCTCCAGATGGCCTCAACAACTCTAAAAGAATGCAAATAACCATCTGTCTGCAAGGAGTATAAATTCTTCTATTCCCCACCATCCAGTCAGAGCTGAAGAAGTTTCTTGGTTGAGAAACAAAATGTCTTCAAATAAAAACCAGAAAGTCCAGTTACCTCTTGAAAAAACACCTTTGGGACAACCATGACTTAGATGATTGAGAATCTCCATAGACAACTAGAAGTCTAGTCTTAATGCAGAATTTAGCAAGCCTAAGATAATTGGGACAGGACTTAATTAAGTCTTAATCTATAAAGCAGATAATTTAGGTAAAAATTAAGATACTAATATGCATCTTTGTATATTTGCAAAACATTCTGGGATTTTTAAAAAGGCTAAGTCTGATTTTACAATGGATAGCAATGACAGCAATGTTTAATAAATATTTTAAATTTAATAGAACAAGACCAAAACGTTTATGAACTCTAGTTGAAATATTAATGTCATTGATTTTAATTTTTTGAAAGTCAAAAAGGAACCCAAACCCCAACAAGCCCTTAAGTAATTCTTGAAATCAGTTATTGTACTACTTTTTAGGAGTAGCTTGATGTTACTTTTCTCTTCCATGCTTTGATTTTAATGGTTAATTTTCAGCTAAGCAAGACAGATGGTGAGTTTTCCCCCATTTTACGACCATTTTGGCCATAGTTGTTAAATGAATCACTGCAATTAAGTTACTAACACGGTTAAGTGAATCTGGCTTCCCCATTGACTTTGTTAGTCAGAAGGTCGCAAGAGGTGATCACATGACCTCGGCACACTGCAACCATCTGGCATTATAAATAAATGCCAGTTGCCAAGCATCTGAATTTTGATCACGTGACTATGGGGATACTACAACGATCATGGAAAAACGGTCATAAGTCACATTTTTCAGTGCCATTGTAACTTCAAACTGTCACTAAATAAATCATCGTAACTCAAAGATTACCTGTATTTGAAATTTGTAACATTGAATGGTTATGATGTGGTCAGACATTATATTTAGTGATGATCAAAGATGTTTGGATAAGAGTAATTACTTTTTAATTATTCAGTATAGCAATCGGCATAAGCTCAGGACATCCTTTAACAAGAGTTCACTATACATGAGAAGGTGATAGACATCTCTTCTCTACATTATTTTAAATGTTATATGTATATGTAACAGCAGTTTATACTAACATAATAATAAAGCTAATGCATGCACATAAACAATGCTTTTTCAGATGAATGAATGACTTTACAGCTACGTATTAGAGTTGCATATAATGGTGAAATGTGATTTCTCTCACCAAAGTGAGAAGCAACTTCATCAGTGTGGAATAAAAAGAGGAGTACGTTCACGGAGGAAAATTTTAAAATCACTACGGTATTTTAAAATGTTTGATAGCATAGTGGAAATATTTGTGTAGTGCATTAAGTATTTGGAACATATATCTCAAAATATGGCTATATGAGTAATGGTATAATTAATTATTTCTGCTTATCTTCCTGCTAAGGATCTTACTTTATCAAAAACCATCCATTTTTAAACTAGTCCTTCCTTAAAATCTATCAGAACCTAAACAGGGCTACTATTCATTAGAAAACAGAAGTACAAAACTCAAGCAGTCTCAGTACTTGAGGTTGCTTGGTGGAAACCTATAGGGGGTTTAAAATAACTTATTTGATCAAAAGAAGAAATGGATGGCACAGTGGTTGTGTTGGATTACCGTGACACTAAAAGGTTGCATAACTTGCCATGTGCATTAGACCCCCTGATTAGAAGCATTGTCAAAAATAGAAACATGGAAAGACTGCTGCCAATTTCCCAGTGTGATATGGAGCTTCTCTACAAGTTTGCTTGGCTTCAAATAATTGTAAGACAGCAAAATGTACATCCCACAAATTGTTTTCCATTGTAAAGAACGTATTAGGGCTTATCCCTAGGAATTCCACTTTTTCTCTCTCAACCATTCTTTCTTTCTTTTTTACAAAATGGAAAGAGATTTTTAGTTTGTTCTTCTACATCTGCTCCCTCACAGTCTGGAGATTTCCAACCCAGAACCCAGTGGAGTGCAGCTATTATCTGTACACTGATAATTGCTCCAAATTTATGCAAAATAGCTTCATAAGTAAGCAGAGGCTCCATGCAGAAGTTAAAAATATGGGAAACAACTTTGATAGAACTTTGTCTCATCCTAGATTCTGGGAGTTAAAGAGCTTGCATTTTAAAGTTGCCCAAAGCTGAATAAAAAACCACTGCTCTACAATTATTTAGGTTTGTCCAATCTTGGCAAATTTAAGATTTTTGGACTTCAATTCCCAGAATTCCCCAGGTGACATGGCTGGCAGCAGAATTCTGAGAGTTGAAGTCCACAAGTCTTAAACAGCAATAGCAACAGCACTTAGACTTATATACTCCTTCATAATGATTTATAGCACTAAAGTTGCAAGGTTGGACAAACCTAAATAATTGTAGAGCCGTGGTTGTTTTTTTTCAACCTTGGGCAACTTTAAAATGCAAGGTCTTTAACTCCCAGAATTCCCTAGCTAGCATCTTAAAGTTGCCAAGGTTCAAAAACATTATCTCCTTGGATTAATCTGGCTTTACCAGTAACAATCAGAGAGATAGGAGACAGGCAATTATAGATGTTGTGTTGCATGCAAAAATATTTACAGCACTGAAATACATTATTTTGCAGACAAACTTTACAGGTGAGACACCCGAAGTGCTTACTTAAAGTTTATACTTATGGTTATAAAGTGGTGTGGCTTATATTTTAATTACCTTATTTCCACAACAAGCTGATTTATATGTTGTGAAAGGAGTGTACTGGAGGCAGACATTCCCAAAGTGACCAACTGTACTGACTTCAAAGTTCAATCAAATTCCTGGAGAGTTAATAAGTTAGCTCTGAGAGGTAACCGAGCAGAGAGAGTAAATCTCAGGCTCCAGTAACGTGCAACCGGATAAATACTGTTTCAAACATATATTATATTTATCTATTTACTTTACATTTTTCAAGCAACTACCCATTTTTGCCATTCATTTTGCCAAGTTTTGGCCCAATGCAATAAAATAAACTTCTTGCTGCCCTATTGGTCATCCTGATTTTTTACAGATCAGATCTGATAATTCTGACTGATAGTGAATTACTGTGCATTCCTTTTAATGTAGGCGAGAAAGGGAAAAAAAGGGAGGGAGGGAGAAAAAAGAAAGGAAAGAAGAAAGGGAGAGAGAGAGAGAGAGAAAGAAAAAAGTAAGGAAGGGGGAGAGAAAAAATGGGAAGGAAGGGGGAGAAAGAAAGAAGGAAGGCAGGCAGAAGGGAGGAAAAAAACAAAGGGAAGGAAGGGAGAGAGAAGGAAGGGAGGGAGAGCGGGAGAGGAAAGAAAAGGAAGGAAGGGGAGAAAAAACAAGTGAAGGAAGGGGAAGAAAGAGAAGGAAGGAAATGAAAGAAGGGAGAGGCAGAGAGGTTGCAGACAGTGAAATGAGGGGAACGGAGCCCCGCTGACGCCGCCTCTACAGCGAGGCCTGTTTGCAGCCGGGAGGCCGGGCTTGGGACCGAGGGAGGAGTCATTCCGGGCTGCTTCGTCGACCAGGCGGCGGAGACGCCCATTTTCTTGAGTTGTTGGGCTGATACCTGTCGGGCCGAGGCCGGGACCGGCGTGGCCCTCCGGAGGAGATGCTGTGGACTTAGCGGGCGCCACTGCAAGGCGAGGGAGGGGGACGCTGGGATTCTGCTTTCGTCCCATCCCGCCAAGCGGCTCGGCCATGGCGGTGCGGGCGGCGCTGATGCGGGCGCTGATCATGGGGGCCCCGGGCTCTGGGAAAGGCACCGTGTCTTCCCGCATCGTCCAGCACTTCGCCCTGAAGCATCTCTCCAGCGGGGACATCCTGAGGGAAAACATGAACAAGAAGACCGGTAAGGAAGGCGAGTGAGGACGCCACCACGTAAAGCGATCTAGTTCAGAAACGGCAGAGTCGCCCTTATCTAGAAAAGTACAGAAATCCAACGGTTATATTTGTTATTCCATACAAAGATAAGAGTGGGAAATGAAAACGTGCTTTGGGCAAGCCTGGTATTCAGGTGACTTGGTTCACCTATTGTGCTAAGCCAACACTCGACGATTTGCAGGATATGGGAAGCCAGACGTTCAGCCCCCAGCCTGGTGTTAATTGTGAACCAAGCCCTGGTTGATTCAAGATTTGAAATTCTGAACGGGAAGGGTTACAAAATAGTTGAAAATAGTTGCAAGACGTCCTAGAATGAAAAGCTTGCAACTATTATATAAAGGTTTGGTCGGCAGGCCTTGTAACAGTATTCTCTTCATGTGGGTTTGGGGTTTTTATTGCTCCAACATTTATTTATTCCACAGCATATGGTATCCCTGTACCCTGGGCAATGTATGTACCGTAACTGTCATCAATAATTCTTTCCCAACTATCATTAAAACACCGGTAATGAAATTAAATGGAGCTACAAGTGCTTTTATTAATGTACCAACTCTTCATTGGTGTCTGTTTTACTTTCACTGTTTCACCTCATTGAAGAACTTGAATGAAGCTCAGATGTTTTAACAGATGAAGGACCAAATCTGTGGCACAGCAAGTTGAAATTCACTGTAGTCCTCAGAGATCTACTTAGTTATGTTAAGCATAGCTTAAGTCATATTTTTCCGGTGTTTGTAGTGCAAGCCGTCATGCATCCCTAAGAAGCAACATATGTGTGTACATTGTGGAGGTATATTTGGCATGTTTTCTAGCATGCAGTATCTTAATAAATTTCAACCTGGCATGGAACACTGGCAGATTCCATCATTGGGCGAGGAGAAGGCTTCTCTGATTGATTACATGATAATTTAAGGGCTGTCCAACCTTGACAACTTTAAGACTTGTGGACTTCACTTCCCAGAATTCCCCAGCCAGTATGGAAGTTGAAGTCCACAAGTCCTAAAGTTGCCAAGCTTGGAAACCACTGATCTCAAAGAATTCAACTTCCTTTATACAAATTTTTTACCTAAATAGCCATTCTGATTTTGATAATCTTTTTAGTATCTCGGGGATAATGGCATTGGGTAATCTGGAAATGGATCCAGTTGTTAACATGGCATTTGATCTGGGGCTGGAGCTAGTTTGTGTTAGATGGATTTATCAGTGTAAAGAGTCACAACTGTTCTAATGTAGCATTGCAGATATACTTTATAGTAATTGAAGGTTGTCTTGGAAACTGAACATTATCAAATGAAATCACTCTAGCCACTACTGTTTGCTCAAATACTGAGGAAGAGCGAACTCTAAAAGAAAAGCTTGCCCCTCATTTCTGATTTAATGAGTACCTAGGGCTAAGAATAAACTGATTATATATTTTAAAACACCTACAGATGATTTAGCTTTATACACAAGATCTGGGGGAAAAAACCCTAGGATAAATACCTGAGGTTTCCCAGCTACACTTAATAGCAGCATCGAAAGCCTAATGTTAGCAACTAATAGCTTCCCATTCAATTAATAAGCTCCTTTCATTTCCTTACCTTATACCAGCCACAGAACAAGGGGAATGCTTTTAGGGCACTATATGGAGAAGAACATTTGCCTGAATCTAAAATAGAACCTAATGTTAACCAGTTCCCTAGTTGGTCCTTTTCTTTCTTACATTAAATCATGTCTGAGATTCTCAGAAACTTGCTGAACAAGTCCTAGCAAGTTTTTTTTTTACAAGCTCTGAAATAACAGGCCTCATAAAACAGTTCAAGCCTAATAAACCTCAGATAATGATTTTATTGCTGCCAAAGTCTTATGCCATAATTGGAAATAACTAGCCTCTGTATTTTTCTCCTCTGTTCATCTACATGGATTGTACCACACAAATGCCCAACAACAGGGGTCTAACCATTATAGAGTGCTTGTTTATTAAGAGGGTACTTCTGAACTGCCTGCTATCGACCCATCAGCCTCTAAGCATAATAAGAAAGCTCTGTGCTAAAGTCAACACAACAAATTGGCTGTCTGGATTAACTGTTAGAGCATATAGAGGCAGATGTGCAAACTGGCTTTAGAGATGGACGCTATCCTCAACTTTGTTCAAGTATGGCAACATTTGGCAGAAAAATATTCATCTAAGGCAGACTCTGCCTCCCTTGTCTTAAGGTCTGCATTTGATTTCATTTCCAAAAGCAAAGTTGTGGAATAAAGTCATAAATTCTTTTATGATAGGTAGATACCTGGTTGCTGTTAATCCATAATCCTTGTGAGAATGCCAGTATAAAGGTTCATTGCAGTATGCAAGGCCATTATGCTAAACAGATCCCAACCCAAAAAACAGTACTTCGCTTTTAACAGAGTAGTATGAAAGCCTTATTTGGCAAAAGTGCATGTACAATTACTGTTTGGTGCTTAGATGGGACCTTACTGTTCTTTTGTCCTATTGCAAAAGGTCTGCTCCGAATTGTTCCAAGTGGCCCCATATTCTCCTAATATAGTATTTAAGGAGGGAGGTAGGATTGATTGAAATTGAAACAGGCTTTGCTTTATTGCATTCTGGTTGAAGCTGTTGTTCTTTTCGGAAGGCTTGGATCCTTTTCTTTTTGCAAAGGTTTTCAAATTTTGAATCAGCAAGGAATAGAACAATGTAGCAAAAATTGCAGTATTATGGTTTTTCTCCTAGGGAAAATTGAAAATTTCTAATTGATAATTTTCTAATTGTAAATTTCTAATCGATAAACTCTTATTGTACTCAAGCAATGTGCCCAAGATATGAAAACCTAACTGGATCCTTTTGCTCAGGGTCAGCAAGATAGCTACACAACTGTCCCTAAACTGTCCCTAAACTCTGGAGAACACTAACTTTAGTAAGAAAGCTACACAACTCTCCCCAAACTCTGGAGGACATTAACCTTAGCACCCTTTGTCTTCCTGTTTCCATCTGCTCAGTTCACATCAATATTCCAATGGACAGTTAATAGATTTACAGACATAGCAGAGTATTACCCTAAACTCTGGAGGACACTAACCTTAGCTACGATAGATAGCTAAACAACTGTCCCTAAATTCTGAAAGACACTAACCTTAGCAAGATAGCTATGCATAGATAGCTATGCAGTTGACCTAAACTCTGGAGGATACTAACCTTAGCATGCTTTAATACACTCCCTACAGGGGTTCTTGAGGGCAGATACAAAATAATTCCTGAACTAAGGCTGGGTCCTTATGGAGAATGGTCCATAAAAACCATAATCTGTGTTCTGCCATATTATGTTTTTTTTCTAAGGGTACAACGGTCTTTTGATGAAGTCCCCAGGCAATTCTGAAATATTTAATATACAGTTATTAGACCAGTATGATTCCATTTCTGTGAATGTAGTCAAATTCTGTTACACTGTCAGTAAAACCAGACAGTCCTTGATTTTATCCATGATCTAGACATAAACTGTTTTATTTTGTTCCATCTGATTGTTGTATTCTGATGAGTGACCATATTAAAAGTATGTATGTATGTATGTATGTATGTATGTATGTATGTATGTATGTATCCCCATATCCATCCTTTTTAATGCATCAATTTAGTATTTGGGTTAGGGATAGATTGTCCTGGAGAAAAGTTACGTGGTTGCTAGGAGTCAAAAATAACTTGATGGCACATCTTAGATTAGCACTGGAAATGTGCAAAGAATAAAGAGCAGTTCCTGTTGAATTGGACCCAAATCCTGCCCTGTTCAAACTTTTAAAGAAAAACATGGTTTGGCAGGCCTTCTGAGACCCAAGAAGTATGTGGATATTTCTGATCTTTTAACTGGTTTTATGATTATTTTTAAGTGTTATCTGAATTGTTAGTTGATTGTAAACTGCTCTTTTATATATTGTAACACAGTGTTTTTTATTTGTACATTTCTAAGTGATGCTTAGAGAGCCAGATTGGTGTACAGTTTAAGGCATCAGGCTAGAAATTAGGAGAATGTGACTTCTAGTCCTCCTTAGGCACAAAGCTAGCTGGGTGACCTTGGGCCGGTCACTTTCTCTCAGCCCTAGGAAGGAGACAATGGCAAGCTACTTCTGAAATCTTGCCAAGAAAACTGCAAGAAAGACTTGTCCAGGCAGCCTTGGACATGATTGAAGATAAGAAAAAAAGTGATGCTTAGAAATATGCTGTGTCTGAAATTCAGTTTACTTCACAATTGATTGGTGTTGGGTTGTTCTACTTTGTTTATAATTTTTCCAATTGAACAGATAGTAGAATCTGTTTAGCTACTGAGCATCATTCTCTGACGTGTTTTGCATAACATGTCTAAATGTATTATATTTTACAGAACCAGGATATAAGAAAGCTAATGCATAACCTGCAAAGCCTAAATTTTCTAAATTAACCACTATGATGACTCACACTACAATAATCCATTAGTCTGTAATCTATTAATTTATAATCCATATTAGAAAGATGGGTTGTAGGGAATTTGACAAATGACTCACATCTTGAATTGTGTTTATGAGAATAATTTCCATAATATTATAGCATGGTAAAACAGACTTTGAGATTATTTTTAAATTCTACTATAACCTCATTTTTCCACAGCAAATCTATAAGCAGTGCAAGTAGTCCTCGACTTACGTCCGCAGTTAAGTCCAACATTTATGTTGTTAAGTGAAACATTTGTTAAATGAGTTTTATTTCATTTTATGATTTTTCTTGCAACGGATGTTAAATGCCTCACTAAAATTGCTAAGTTAGTAACAAGGTTGTTAAGTGAATTTGACTTCTTCATTGACTTTGCTCATCAAAAGGACACAGAAGGTGATCAGCTGATTCCAGGATACTGTAACCATCATAAATATGAACCAGTTGCCAAGCGTCCAAATTTTGATCACATGGATGCTGCGAAGGTTGTGGGAAAAATGATCATAAATCAACTTTTTTCAATCCCCTTGTAACAGTCACTAAATAAACTGTTGTAAGTCGAGGTCTACCTGTAATATAAATAGGGAGGAAAAAATAGCCCAAAATATGAATATGTGAAAAAACACAAAGTGATAGATATGTACTGGATTACTTTTTAGATTTCTAAAGATTAGTATAAAGTCACTAAAAGATATACCCTGTTATTTTGGTTGCAGAATTTCCTCTGCACGCCCTGAAGGCATCTAGCCAGTTTAAATAGTTTCAAGTTCATATAAGTTAAACATTTACTTGTACCGACACTTAAAGGTTAACATCAGTGACTTCGCTGAGTTTAAAGTCTTGCTGTTCTTGGAGCATGTTAGCAGCTGCAGAAAGTATGTTTAATAATAGAGAAAAGAGCACAGATTTAGACTTTTCTTCTTAGGGCAGAAAGATGTTATTTGCTTGAGCAATTCATGAGCTTTCCTTTCTCCATAACAGGGGTGTCAAACTCGATTTCATTGAGGGCCACATCAGGGTTGCGTTTGACCTCATGGGGCCGGGGTGGGTGTAGCTGGGGTCGGCATGGCCCGCTCGACATCACTCGTGTCAGGGGCACCTGTGGTGGCCCGAGAGCTCTGCCAGCGAAAACGGGCTCCCGAGCTCAGTTTTTGGCTGCAACGTCCTCCTGCAACCCTCCTATGATGGTGTGCTTCAATGGTTAAGATGGCCTAGAGATTGGTAGTTGAACATAGATCTTTTTAACATTTATGTTTTATTGTGTTCTACTAATCTAGATGAAATGTTTATATATTGCTAGTCCATGTATGATATGCCATACACTAAATAATATTAATAAATTACTGTTCCTTTTCTTTGACAAAGTTCCTACTTTATGCTAGGAGTTTGAATGGTACATGATGGCTTACATGCAAATTCCAAGATTATATTTACATTTTGTTAAATTCAGTATATTTTAAAAATTAAACTTACACAGGCAATAAGAAACACTACTGTGTTCAGGGAAATGTCTCAATAATTTATGTGTGAGATTATTGGGTGCACTTTCTGCTCTTTGCTATTGAAGCATCATACTAAGTTGCTGACTCCTTCTGTCAGCAGAAGCAACTAAATACACATGCAGCTTTCCCGCTTTATAGTTTGTCTTACCTTTATCATTTGTTTAATGTTTCTTTCAAATTGGAATCAGTTCTTGATTTCCCGAAAAACCAGAATCAGAAACAAATGATAAGGTTAAATCTGAAATGACGCAGTTAAAAATAAACAGTGGAAGTCATGTTATTTGAAAGGAAACATGTAATGTAAACATTTAATAGATATGATTATGACAGCCAATTTGCAAGTGTGGTTGTATAGTCTAGGCCCATGATGGCAAACCTATGGCATGCGTGCCCAAAGTGGCACATGAACCCATGTCACCTGGCACGCGTGGCCTTGCCTGTTTGCCTTCCCGGTTTCTAGCGCGCATGCACGGGTGACTATCAGCTGTCCTTCACACACATGGCAGTACCGAAAACCGGTGTGCACATGCACACTGGCCAGCTGATTGTCGGGTGTGCATGTGCGCCAGAACCCGGAAGTTTGGCTTTTCCAGAGTGCAGTCCCGATTAGTGCGTGCGCGCATGCATAATATTTCCACACAAACTTTTCAGCACACAGTGCCAAAAAGGTTTGCCATCACTGGTCCAGGCTCTCTCTACAATCACTACATGCCGAAGTAAACCACAATAATTCATTAGCACCCTATTTGATCTACCAGTGTTTGTTTAGAAGCCAAAATTATCCCAAGTTATGGAATACTTCCAAACCAAGCTGCAAGGCCATAAACAACCTTAATAGTCTATTAAGTAGTTGATCTGGAAAATGTCCAATGAAACAAAATGGAAATTAATGAAGTGACTTGAATGGAGGAGTAGATGGAATTGAACAGTCTGTAAATGTAAAAGGAGAGGAAAAGAATGAATTAGCTATAGGAGCCAAAAAGCAAAGATTTCAGCTATGGAAGGAAAGAGAAACAAGAAGATATCTGTTGTCCTTAAATACTGAAAATCAAAAGAGTTAATAATTTGAGCAATGCTTATTTTGAACAAGAATAGTTTGATTTTGGTTTTGCAAGAGGATATTTTTTTTGGGCTGTGTTTCTTTAACCTTTACTGAGTCCTTAGTGTAATAGCAACCCTTAGGTGTAGTCTATAATTCTCTGGGAAAAATGTTTTTTTTATTGCTCATTTCCCCACCAATTAAAGATGAATGTTTAGTGAGAGCAAAACAAAACAAAACTATAACACAATTGCCTGCAAGTTCCCACTTCATTAAGATTTTTCTGTTCATTCTTGCTTCCACAGAAATTGGCCTACTGGCTAAGTCATATATTGAAAAGGGGCAATTGATTCCTGATGACGTCATGACCCAGCTGATGCTAAGTGAGCTGAAAACACTAGATCAGAACCATGTGCTGCTGGATGGTGAGAGCTTGCGTTGTACCTTTTTGTAAATGAAAGGTAGTTTCCAGGTAGTGAACCCTATATGTTAAACATAGGATGTTGGTTGATGATAAGGTGTTGGCATGAGTCAAGACTGACTTGAAGGCATACACACACGTATATCCAAGTTGGATTCTTAAACATGAGCTATAAAAGAGCTTGGATCCAGTTGTAGAAAAAAAGATACAAAAGAAAAGTGTCAACATCTATATTACTAGAGCTTTGTTAGACAAAGGATGTAAAAGTCTGTTCAAGCCCCTGATGCATTTTTGTCTGGATCATCTTGAGGGGCTTATTATAAAATTATTATCTGATAATAACCTTCTGAGCTATATAAATCAAGATGAAAAAATGCCAGATGAAGACAATGGAAAGGAATATTGTCTCTTGGAATTCTTAATTCTTTCTTTGATATCTGTTCAAGCAAGAGATAAAGCTTCATTGCCTAATTAAATGGTATAGGGACTGTAGACCAAGATAAGCTCTCTGGTCTGATGTTTTCCAAGTTAGGAAGCCTTCCAGTTAAATGGCCTTTGACTGTCACAATTTCTTAAAACAGTGTGGTTATTATTGAGAATTCTGCAACACTTGGCAAAATAGTCCGTGTGAGATTAGGTGGCCCCAAAAAAAGCAACTTCCGTTGAATTCTGAAGCATATGCTTAGTGAGCATAATGGCTAAATATGAACATGCTCCCAATACACCAAGGAGGAGGTGGATTTTGAGATCTGGTTAGATTCGACAATGGTTTGATTGAGTTTTAGTTGAAATGAAGTGTTATATAGAAACTATCAGGGTACTGTATTTTAAATGAAATGATGCAGCGCTATATGGGAATATTCCAAAATATATCCATTTTTGGCACTTGGGTGTAAATGTTTCCAATTAATAAGCAGGCCAAGCCACACTCAGTAAGAGAAAAGTGATGATATGTTAGCCGTAAACATCGGCAGATATGTAAGCCTGGTGTGCCTTGCCCAAACAGAACCCAAGTCGGAAAGGTAGACTAAACATTTATTCTTTATTTATGTATACAAGCAAAGAGGGCACCTCACCCATTTGAAGAGCCCCTTAGAAAGGTGGAGAATCAATCAAGGATAATATCTGTAGCTCAGGGTTGAAATTGGGGAGGGGGGGCTTGGTGCTCTTCAAGATTGCTTGTTTTCTTGCAAATGTTTCATTACCCAAACTAGATAACATCATCAGATAATGGTCTGTATAAGTCTGACCTGAGAGCCCCAAGAACCCCTCATGTGGAGAATCACTTTAACTTTAATCACTTCAATCATAAAGGGCTTGGACTGAGTCCTTTTGCTGGTTCCTATCATTTGACATATCTCTGATGCATGTAGCATGTAACATCTCATAATTTCTTAGTATGAACTTCTTACTGCTCATCTACATATTCAGGAGGTCTCACATTATAATGAGTTTGCAAGTTACTAAAGTTCAAGTCCATGTACGTGAAAAGAGAATCCTCGCCCTTGGTAAGTTTGAACCAGTTCTCTTATCAGGCTGTACTTGCGTAGCTTTCTTTGTTCCTTCAAGAACTAGCAACATTAATCAAAGAAGCATTAAAGAGCTAAAAACATTTTACTAAAGATTAAATATGAATGAACTAAAAACAAAGAACTAGAAAAATTAAATCAGACAGAGCCAGTTTAGTCTAGGGCTAAACGAGGCTTGAAAGCAGAAAACTGTGAACAAGTACCACCTTAGTCATGAAGGCTAGCTGTGGGACTTTGATCCAGTCACTCACTCTCAACTCAACCTACCTCACAGGGTTGTTGTTGTGGAGTAAATAGGAGGAAGAAGCTGTGTTGAACATGTTCACTGCCTTGAGTTGTTTATAAAAATAATACAGGTGGGATATAAACAAACAAAATTAATTACTAGAAAACATTAATCAAAGAAACACCCCTCAGCTGCTGCCATCAGCCTGATTGGACTCCATCATACTGACAACTCATTTCTGTGCCTTTAGCTATTTGCAATGCCATTTTGTTTTGTTTTTACACAGGCTTCCCCAGGACTGTCCCACAGGCTGAATCGCTGGATAAGGTGTGCCCAATTGACACCGTGATTGTTTTAGATGTGCCTTTTGAGACCATCAAGCAACGTCTGACTGCACGCTGGATTCATCCTGCTAGTGGCAGGGTGTACAATCTTGAATTCAACCCTCCCAAAGTCTCTGTAAGTTGTGCCTATATCTAGGGCAGCCATGCAAAAACAGATATTGAAAGCTATCTGCTGTTCATGAGTGTTCACCAACTTGTACATCGAATCCCATTTTTCCAGTCAGCAAATGTGTGCTAAATGTTGGCTGATCCCCTCTGTTGCTAACCCCTGAAAAAAGTTCATTGTGATTGTAATCAAAATAGAGTTGTGTTGTCTTTAAATAATTCTGTGAGGTAGGCTGGGATTAGTGTTAGTTGTTTCTCTTTTGTTGTGATGAGTAAACAATCATAGCTGACATGATTTAACAATATCTGGACAACTATGTTTAGCAATAGCAATAGCACTTAGACTTATATACTGCTTCACAGTGCTTTTACAGCCCTCTCTAAGTGGTTTACAGAGTCGGCATATTGCCCCCAACAATTTGGGTCCTCATTTTACCCACCTCGGAAGGATGGAAGGATGAGTCAACTTTGAGCCTGGTGAGAGTTGATCTGCCAATCTGCTGGCAGTGGGTGATTAGCAGAAGCAGCCTGCAGTACTGCACTCTAACCATTGCACCACCGTGGCTCATCCCAGTTTAGTTGGAAAATTGCTCATCTTTTGCAATGATCACAATGTAGGAAATAAATTGGCACTTTTTACTTCCAGAAACTGTATACTATTGGGAATTTAAAAGGAAATAGAAGTATCAGCCTGCTGGGTCGAGAAGCTTTTGATGCTGGGCTTCAGACTTAAAAATAAAAGTCATTTTAAAATGGCTGAAATAAACTAACATGAGATTTCAGTTATTATTTTTTTAAACAATATTCCTTTGGGGATTTTGTGGAGATCTTCTTAAAACATTGCAGATGCTACAGGACAGCCTGCTGAGAATGTCATATTATTTTTTAAATTTTTAATTAAAAGGCAGAGTAAGAATTGGTTGTGATGGCATTTGAGCAATATTTTCATTAGGAGTATTTTAATCAGACTGTAAATAGCTTTTATATTTTTTTCAAGTGACAGAAAATCTAGAAACAGACAATTTACCTTCTAGGTATGTCAGTAATGCCTCCATAAAGCCATTCTAGTTCAGTCCATAACTTGATTTTTTTTTTACCAACTTGCAGTTTTGTTTTTATATTCTTGTACGTACATACATACAATAATAGTTTTTTATAGAAATCAGCAGTGATCAAACTTTGTAAAAATAGTAACAATGTTAGAAAGATTGGACACATCTTTTGAAAGATCATGTCATACAATGCAGCCTTTAATTGCCATAGAAACCGTCATTGTCTCCTGCCCAATATTTTAAACCTGTCTCTTAATTGCTCAAGAGATTTCTTGGACTATTGCACGGATGCTGAATATTCATTTATTAAATATAAAGAATACCGCCTGTTACATGATGTGCTAACTTCTGTGATAAAAATGAGGGCAGGATTAGCAGTTTATAGCATAACTCAAAAACCAGAGAGCATGCAGATTCCATAGAAGAAAACTGATAGGTGTATAAACTGCTATTGTTCATAGTAGGGAATCTTCCTTTTCCTATAAACAGGGCCATGATGATCACACAGGGGAGCCTCTTGTTCAGCGTGATGATGATAAACCGGAAACGATTATGAAGAGATTGAAATCTTATGAAGCAGAAACCAAACCTGTCCTGGAGTATTACCGGTAAGCACATTTCAATGTGCAATATTTAGTCTTAATTCATTTTCTTTAAACATCTCTGCAACAATTTAGGGATGTTTCAGATGTGCGACACAAACAGTGAGAAAGGAAGCCTAAGCATGGATTTTTGTCTTCCAACTCATGGGGTGGTCTAGGAGAAAAGAGAGAAGCTGTTATGGAGTCCGTGTTTACATCTGAATCTATATAACTAAGAACCAATTAAGCTGAGATTAAGTTTACTTATAATCACACAGGTGTGTCTCATGACTATATATTGATTTTGCATCCCTGTAATCCCTTTCAATCCCTTTTTAAGTCCTGTCTGCATGAAGAATACTACTACTGTCTTCTGTCTTTGCACTCTTTTACCAATAGCTCTTCCTCCACACTCACGTTTGATTATATCCATGCTTTCATATTTTCAAAGGAAGTCTTTTAATTTTGTATTAGTAGAAAAAGAGGCATTTTGCTATAGCGATTCAAGGCACCGGACTAGAAACCAGGAGACTCTGAGTTCTAGTTATGCCTTAAGCATGAAGCCACCTGAAGGGCTTGGGGCCAATCACTTTCTTTGAGCCCTAGGAAGAAGGCAATTGAAAACAAATTCTGAAAAAATGAATGACTTTCCCATATATGACATCAGGAATCAAAATTGACTTGAAGACCCCAAAGGGGAAAAAGAGGAATAAGAAACATCTTGCTTTCTCTCATTGATGCCTCTACAGGTAATCCTCGACTTATAACTGCAATGGAGCCTCTCCTTTAGTCGTAAGTTGGCATTATCGCACAGCAGATCACCGTGTGACCAGATCTGTTTTTTTGACTTTTTGTGGCATACCCATTGTTCACTATGGACTGTTTTTGCCAAAAAACAGAAGTAAATGCCAGTTTTCAGCAAAAATGTCATAACATGTAGTCAGATGGCTGTGAGCTGCTGCAAATGGCTGTCAATTCAGGCCAGTTGCCAAGCGCCCACCATGCAGTCATATGACCATGGGGAAGGATGGCCATCAGAACTTCGGAATGGGTACCTTTGGGGGAGTCCATTGTAACTTTCTAAGGTCACTAAGTCACCAGTCATAAGTCAAGGAATTGTTGTGAATTTAGATATCTGTTCTTTTTTGTTGCTATGTGTCCATTCTGAGTGAGTTAGAATTAAAAGAGGAAAAATGCCCAGTGGGAGGAGAAAGGATTTTGAAACAAACATGACAAGACAGTACAATTATTCCTGTTGCTTCAAAACTGGGATGAGAGGATAAATTTAAGGAATGTATCCTTCTTGGTGACTTCTGCGTCATAGGAGTATGCTGTAAGAAAGGTACTTTAGAGCAGGGGTCTTTAACCTTTCCTGCTTGTGGACTGGTGGGGTGGGAAGGAGAGAGAATGGTTCCACGCAAGCAGTGGATCACATACTCGCACACACAGCTCCATAAAAGCACCTGCCACTCAGACAAATGGAGTTTCCCACACGAGTACTGCCGCTTGTCCAAATGGAACTGTGCGTGCTCACCCAACACTTGTATGCCCTGGTTTCGAATGGGCCACGGCCTGGGGATTGGGGACCCCTGCTTTAGAGTCAAATCAACCGTTATGGAGTCGCTTGGATTTTTGTAGCACCAAAACAATATTGCATGAATACTGTGCTCTGGCAACCAAAACAGAACTTGGCCAATGGTTATATTAACTTCTGTCATTTCCTAACCAGCTCCTGCTAGATGATTGCTACTGAGAAATGGTTATCTATTATTATTTATTGGTTATCAACTGTTCACTGAGATGATAACTTTATGACTGTACCCTGTGTCTTTATCCTCCAGAAGTTGCTGGTTACTGCATCAGCAGGGCTGTTTTCAGTTGTGGTTATTATTTTCCTGATGATTAAAGTTATACTTTGCCTTTCTTTTTGGATAAACAGTCAAGATGGTTTGCAGCCATTAAAATATATCTTGGAAAACACATAAAATTGCTAGAAGTGAAATAAGAGTTAAGTGCTAAAATGGTATCATTAAAGTTTGCAAGAGAGACACATTTTGGCCGTTTTCCTAAACTTTGGGTGAGAAGACTAAACACAGCTCTTAGGGAGGGAATCCATTCCGTGATCTGGAAGCTCTACAAGAGAAGGGCCTCTCCCAGATGCCAGATAATTCAGTTTCTGACTGCAAGGCCATCTTCAAATGTCTATCTCCTGCTGAGCCAAGTAACATGTCCTAAGTATAGATTTCAGGCACAGAATAAGAATTGATACAAATTATATGAAGAAAGCAATATAGTTTTTTTATTTATTTATTTTATTTTTTTATATAGTTGACAATATAGTTGACAGGTCCACTATGAACGAAACAGTAGACTTGAAGTAAGGGAAGGCCAAAAGAAAACATGGAAACAGCTTGTAAAGCTGAGGGAGGTTTTAAAACTACTTAATAAAAGAGTGCAAAAGCAAGTAAGGCCGTCCTCAATTTACAACAGTTTGTTTAATAACCATTTGAAGTGACAATAGCACTGAAAAAGTGATTTATTACTGTTTTTGACACTTACAACCACTGCAGTTTCCACATGATCACCTGATGAAATGGAGCTGCATGGCAACTGACTCATATTTATAACAGTGGCAGTGTCCCAGGTTCAAGGAATCACCTTTTGCGACCTTCTGACAAGAAAAGTCAACGGAGAAGCCAGATTCACTTAACAACCATGTTACTAACTTAACAACTGTTAGCAGTATTACAGTATTTAAGGGGCTGCCACAAAGAAGAGGGGGTCAACTTATTTTCCAAAGTACCAGAAGGCAAGACAAGAAACAATGGTGGGAAACTAATTAAGGAGAGAAGCAACCTGGAATTAAAGAGAAACTTCCTAACAGTGAGAACAATTAAGCAGTGGGACAGCTTCCTTTCAGAAGTTGTAGGTGCTTCATCACTGGAGATTTTTAAGAAAAGACTGGACAGTCACCCGTCTGAAGTGGTATGAGGTCTCCACTTGAGCAGGGGTCTGGACTAGAAGACCTCCAAGGTCCCTTCCATGTCTATTCTGATTAACTGCAGTGTTTCACTTAACAACTGTGGCAAGAAAGGTTGTCAAATGAGGCAGAACTCACTTAACAAATGTCTCACTTAGCAACAGAGATTTGAGGCTCAAATTCTCAAATTGAATACTACCTGTAGGCATTTTATAAAAGTTTGTAGACATGTAGCCATAGAATCTTTGTTTTTTTTCTGCAATTGATCTCTCATTCTGGACTCTCAGAATCTAATAATTGTGAGAAAAACTGTTAATGTGAAAATAACTAATGTACCTCGTCTTCTCTCTAGCCAAAAAGGAGTGCTGGAATCTTTTTCTGGAACAGAGACCAACAAAATCTGGCCTCATGTTTATCGTTTCCTCCAAACCAAGCTGCCTGAAGTGAGCCAGAAGGGGACTGCTACTCAAAGCTGAACATGATTCGTTTTACTAACACATGCAAACTACTAATATATGGCTAAATATCCAGTTTCCAGCAATCTTTGGAATCATAAAAAATCAGGAACGGACTGTGATGGAATTATGAGCTTGATATATAGTTGTCTGAAATCTCTAAAATGACCATGTTTTAGTTCTGTGCCAAAGTCTAGTAGGATGATTGACTGCTAGTTTTTTGTACTGGGTATACCTGGATTTTGTAAAATGTATTTAATAATAAACCCATTTTTAGCAACATTTAGTTAAAATATCCCTGGAGTTTGTCAAGAAAAGGATAGCAGTTTAAAATCAGTCCCATTTTGAGAATTTACACAAGACCCCTTAAACAGGATGTAAGGTAAAATCATAGTAAAAAGAATGAGGTAGTTTGTCTTGTACTCTATACATGTTGCTGGGCACGAGGCTTCTATAAATGAATAGTAATCTTGAATAGATCAGTTTACTATTTTGGATACTTCCCTGAAACATATGTATTAAGAATTCAGACTGAAAACTGTTTAGAACATTTTCAAATGTTTCAAATTCTAGACTACTTTCGTCAATATTTACCAAAATGTTCCAATGCTTTGTGCTACTACGACAGATCTTATGGCTAGCAGTCCTGAAAGTGAAATTTGTACCATTATGGTGTTTATATCAGGGGTGGACACATTTTTTCATGCCTGGGCATTTAGAATTTAACTTTTTTTTTTTTTTCAAATCTCCCAACAGTTGTAGAGGGTTTTTTCTTTATGCTGATAGCAGTAGTGGAGGAAGATGCCTCTTTTTGTAGTTTCTGGATGGAATTAGTAATTCATAATTAAAGCAGCCATTTTGCTTCTTCAAATGTACCATAATCTCTGTTGTTATCACAAACCCTTCGCTCTTTATCCCACCATCTTAGAAAAAAAGGAAGGCAACAAATTTTATTCAGCCAACAACAGTTAAAACATCATAATGCACAGCTATAAAAAAACCATAAACATAATCATCAGCTGAGAGGAAAAAAACAACCAGCCCCAACAAATGAAGGTAACCATTGCACAGGCTCTGCCATACATCCAAATCCTCAGTGGCAAAACCTTGTGTTTTAAGATCTTATGAAAGGGTAAGGGTTGGGGAGGGGGGTGATATCTAAAGGGAGGATACCATGGCAGCAAATGTTGCCTTCTTGGTCCTGCCAAGATGGCACTTTGAAATAGGACCTGGGGTGTATCTCTTTTGCTGGATCTAATAGCTCATGTAGACATAATTGGGGAGAGGCAGTCCCTCAACCTGGCCTCATGCCATGAAGGGCTTTATAGATCATTACCAGTACCATGAATTGAACCCAGAAGAATACTGGCATCAATGCAGCTCCTGGAGCAAAGGTGTAATGGGCTGACAAGGAGAATACATACCGTATATTTCGGAGTATAAGACACACCTTTTTCCCCCAAAAAAAGAGGGTGGAAATCTGGGTGCATTTTATACTCTGAATGCAGCCCCGCCCAGCCTCTGAAACAGAGGTTTCAAAGGCTGAAAAAAAAGCAGAGCTCACAACCAACAAACCTGTTGCCAAAATTCACCTCTGGGAACAGCTGATTGGGGTATTCCGGGAGGCAGATCCACCCGCCAATCAGCTTTTTTCTTATTTTCTTCCCAACAACTAAGGTGTGTCTTATAGTCAGAAAAATACAGTAATTGCCTGTTTGTAATGGACAGGAGGAATAACCTTGAAGAGGAGGAAGGGCTGCAACTAAGATATTGGTCAGATGAAACAAACCTTGAATCCTGGGCAGAAATGTAATTTGTGAAAGTGTCTCAGGCATGACTCCCCCTAGTTCTCAAGAAGATGAGAGAAAGAGAGGGGAGGTATATTCAGGCTTGCAAAATTATGCTACCGTAAATTTATAATACAAGTAGCATTCTTAACTTCAGTTTCCTAGCCTGGTCTACCTTGAAGAGCTGCCAACACATCACTGCGTTCTATATCACTTACTGATTTTGGATGCTCTTCAAGGCAATCCCATCTAAAGCATATTTTGCAAAGGTGACCAAGGCTCATGAGTGATCATGAGCAGAGCCTGCCAGTCGAGGAATGGGCAAAATTGGCACAAACAAGAAGTTGCACAAAGGGGCTTCTGGCCATAACTGCTACCAGTTCCTTGAAGAGAAACCATGAGTCCAGGCGGATTGTGCACAGATTTTGTTTGGGGTAGCACAACCCCACCCAGAGAAAATTCCTAAAACTAGAAAGTTCTAATATTCATAACCACTCAGTCTTGCTAAAGTTGAAGTAAAGCTGTTGTTTCCCTTTCAAACCTCACACCCTTGAGACACAAAGATTGAACTTCCACATTATCATTTGGGCAGGCAGGTACAGTTAAACTGTGTATCAGCATATTATACTGATACCTCACCTGTGCTGTGGGATGACCTTACCAATGGATTCATGCAGATTCTAAACAGGAGTGGAGACACTTTAAGCCTGGTGGAGCAATGCACAGCATGGGAAAAGGGCCTGACCATTCCACACCACTCCTCACTGAGTAGAACTGGCTCCAGAGGAAGAAAGAATCAGCACTTATATTTTGAATCTGCAATTGAACCCAGAATTGCAGCCAATGGGTAATAGTAAAAAAACCAAACAACTACAGGAACCCCCCCCCCCCCCCTATTTGACACTCTTCAAAATGATCCAAAGGTACTTTCTTAATAGGCCTATTTTCCTCATATTAGAGCAAATATTTCTAAATATTTGCAACTTGTCTTTCCATTGTACTTTGGGATACAAGACAAAGTTGAGCTTCTTGTCTTTTGTTTTAGCAAAACACATCAGGCTGGAAGAAATTGAGCTAACATAGTACATCGAGTTTCAGCTATATCCAAATTACCACATAGAAAAATGATTTCTAAACCATTATCAGTTATGTATCGGCCTTTTGCAAAAGGTGCCTTGAATCCTTTTCTTCATTGATACAACAAATATGTGAACGCAAGAAGAGGGCAGTAAACTGGGAAGAAATGGGGTGAGGCAAAAGATAAGGGCATATGGAAAACTAGAACCTAGTAAAGAAGTTTAGATGAAGTGGCGACAACAGAGAAGATGCAGTCAGAATACTAATTTCTTTCCTTCCTCCGCCATTTTTTTTCACCCTTTCTAAGTTGCTTGCCCCATGTTTCTGAAAGGACATGTTCATGGCAATATTTTCCCACATAGCCACTAGGCCAGGACTGGGCAAGTGAAAAGCCAAGTGTATTCCTTCAAGCCATCTCTTGTCAGACTTTTTGAAAACTGGTCGCAGTTTTATGAAAATTGCAGATAGGAAACATGAATGAACATACAACATAGAGAATTAACTTAGAATAGGTTTAACCTGGTTTAAAGAAAATGAAAATCCTCAAACTTTTGGAAGGTCAAAAGAAAAAAATCCAGAAGATCCCATTGTTTTCCTCCCTCCAACAACCAGACATGTCTTTGGCACTCAGTCACCCAAATAGTGCTAGGTATATTGCCTATCGGTATAATGGACATCTAGATCATCTGGTTTTCATTTAATGAGCAGGGGTTTGCACTAAAAGACTCCATGGTCCCTTCCAATTCTGTTATTGTATTCTAATTACAAATGGTAAGCTCAAAGTAGAGGTCCTTAGCAGTTGGGAAAGGTCACAAAGATTTAAAGTAGGTTACAAGATCAAAACAACATGGGCCGGTCAGCCCATATTGGCTGATAGCAGTTAATGTGAAAAAGAAAGTAATGCATTCCCATGCCAAGTACCCTTTCATGAGATGGTTCTACACCATACAATCCTGAACAGAAATGTGCTTCCTTTATTAAAATCATGATTCTGGATAAAGTCTCAAGTCATGATTAAATCAAACACATTACAGCAAAAGTACAGTTATTTTATTAACAGCAACTTATATTTTAATTCCAAACTTCATATGGGGCAATCTTAAATTTACAATATATTTCAGACCATGAAGCAAAATTTGCCACGTTGCCCTCTTCTTAAGGCTTTGGAAAAGTGCTTTGCAGCAGTGGGGAAGGGCAGATGTATGGACTTCAACTCCCAGAATTCTCAGCAAGGGCCAGGCTGGCTGGGTAATCACAAGAGTTGGTCTGCACACCTGGTAGTTTCCAAGATTTGGAGTCACTGCTTTAGAATAATCTAATGAAGTCACAAGGCAAATTGGCTAGAACTCAAATCAGCACTTCTCAATTTTCCCCTCAACCAAGTGCTTGAAATATACCAGATGACTATGGATCACTGAAAATGGTTTATTCTACAAATCAAAAGGACAAACATAACTCATATTTTAACAAATGTAATCTTGCCTTTAATGAATACACCTTTTTAATAAGCAAAGGACTATGATGCCAGTATATTTTTTGTCAGTTTTAGCTTTGATCAGCGTCACTGTTCATACTCCTTCTGTATTTGACTTTGAAAACAGCAAAAAAAAAATCAAAATCCCATCCCACGCAGGTAAAAAGCCTTGCTTAAAACAGCCTCTGCTACTCTAAATGCCAGTCAAATGGAGGGTAAAATTCAGAATACAGGCCTGATGTCATCTGTCTCAGAACAGAACAAAGTTGCTCATAGGCTTTAGTTTCAGAATCTTTGGATTATACAACAGCTGTAAAAAAAATTAATGAAATGATCAACAAAACAAATATGTTTGTGAAAAAACAGATGTTAGGATGAGAAGGTGATTACAGAGACAGAATGGAAAAAAATCACAGGCAAAACAATGTTGTCAGATAAAACACAATTCTTAACTTGTATCAGTTTAATTCTTTCTTTAGCTATGCCCAGAACAATCCAAAGATGAGTACTATTTCCCAACCCATTTTGCAAGCCAGCCAACTAGCAATTTTTAGTGTCCAGATTTTGTATTTGTTATTTTTTGCCTTCAAAAATTGAAATGTCTACACTCCTTGTCTTAATCACATTGCTAGAAAAATAGGTACAAAGCCGCACTAGACAGCCATGGCTATTTTTCTATTCTATGTGGATGACCGAATGTTTACATAAAATGGAGTCAACTTCTCTTCTGCCAGATTACTCTCTTGCTTTAAGAATTTATTTCCAATTCAATTACCATTTTAGAAATAAGCTGAGTTCAGAACATTCCAATAACAGAGTATTGGCTAGTTGAAGTTGGATACTGCTTTCTCATGTACCCTTAACATTTCATGCAAAAAAAAAAAGTTCTACTGACTTTAATATTCTTGTTGCTCCCTTGTTCTTATCAAATTTGGTCTCATATTTGCCACCGATTCTGCAACATCAGGTTAAAACCACAGTAGTAATACAGGTAGCTAAAGCCATTTCACAAACTTGTTGCTGATTTACTGTGTTGGGATTGGTCTGAAATTCTAAACAATGCAACTCAACCTATCTACAAGGAACCAGATGGAGAATTCTTTTCTATTGCTTTCATTAAAATTGTAAAAAAAAATTTTTTTTAAATGTAACTATCCCAGTCCACTTGCATCTAAATTAGAGTTCCATTGGAAAATTTCAGGAGACTGTTTTGCCAATCTTGCAACACACTATATTTGCTATAGTTGATTATTTATGGGGGAATTCAAATAGAACTCAACCACTCCCACACTCCAATGAAGTGAGATTTATTTTTGGAAAGAAATACTGATTAGTTTTGCTTCATCCCTAATTTTGTTCTACTTGAATTTAAAAAATGCCAATTTTTTGTTTTTCTACTTAAATCACTAGGGGCTTTTTCCCTGCTTGCTCCAAATTACTTTGCCTGCAGATTAATTTTCCCAAGAGCAGACCTAATGGAAAAGAAATCCAGTTTTTAGTCCCAACCATATTTTTCTATTCTCACAGAGCTGAAAACATGACCGTGCAAAAGTACCTAGAAATACAGGAGAGAGGCCACAAATTTGAAAAGTATAAAAAGTGATCTCTAAGAAAGTATATTACAATGTTACAATGTAAGCAACCATTTAAAAACAGTAATGGCTGAACTTAAAAGAAGCGATGCTTCAATAAAATTCTCCACATCTCAAGATTTATTTCCTCCATTCCGTTATTCTGTGAGCATAATCAACCATCATTTCTCACTCAGTTACAAATCAGAATCACACATTATTGTCTCAACCCAAAAAGTTCTGATTAAATTGCAATATTTAATGTCTTTATAAATTAGAGTTTTAAATGGGATTTTCAGACTTAGTTTCTTGCAAATAAGATTCTCTATGTTACACAGTTAGTATCATCAAGGCCTATCTGATCTTTTGTCATCTGAACCAACTTGTTAAATCCAGACTTCATCATAATTAAAATAACCAAGACCCAAGACACATCACCGGTTGCTTGTTAGCCAATTCTAACATGGATGTTCCCTTGCTACACTTTAAAAAATTATCCAAGGTACTAGGGAGTTGCTAGTTCATAAAATTATCTTCTCAATCAACCACTGAAAATTAATTTTAAAATCAGTGTCTCATTTTGACCTTTCTTTCTGGATTAGATTTTCAGAAATATGAAATAACTAATCATGATTTACTCTTATGAACACCTCATTATTTGAAGCTATTCTGGGAAACATCCAGAATGATAGATTAGCCTCTATACTTATGACAGGAAGCACCCCCAAGTCATAGTACTAAGTGAGACCTAAAGAGATTATAGTTTGCTTTAATCAGAAAACTAACATGAAATTGCATTCAATACAAAAAAACAAGACCCAAAGGAACTTTGTCAATTCTGGGAAGATTGTGTGAATGAGTTGAGACTCAATTATTTTTACTCAGTAGTTCCCACTGTCAATATTCCGTTTAAAGGAGAGAAATTTAGGAAACTAAAGAAAGCAACAAAGCCCTGGTCAATCACACGTCACTCTTATCTTGCATGTCAATATTGCTTCTTAGGGACTTTATCATAGGCAAGTATGTTTTTGGATAGAATCTACAAATCCTTCCTTACTCTAGAACTGTGATGCTTCAAGACTACTCATTGAATGCAATTATGTACTGATAGCATTTACAAAGTTGTATTTTAACATACTGCTACATCAAGAGTGATTAATTCAGAAGCAGATGGATAGAATAGTAGAAAAAAATGTTTTTCATTATTTTGGGCTTTGTAAACAATTTATAAGAAAAGGTTTACACAGTCTGATGTAAATGACAACATTTCAGTACCAAGTCTGTATCAAAGTAATTTCATGGCTATTTGGGTTATTTGGTTTTAAAATAGTCACTGATTATTTCTTTTGAGGCATTCAACAGTTTACCAAATAAAAGATTATAAGCTCAGATCTGAGGGGGGGAAAAATCAGAATTTGGCACCTGATGAAACACTCAGCAGTGGCTGATGTTTGTCATATTGTTCTCATTTCCAAGATTAAGAAAAGTTAAACTTTCTGTGACATATGCAGATCTGTCTCCAGAAATACTGGTTATAATTCCACTATGGCCACTTACACATCAAGATATGTAAGAATCAAAATAAAATATAGAAGGCTCTCATTCAGAAACAGTAAAAAACATCCCTGTAATATAAATGGCTAGTGCTTTTTTGTGAGCCATCCAGAGATGCAACACCAATAGCAATCATAGATTTATTGCTTTTTGTGATAAAATCAGATTTGAATGCCTAGGATGCAAGCAACGGAACACATTACAATGATCTTTAGTATCCACAGCAACTTTTGGGTAGTATCTAATAAGATTAAAGCAGATTCCTGAAGGAATCAATTGTAAACATTGCAACTGTGCAGGTTTCTCATACTTTGATTACTAAAATTAAAAGGCAAGATTTTAGCAGTAGCAGAAAACGTAGTTTCACATTCAGCAAATTACAAGAACATCCCTTTCTTAAAAGTAAGAAACATAGGAAGAAAGATAGCAGCACATTTGTTTTTCAAAGAAAATGATGTGTGTTTCTGCCTTACTCTCTCTCCAAAAGCTCAAAACAAAACAATTCCCCTCCCTCCATTCAAAATAAAGTGCAGCACCCATAAAAAGAAGTCTTAAGAAAATTGCCGTCGTCTTCTCTTGGAAAGAAGTGTACTTGGCTTCAGTCTTAAGAGTACTATACTGTATCCATCATTTTAGCTTCTTCCTCCTCTCTGTGTACCACTAAACCTTGCAAACTGCAGCCTTGAAGCGATTCTGCATTCTGCAACGAAGAGCACACACAGGTCAGAAATCAATTTCTGAAAAACATTTAATTTAAATCTATGCTTTGTGTTGCTGCAGATTTGCATTTTTTTATACCATTGGTGGGACATGTGGACACTTCACTCAAGTTTCATTGTCATCACATCTCAAACTATACTGGACTAAAGGTAGATAAACTAATTTCCACAAGGAATGGAACCCTTCTGAGATTATGCTAACCAAATTCCTACCTGTGATTTCCCACCAAAAGCCAGCAGGCAATAAGTGAAAATAACACTTAAAGCTTCTGAATGGTTCTACCCATGTCTTCAATATTATAGTCCTTCACAAAAAAAACTGGAAAAGGTAGAATAAGTAAAAATCTCAGAAAGAGAGGCCTATCACAGCATCATTCTCCTGTTCCCTTTAGTTTTTCATAAGGGAAAATATATTCAAAAGTTGGGTTGCGTCCCACAAAGTGCTTCATTGACCGTGAACCAAGTATGAATTTCCTTCATGTATTACTGCTAAGCAAGTAACTGTTCTTTTAAAAAATAATACAATTATTTTAGCACAGGAACTGGTTACGTAACAGAAACTGACATGACACCCCAAGAAATTATGTCAGGGAATGCAGAATCCAAGCAGAGATTACAATGCGTGCAGTAGACATACTTTATGTGAGGAATTCCTCTGCCAGCTGTTCTGGAAATAGTCCTGCTTAATATTTTAATCAGGCACATTAGCTTATGAAATACACACACATTAGTGAAGGTGGAAAGTTATAGCTTAAATGAATCATCCAATGAACTGAACTAACTGGGAAAAAATGCCCAGTTCACTGTAACGGCTTCTTGCTATAACAGGCAACTTTGTAGTAGCCAGAAGCCACACTTAAAAAATAGTGGAAAATACTGCAACAGGGAGACCAGAGACAGAGAGACAGTGGACACCAAGGTAGGATATTTTTGTAGTAAATAAATAAATGTAAACATTAGCTTTTGTTCTTTTCATTCAACCTACATGGTAAAATGATATATATTAATTACTTAACATTCAAATGAGCCTTAGCTTTCTACCATGGGCTGTGAGAAGGAATGTAGGGAAGTAATACGAAGAAGATGGGAAGTAAAGATTTTTTTTCTTGATACTCCAATAATACATACAATTAAACAAAAGCTACCTGAGGTGCAAGTCCACCTATACAATTCAGATCATTGTGAAATAAAGGATTCTGAACAGGCATAGCTTGACAATTCTGAGATTGTGAACAAATCCTCACTCTTGATTTGAATGCTTCCAGTTCATTTTTAAAAGCTTCCAAATAGCCTTCATCCCCTGTCTGTCAAACAAACACAAAAGCAATTAGATAACCCTGCAATTTAATTTTCAATATTTTGTGCTAAAAAATAAGACATTCCAGCAAAGCAGACTAGAGTTAATTATAGAATCTATTATCATTCAGATAAGCGTAGATTTTCACATTTTTTACTTTTGTTTTTGTTCTATGTAGGGTTTTTTTTTAGTTTGGCTAATCATAGTGGAGGATTAATCAGTGACAGGTGTTCAAATCCTGATGAAAGTTATTCAAACAATGTAGTTTATAACACAAGCATTCTTCTTCCCCTCCACATCATTTATACCACAGTGCCCATAATTTTCATCAACATAGCCATTCTGGAGGATGTAAGAATGGGATAAATTGCCACATGAAGAAAAACACCATCTAATGACTCCTTTCTTTCTCAGTCTTAGGATATACCATTAGACTTGCAAACTATGTAAAATCTTTGTCATACCAAATTTGTTAGATATAGAAATATTTTAAAATACTGAACTGTGCTCAGCTGTAATAGATAGAATTAACCTCTCCCAATATTTCTCTTTTAACTTTTCTCTTTAATGTGTAATTGTATATTGAAAGTGAAACCACTTATCTAAAATGGTATAGGGCAGTGGTAAATCTAAAATTTGTTACTACCGGTTCTGTGGGCGTGGCTTGGTGGCGGTGGAGTAATGTGAATGGATGGCGTGGCCAATTTTTTTTTTTAACTTTTAAAAGCATTTTTTCTACAACCTCTTCGAAGAGGTTGTAGAAAAAATGCTTTTAAAAGTAAAAAAAAAGCCTCTGATGATTGTGCGGCTCAGCTGGGCATGGGGGGGGCAGGGATTTTTGCTACTGGTTCTCCGAACCACCCGCCTCCATCGCTACCGGATCAGGCGATCCGGTCCGAACCGAGAGCATTTCATCCCTGATATAGGGTTTCCTGCTTCAGCAGGGCTGGACTAGAAGACCTCCAAGGTCCATTCCAACTCTGTTATTGTTATTCCTCTGCCCCTTAAGGAGGTGCCTGCAAAATGGGTTGAGGGGCCACCTCCACTTGATTACATTTGCCTGTCCCATCAGGTCTGGCAGAAAAACCTTTTCATAATTTTTCATGTGTAAGGCCATCAGTAGATAACTATTTTAGCTATCAGTTTCCTACATTCAGCCCAAAAAGAGACTAAACTAAAAGTGTTTACTTAGAATGGCAGAATATACCCTAGAGCTATCAAAAGTCTTCTGGAATTTTACTCATATGCAGAGTTAAAAATGAGCTAATCTACAATTATAAAATTACCACTAATTTAAATAAGTGCTAGTAATTACATTTTAAACTTCCTGAAGTCTCAGAAGACATGTTACAAAGATTTATTCAGCCATTTTAAAGTTATATCTCCAACGAATATTCTTAGTGGGGAATACATCCAATCTGACCATCCATAAATAGTAAAAGCGCTGCTCACAAAGCAAATTTCCCCCCCTTATAATCTTTTCAACAAGATGGACACTCATATTTTTGCCACTGTATGATTCATATTATGTGAATAGCATTCATATTTTCATACATAATTTAGGAAATAATCTTACATTCACTTAAGCTGTTAAAACACAAACAGTATAAAAATGGGTCCCTATAAAGATGAAGAATCTTTAGAATAGTTTTGGATTGTGCTTGAGGAAGTGAAAAGAGATAAGGAGAATTCAAAGCCCATTTATGTATATAAATTTACTTATGTGTCATTATGTAGAATCCATCATTCTTATTAATGGATTTGCATTACAGTGCCCTTTAAAACAGCTTACACTCAACAGGTATTTGTTGAAAATTGTTACCACACACACTGATCAAGCAATGCAACAAAACCCTATGACATAACAATGTCCATAATTCTGTGAGAACGGGTTTTAATGGAAGAAGATGGATAAAAATATAAGGTCCAACAGACGAGGCATGATTTGGATTTCATCTATAAAGAAATAATACCTAGGATACCTTTCTTTGGTTACTTATATGATTGTCACTATGCTGCGACAATCTGCCACTATGCTTACTTATATGTTTGTGTTTTTAATTGATTTTTATTTTATCTTATTAGCCACCCAGAGTTACTGTTTTTAAGATGGGTGGCCATTGACTGAAATAATGACAATGAAAACAGTAATAGCAATAATCCCACCAAACTATTCTCTTGGAAAAGCACTTTAGCATCTAACAACCAAGGAGAAAGTCTGGCTAGGCTTCAAAGAGCCTGTAGTACAGTGGACTAAAGCACTGTGATTAACATCTGCTGCTTGCAATTACTGCAAGTTCAAATCTCACCAGGCTCAAGGTTGACTCATCCTTCCATCCTTTCAAAGGTAGGTGAAATGAGGACCCAGATTGTGGGGGCAATAAGCTGACTTTGTATAAATATACAAAAGTATGAAGGCTATTGTTTAACGATTTGTAAGCCACCCTGAGTCTCCGGAGAAGGGCGGCATATAAATTAAAGAAAAAAAAAAAGTGGATTCCTAAAAACTTTTTAAAATGGCCTCCCTCCCCCTCCCTCCATGTTGAACAGAAAGCACCCCTCCTCACCTTAGCTCTTTGGAAAAATAGGCGAAAACATCCTCGGGGATCCACATTACAGCTCTTGGCCATTTCTATAATGAACTGCATCACTACAGCTTGATGAGCTACTTGTTCCATTAGAGCGCCTTTCTATAAAAGAAACAATTCAAACAATCTGTAAGAAACAATCAGAGTACAAGTAGTCCTCAAACTTATGTCTACATGGGTACCGGAACATCTGTGATTCAATGAATGGTCATTCAATGGGCCATGCCTGATTTTATGACCTTTTTTTTACCACAGTTGTTAAACAAATCAATGTGGTCATTAAGTGAAGCCTTTGAGCTTCCCCTATTGACTTTGCTTGACAGAAGATCACAAATGGTGATTATGTGAACTGGGACAATGCAACCATTGTAAACACATGCTGGTCATCAAGCATCTAAATTCTGATCATGTGACTGCTGGGATGCTGAAATGGTTGTGTAAGGACCAATCGTCATAATTTTCAGCAGCTTTATAACTTCAGTCACTAAGTAAATGTGTACTTTGAGGACTACCTGTACCACATTTGCAAGCTAATAAAGCAACAATTCAAGAAGCCCATATTAAGTGGACCAAACTAAGTTATGCACTAGGAAGCTGCCTTTGATAACCAAAATATATTAGTTAACTGTCAAGGTGTGATGTGAAATACAGGATTCCTATAATTCTTAGAATTATAAGAATTCAATAATTCTTAGTTTTACAAATAATACTTGAAGATGTCCATACAGTATTAGTTCACAGTGTGTTTACAGAAAGACATGCTGTAACTACACAGACCCATATGTAAATATAATACTATAGATAAATCAGTATTTCCAAATGAGTTGCTGTACAGAAGTAGCTCAATCAGTCTGATTCTGAAAACACATTACACAATAGAATTATTATGACTGCAGTCATTAGTTTGCAGTTCAGAATAAAAAAATGTTCAAGGCTGATGCTTAATAAAAAGGGCCATTCAAAGCATTTGGATGATTGTTGTAACAATGGCCAATTATTAATGTAAACCAAACACTACCTTTCAAAATGTACAAATCTGTGGTTAAATATCAATCTAGCACTGTTACATAGAGTAAATGATTTTGAGATTTCAGTTTAAAAATTAATTGCATTATCCACCCACAAATTATTTATATAGAGATTATGTACAGTTATGACTTCAGAATTTGACTTTTATATAATTATTGGTTTTAATGAAGATTCAGTCAGCAAGTAAGAAATCATCTTAAACATGTGATAAGCCATTACAGAATATCTAATTCTCAGTGCTAAAATGAAATACAATTTTGCACTATATTAGGAAGTTAAAATATTTAAGTCCAGAAGAAAATGACACTGAAATTAGTAAATTTCCCAAATATGGACAACCTCAATGCAATTTAGGGTAAATAGAAAAACAGCTTTATTCCAATTACAACATCAAAACACTGAAATTATACCTGTTCTGCTTCTAGATGAAAACACCATAAAAGAAGATATTTTGCTGTTTCTTCACAGACAAGGTATGGGTGATCAGAGAGAAATCTCTGACTATCAAACCATCTGCTCAACATTCCTGAAAAACAATGAGATGCAACAAATAGTTTTCCTAAAACTGAAAAAATGCTTGGTTATAATTGAGTCCCATTTATGTTAGACAGGAATAAATTAGGCGTTTTGGTACTGCTACCCATCCCATAGCAATGAGAGATTAATACTTTGTTTAGTTCAGTTACTCAGAAACAGTGTATCTCAAGGAGCCTACTATGGATTTTAGGCAAAATATTTCACTTGTTAAACTAGAAATGCATTATTACTGTAGATGTAGGTCATGAAATGATTCATAAGTAAAAAACTTACCAAAATGTCTAATTTTCTCCTCATGTTTTTGCATGAATGATTTAGATGCATCTTCCTCAGTTTCTTTCCGTTTCTTTTGATTAATAAAACTCTGGCAAACAAAATATGCAATATACTAAAGTGTCACATCTGACAGTTGCTAATTAATCATTGCTTAATTATCATTGTGAATAGTCCTCAAGGTTATTTTGGACTACGTACATCCATTTCATTTATACTAATTAAAATACACTTAGTCTCTCTATAGTCAGGAGTTACTTATTTAGATTAGAGAAGCTACTCTAATTATGATTATACATCAGTCTGAATCTGAACTGAATCTTTCATTCACTCAGGTTTTATATTTTTTTCTCTGATGCCACCTCATAATTTCCAGTATCTTAAAATATGCTATGTATTTAAATGTTTATTAAATGTTTAAATGCAACAGCAGCTTATTTAGTGTGTACTGAAAATTAATAATTTCTTTTAAAACACTTTAAAAATCTCTAAGACTGTGGCATTTTTAAATTGTTCTTAATGCCCCATTTTCTCTTTCCAGTTAGATCAGGGGTGTCAAACTCAAGGCCCGCAGGCTGAACAGTGTGTGCGGTGATTAGTTCTGGCCCGCGGGGCCACTATGGAAACAACAAAGGGCCGGCCCACAGTGCCTTCGCCAGTGAAAACGGAGCTTGGGAGGGCCGCATGCAGCCCTCCCGAGCTCCATTTTCACTGGCAGAGGGTTGCAGGAGGCTGTTGCAACCCAAAACAGAGCTCAGGCGCCCGTTTTCGCGGGCAGAGCACTCAGGCCACTACAGGCCCCCCCCATGAGTGATGTCGAGCTGGCCACGCCCCCCCCCGAAGTCAAACACAACCCTGATGTGACCCTCAATGAAATCAAGTTTGACACCTCTGAACTAGACCAACTGCACAATACTGTTGTCAATAGTATCAAAGCAGGAAGTGGAGAAAAATGGAATTTTGGTTTCAAAGGATTCATATATCTTGCTGATTTGGAATCAAGCTTTTCTCATAATGCCTCTAGAATATATTCTTCCCACTCTTTTTTTTTTTTTTTGCAGAGTTGGAGAGAAGATCCAGTAAATCTTCTGGCTACTAGGAAGGCATTCTAGTTTTGCAATAAAGCAATATTAAAGAATCCTACTGTGGAAGCAAGCCTAAATTTAAATACTTTCAATTGCTAATGCCAACAGAAATAAGTCATGTTAACCATTGTAATTTATACATTCCTCTCATGTATCTTGATGTTTTGCTTCAGACTTCAATTAGCATAGTAGTGCTCTACAAAATTACAGTACTTATAGGATTCAGAAGAAACAAACTTTAGTGACCCAATTCTATGAAGAGTTTAGGTATACCTGAAGTTGTTACTTCAGAAACTCAAGACACAAAGAAAACCTGAATACAGAATTTTTTATACAATCTGGATCATTCTATACCTTGTTAAATACCTCTTTGCTAACAAAATCCATATTCCATAAATTCTGTCTCTCTTTCTGTCTTAATACTTCCTCCTTCCGCCGCCATTCTTCTTCTCTCCATCTCAATTCATCAATTTCTGTCTGTGCTTTGGCATGTTCTTGGTCCAGAGATTCTGAATTGTGTAATGCTAAACTTCCAAGTTTTTGCTGGGCTTCTGCTAAATTCCATTTGCATTCCACAGAACTCTTTACAAATTCTTTTTGCTGTTGGCAAGCCAGTTCGATTCCATCATTATAAGTCTGCAAATTAATGTCTCCATTACTATTTGGAAATAAGACAGGCAAAATTACATGAAACTTGGGGATAAATGAACCAATTTTTAAAATGTCTTAAGAAATTGCATATGGAACAGTTACATGGTGCAAATGGGTGAGACTCAGTAAAATATACGGGTGTGCTTCAATTGATCCTGCCTCTGGCCATTCTGTGCGTGTGTGTGTGTGTGTGTGTGTGTGAGAGAGAGAAAATATATACATTGACACACTAGGATCAGATTTTATTACTTCAGTAGTGAATCTGAACGTCTCACTAAATGTACTTATTTACTATGCACATATGCTAATAATGGTACCATGTTACATTTTCTTTATCACATAATTAAGAATCATTCAAAAGCCTTGTACTAGTCAATATAATAAATATTTTTGAACTTGTAGAATGATAGTGAGCAAAGGATAAAATTTAATTGGTTTCCTTAAATCATTTTGACAAACTGAACTTATTCTACACAGGATTATCTTTGTTCACAGGAAGGAATTATAACAATGTTCATTAAAAAAATATAATCAAGGACTTCATACTCCATCTCATTTTAATACATATACTTGAACTATTTCTAAGTACAAGACAGCTAAAGACATAAAAATTAGTTCCTAGCCATGAGAGAAAAAAGCTTAAATTGTCCTTAGGCTATGTTAATAATAGTATTTTCCCCCCCTTAATCCAAAGGTATCTGTACAATCTATAGAATTTGTTGGGCGTTGTTATCATTACCTTGAATGGAAATCAGTTTACTTCAATGACTTGAAACAGAGACAATAGAGGCACAGAGATTGCCAATGGAGACAGCATATTTCACATCAATATAATTTTCCACCAATTCAAGAGAGATGGACTAACACTTAAAAGCAGGAGTAGGAAAGACCCTTGAATCACAATTGTGGACTTCTGTACTTACAACAAAGCTCAATAGGACTACCTTCTAATTGTGAAAATTAGATTAGCCCTTAGAAGCAAATTTTCACTTATTTGAGAATAGATCCAACACAAATATATTCAGGTAGTCCTCAATTTACAACAGTTCATTTAGTGACTGTTCAAAGTTACAATGGCACTGAAAAGTGACTTATGACCGTTTTTCATACTTACAACCGCTGCAGCATCCCCATGATCATATGATCAAAATTCAGATGCTTGGTAACCAGTTCATACTTATGATGGTTGTGATGTCCTGGGATCACGTGATCTGCTTTTGTGACCTTCTGACAAGCAAAGTCAATGGGGAAGCCAGATTCACTTAACTACCCTGTTACTAACTTAACTACAGTAATACGCTTAACAAAGAAAGGTCATAAAATGGGGCAAAATTCAGTTAACAAACATCTCACTTAGCTACAATTTTGGGTTCAATTGTAGTCATAAATTGAGGACTACCTGTATAGGGATAGTTTGCATGATACTTATTAAATGTATCCCTTACTGCCTACATGAGTGGAATATGCAAACAGGAACAGAATTGGATGACATGGTTCTTTTTAGGGGCATTTATTTCAATAGATTATAGGAAAATTAATACAGATGTTTATATAATAGCCATGCAGAACATATAGGGAGTTTTCTGTGAGCGATGGATGCCTCCCGAGATTAAATTAATCTCAATCCCTCCAAAAAAAGGTGTTTTTTTTTTCATTAAATCAAGTCCATTAAGGACAATAGGTCAATACTGAAATGCCTGAGATTATGAGGGAGGGACAGAGGGAGGAAAGGAAGGAGGGAGGGAGGAGAGAAGGAGGGAGGAAAAAAAGGAAGGAGAGAAGGAGTGAGGAAGAAGAGAAGGAAGGAAGGAGGAGGGAGGAGAGAAGGAGGAAGGAAGAAGGGAGGGAGGAGAGGAGGGAGGGAGGAAGGAGAAAAGGGAGGAAGAAGGGAAAGAGGAGAGAAGAAGGGAGGGAGGAGAGGAGGGAGGGAGGAAGGAGGGAGGAAGGAAGGGGGAAGGAGAGAAGAGGAGGGACCAAGGAGAGAAAGAAGGAAGGAGAGAAGGGAGGGAGGGAGGAGAGAAGGAGGGGGGAGGAGAGAAGGAAGAAAGGAGAGAAGGAGGGAGAAAGGAAGAAAGAAAGGAGGGAGGAAGGAGAGAAGGAGGGGAGGAAGAAGGGAGGGAGGGGAGGAGGGAAAGAAGAAGGAAGGGGAGAAGGAAGGAGGGAGGAAGGAGAGAAAGGAGGAAGGAAGGAGAGAAGAGGAGGGAGGGAGGAGAGAAAGGAGAAGGAAGGAGAGGAGGGAGGAAGGAGGGAGGAGAGAAAGGAGGAAGGAGGGAGGGAGGAGAGGAGGAAGGAAGGAGAGGAGAGAAGGAAGGAAGGAGGGAGGAGGGAAAGAAGAATAAAGGAGAGAAGGAAGGAGGGAGGAGGGAAGGAAGGAAAGAGGGAGAGAGTTAAAGGAAATAAAGTTGGGGGGGGGAGTAGCCAGAGCAGAATGAGCAGGCTGAGGGAGATTCATGTCCCACCTGCGGACAAGTCTTTGGAGGGGCCGTGAAAGAAGCGGCGTCGCTACGAAGAAAGTGAGCGTACCTGCGCATTTGGGTGAGAAAAGTCTTCAGCCCGACCCGAAGGTGCCTCACGAGGACGCGGAGGCCAAAGCTCCATTCTCTCGCCGAAGCCCACCCAAAGGCGAGGACCTCCCCCCCCCACCTCCTCCTGGCTTGAGCCGCTACCCGAAACCGTTGCGGACCCCACCGGAAGCGAGAGTGCAAGTCATTTCCGGCAACAACGAAGCGTCCCCTATTTATGATTTCACCGCGCTGCCTCCCTCCTCTGTCTGACTCTATCGCGTGACGGCCTCGGCATTGACGGGCGGGGAGGACGTTGCTAGGAGACCGGGGAAAGCGCGCTACCACGGCGCGCGCTTGAGCAATTTGTGAATGGTGCCTCGGCTACTCAGTGCGCGGCTGCGGCGGATCCGCTGGCAGTCATTTGTCGGCGCAAAATAAGAAGTTTTATCTCGCTTAAAAAATATAACAGCTATACAAGCGATCCCGCCCGCCTGTGTTTGTATATAAGATCCACGGAGGTTTTTTTTTTTCTTTTAAAGTCACTACACGGGATTGCTGATTTTTGTTGTTGTTGTTGTTGCAAAGAAAAAAAAAATACAGGAACATGTATGGCGCATCATCCAGCGATCTTTCAAGTATTTGCGTTGCTGTTCTCCAGATAGGCTGAGCTCCCGCCAACTCCAATTAGTAGCTGAGCCGACAGATTTAAAGGCTCCCGGTCGGGGAGCCTTGATGGTGCTCCATTTTTCCTTTTGTTTTTTGGGAAGAAATACATCCACACCCGAGAGGGGGGAAGAAGAAAGAAAGAGAAAGTCACACAAGGAGAAAAAAAGAAAAGAAAAGGGAAGTTCTCGGTTCATTATAAGACACTTGGAGTCTGGATTGCACCAAATTGGGAAGCGACGGACCATTTAATTCAAGCAACTTTCACAACTTGGTCAATACATCCACTCCCGAGAGAGAGAGGGAGGGAAGAGGGAGAGAGAGAGAGGGAGGGAAGAGGGAGAGAGAGAGAGGGAGAGAGAAAGACAAGCAAAGAAAAAAGAAAAGAGAAGAGAAGTTCTCAGTTTGTTTTCAAACACCTGGAATCTGGATTGCACCAAATTGGGAAGCGACGGACCATTTAATTCAAGCAACTTTCACAACTTGGTCAATACATTATACATCCACTCCCGAGAGAGAGAGGGAGGGAGGAGAGAGAGAGAGGGAGGGAGGGAGGAGGGAGAGAGAGAGAGGGAGAGAGAGAAAGGCAAGCAAAGAAAAAAGAAAAGAGAAGAGAAGTTTTCAGTTTATTTTCAAACACCTGGAGTCTGGATTGCACCAAATTGGGAAGCGACGGACCATTTAATTCAAGCAACTTTCAAACAACTTGGTCCGCAATGTAACCGGCTGCATTGAAATCCCTGAACTGTCAATATTGGAAGCGACAAAGGGCTCGATCGGGGCTGCCGATCCCCTTTCCCGAAGGCTGGGCGAGGAGAAACTGAGCGCGCAAAAAGAACAGCCGCGAACCGGGAGTCCAACCGCAGTCGCATCCCCAACGCGACCAGGGATCCTTCCCCCCCGCTCACCCTCCCCACCTCCCCACGCCTGAAGTTGCGAGGCGACCCGGGCACTCCCGCCTGAAGCCTCCCCGAGGCCCCTCCCCTCCCCTCCCCTCCGCCTAGCCGGGACTGCTGGAACGTTGGCGTCTCCAGGGTGACGCGACGCTTTTTCCTTCCACGGGACAGGTGTCGTGGCCGAGCCCCCCCTTTTTCGCGCCGAGACCTCGGGTGGAGAGCGAGAGCGAGAGAGCTGGTGGGGATGCCACTGAAAGTAGTGGTGGAGCTGCAGATCCATGCGGTGAGAGGGGCGCGGAGCCAGCAAGGGGGAATCTTGCAAAGGTAGCTGGAGCGGGAAATGTTTGCAGCCCCCCCCCCCCCATGATCCCGGACTGGGAAATGTGCCTTTTCTACTTTCAGTGGTTCATGGAAGGTGTGCGTGCGTGGTGGTGGTGGTGGTGGGGATAGTTGATAGAAGGTTCGTGTCGTTAGATGCCCTGCTATTCTGCAAAACGTTAGTGAAGCTGCAAAAGAGAATAATTGGAGAAATTTGGCAATTCCCGATCTCGGTGATCCAGCTCTGCTGTCCCTTTACACCCCACCCCAAGACATTTTTGCAATCGTTATTATTGATTCAAATATATTTTTTTTCTAATCCAAAAATGGCATTGAAGAAAAGCAAAAGTCACTTTTTGCTTTCTGTGTTACATGCACTGCTAAAGTGAGCTGCTCCCGACCTAGGTTAATAAGTGTTAAAAATTTTATCCTAACCCTAAACTCAATCTATTAAAGAACAATATTCTGTCAGACATTGCCCTACTTATAAATCTTACTTGATAAATTAACCGAAGATCATCACTATAAAATTGCCTCCTGGTGCTAACCGTCTTGCTAACTTGCTAACAGATTTCTAACTTTAACTTCAACCTTTGGCCATCAGATTATTTTCCCAAAGGATTGTTGCAACACTCAATTTAATTATAATATAAGTTTAAAGGAATTCTATGCATTAAAACTCTCTATAACACTAACCCTGATGCTTACTATTAGCATATACTTTCTGCAATCCTTAACCCTAACTTCATCTAGACTCTAACCTTAACCCATACATAAAAACATATTCACTCCAAAGTGAAAGGAAAGAATAATTCTTAGGGGGGAAATATATATAAAATTAACATGAAGCATAAGTCATTTGAAATATCAATACAAAATTTGAGCTAGGCCTCAACCAATCCTAACCTGTACTGTAACTTCGTCCTAGAGCCAATTCAAATATTCACATTAACACTTATTCCAGCAGGCAATTCCCAATATACTAGAACATAGAATAGCAAAGTTGGAAAGGACCTCAGAGGCCATCCAATCCAACCCCCTGCTTGAGCAGGAGAGTTTATACCATTTCAGACAAATAAATGGCTGTCTAGTCTCTTCTTGAAAGCTCCCAGTGATGGGGCACACCCACAGCTTCTGAAGGCAAGCCATTCCGCTGGTTGATTGTTCTCATTGTTAGGAAATTTCTCCTTAGTTGTAAGGTGCTTCTCTCCTTGATTAGTTTCCATCCATTGTTTCTTGCCTTGCCTTCAGGTTCTTTGGTAAATAGTTTGTCTCCCTCATCTTTGTGGCAGCACCTCAAATACTGGAACACTGCTATCATGTCTCCCCTAGTCCTTTTTTTCACTAGACTAGATATACCCAATTCCTGCAATCATTCTTCATATGTTTTAGTCTCCAACCGCCTAATCATCTTTGTTGCTCTTCTCTGCACTCTTTCCAGATCGCAACATCTTTTTTATATTGTGCTAATCAAAACTGGATGCAATATTCCAAGTGGGGCCATACTAAAGCTTTGTAAAGCAGTACTAATACGTCACATTATGTTGATTCTATCCCTCTATTAATGCAGCCTAGAATTGCATTTGCTTTTTTGGCTACTGCCACACATTGTTGACTCATATTTAAGTGATTGTCCACTTGGACTCCAAGATCCCTCTCAAAGTTACTGGCATTGAGCCAAGTTTGACCTCGTCTGAACCTGTGCAGTTGGTTTTTCTTGCCTAAGTGTAGAACTTTACTTCTACATTGAATTTCATTTATTAATATTAATCAATATTATTACTAATACTATTAATCAACAATCAATATTAATAATCACTACTTCCCATAAGAATGCATTCTAATCCCAGCGCTCATATGAAAGCTTAATTCATTTTTAAGGTATCTTAAACCAAACCAGGATGCAGTGCAATTTTATGGATTGTGTTTTAGACTTTTGTTAATGTGAGAACTGAATAATAGGACAATGGATAGGCAAAACTTTTATATGTATTCAATTTTCTTAAACTTAAAATCCATTAAACTATGATAGGATTTTAAAAATGTTTTAATTGTTTTTAATGTAAAGCTGCCTGGAGTCACACAGCCATATAAGTTTGTTTATTTAATAAATAAATAAAATTGGGGAGCATTATACAGTATTTTTTATGCTTAAAGAGAATCTTCTGCATAATTTGCACTTAAGAATTATTACTGCGGGTCACATTTGGGTGAATAGAATCCCAACTCTAACCTAACCATTACTACCTTCACCAAGTTCAAGGAACCCTAAACCTAGCCGTATCCTTATCCTTACGTATATAAATAATATGTACTTCAGATATTGCTTTAGCACTCTATCTTCCTCATAAGATCAACCAAAGGATAGCACTATGCATAAACATTCATGTTGTATTCTCACCCTCATTTTTATCATAGATTTCAAGGAAATCTAGCCCTAACCTTAACTTCAACTTCAGTCTTTCAGAATATTTTCCTGAAGTATTGCCCCAGAATTCCACCTTAACTTTAATGTCAATTTTTAAAGTATTGCTATGTCCAAAATCTCCTAATGCTAATCCTCAGATTTATTTTTAGGATAAAACATTTAGAACCCTAACCCTAAGTTTATTCTATCCTTATGTCAAACTGTTAAAAAAACTTTAAACAGAAGCACAACATTCACTTGCAGATGGAATGCTATGACCTCCAGCAGGTAGAAGAACATCTGTCCTCCTCAGTCAACCTAACATTACATCCATGCAGTATCACACAGCCATGTGTAACACTTCCTGTGTCAGGTCACAGCAAGCCATGCAGAGTGTGGGATGGTTCCCCACCTATTTTATCTGACAGGTCTTCTTTTTCTACCATGGCAAACATTTCCAAGGAAATATCGAAGCCATCCCATGTCTACATTACTGTGTCTCATTAGAGCTGTACATAATTTTGCAAATGGTAGAAGATGTAGCAATTAGATAATGCTAGATGTGGCAAATGTCCCATTTACAGGTGGTCCTCAATTTATGACCACAATTGAGCCCAAAATTTCTGTTGCTAGAAAGACATTTCTAGCTAGTGAGACATTTATCAAGTGAATTTTGCCCCATTTTATGACCTGTCTTGTCTCAGTTGTTAAGCGAATCACTGCAGTTGATAAGTTAGAAACACAGTTGTTAAGTGAATCGGGCTTCCCCATTGACTTCACATGACCTTGGGACACTGCAACCGTCATAAATAAGAACCAGTTGCCAAGCATCTGAATTTTGATCACGTGATCATGGGGATCCCAAAGGTGGTTTTTCAAGAGGCACCTGGACTTCCTGGTTTTTTCTTTGATGGGGATGTGGCAATGGTTGTAAGTGTGAAAAACAGTCGTAAGTCACTTTTTTCAGTGCCGTAACTTGGAATGGTCACTAAATGAACTGTTGTAAGTCGAGGACTACCTGTATTTTACATTGCGCACTCTGACCACCTCATGATGGTTGTGATCTCATCTCATTTTCATCAAAGGTATCTTGCCCTGGTGTGTATTTGACAGAGAAGAACGATGTTTATCTCACTGTTTGTATCCTGGGCCAGTGCAAGGAGACCGATTGCATTCCTCCAGTGTTCCCTCTCTTGTTCCATGAGAAAATGTGGTTTGAGAAGGTATGTTAAAAACAAACAGAAATGCCCAATGTCTTGGCTTGGTTTCTTATTTAAGTGTAAGCTTTGATTGGACCCATAAGTATGGAAGGTCACAAGCAAGATAGCCTCGTTGGAAATCCCTAAGAGATCATCTGTCCCACCCAATCTCTTGTCAAGGCAGCATCTGTAATGCAAAGGATAATGACAATACTCCTGGCAGATGCCCAGTTATGTCTTAAAGAGTATCTACTTCATTCTAAGGCAGAGTGATGAAATATTAAATAACCCTCGTATTAGGCTGTTTTTCTTAATGCTTGGTGGAAAGCTGTTGTCTGCAGTTTACATTCACCTGTTATAATCCTGTGGGAGGTGTCAATATTTTGAAAGCCATTTTACACATCTAGTACATAGGTAGTTTTTTTTCTTCTTACGATACACGGTTGGTTTGCAGAGATGAAAAAGAATAGAAAGGCACAGGGAAGGGTGTAGGCATAAAAAGGATTAGATAGGATTTCCTTGGCTTTTCTTCTATCCTCTGCCTTTGATGCCTTTTGTATCTTACGCTTTCTCTGCACTTTGTAAATGTTAATTGCCGAGAAAGGGAATAGCCATGGTGGGATCAACAGCTCACCCCAGTTTTATGTATGTTACGTGTACAACGTAAGTGAAAAAGAGCTGGGACTTTGATCACAGATCATGGCTGCAATCTTGACCCGTACCCCGACTGCAGATGTCTTTGAGCCCTTTGTTGGAATCCAACGTTTGAAATGTTTGTTCCAATCATTTCAAATAAGTGTTCTTCAGGATTCTGCTCACTGAATATAAATATCAGGCGAGACATTTACTGTAGAGCAGCTGCCATCCTGATTTTCCATAGTGTCTCTAGGCCTCAGAGGCTGCTTTGGGGGCTCTCTGATGCTGCTTTTTTCATCAGCCACTCAGTGGTTCCTGCCGTAATGCAGCAGCTGCTCCCCTCCCCATCCCTTCCATCTCCATCAGTTTTTCAGAGAGGCAGGATGGGAGCAGAAGGCAAAACTGTGTCCTTTAACCCAGTCCTTTTTTTAAGATGAGTAAACTTTCCCTCTCTCTCTTTTTTTAGCATGGCTTAACTTTGGCCAATTGCTTTCTACCATCATGCAAAGGTTGTCATATACTATGGGTATTATGTGGGTGCTTTTTTAAAGGATTTCTGGTGTGTTTTATTAATGTAAATTAACCTTGCTTTATTTTAATAGTTAATGATGGCAGATTTCTACCACAGTGTCTGCATGCCAGAATCTAACTTAGTAATTCAGACAGTTTTATTTAGTAATGGTTATTTTATCTGATGAATAACAGTAAAGGGTCTTTTAAATTTCCTTCATTAGTACAAAAACATCTATATTGACATTTTGATATTTATGTGTATTTAACTTCAGTCAATTTATTAAAATTTGAAAGGATGAATATTAATCAGATGAAATTTTCTTGAACAAATAGTTATTTCTAACAGTTTTTTTTGAAAAACCTTTATTAACACTTAAAATCCAAAAATACAAGTTAAAATACCTCTATAACAAAAATGCATCCGTAATAATTATACAATTCAACGTCTTTCTGACAGTACTTAATTCTTAACTTTCTTCATCTATTCCCATATATTCCTACTTAATCGACATATTTAATCACATTTTATATCTTATTTTGTTCTATCCATTCCTTATTTTTAATTTAATTTAATTGGAAAATGTCCACTATTCCAACAGACTCTGCAATAATCCGGAAAATTTTTGAATGTGCAGAAATGGACAAACTTACTTTAGAATTAAATAATAAGGAAGACTCGGAATATTACTTAACTTGGGACAATTGGTATCAATGGATAGAAATCTAACAGTTTTATTATCGTCCTTTTTTGTTTCTATTCTTGTAGGTATTTGAAAATGTTACAGATCCTATTACCGTTGTAGAACTGCTAGAAAGTAAGTCTCCCAAAATATATTCCCTGGTCTTCCAAGTAAAATTTGCTTTGAGTGGTCAGTGATCAGTATTATACAAATTTCTTTTAAAGAAGTTAAATACATGAAGACATAAAAATAAAATAATGAGGTATAAAAAGAGATGTTGGAAACACAAAATTAATTATTGAATTACCACAACAACCATCAGACTAATTACTACACATTTAGTAAAAAAAATGAGATAAAGAGATCCCAACATTCTAATTCATTAGTTCTTAAATGTACTTAGGCAATTACAGTAGGTATACAACCCTTAATAAATGAGTAAATAGTACAATATTTACTATCAGTGATATTTAACATTATAAAAATATAAAATGATCATTTTGAAATTCTGGTCATGTATTCACTCTGTTTTTCAGTAATATAGCCATAATTGGCCTGATAGCTGTTGCAGTGCCACAAAACACATGTATAAAAAGGGCATAAAGTGCATTGTGAAGTTGCAATACTTGTATCATCAACAGTCATCTCCCCTAACCTCTTGGGAGTCCATTCTAACTCTGCTTTCCCACTCAACATGCGTTGAGGGAAATACATGTCAATTCACCAAACTAGACCAGATTGAAGGTGCTGTAGGCATTATCACAAAATATAGCCAGAGATGTTACAGATGATCTGGTTCAGACATCATAAACAATCATTTTCCTATTATGTGCCAAAACTTGAGTCATACAAAATCTTTCCCTTCTTTCTGTTCTTGTGTGGCAGTGCATAGGATCAAAAGCAGAACCTTTTTTTTTTTTTTACTTTTAAATTAAATCAGGAACTGCTATCCTGATGTTGTTTGAGCTTGGATGATTGATTTGCTCAAACTATTAATAATGAGATCAAACAAAGATTAAACTGAGCTTTCAGGGTTCAGGTGAAATCACAACTGAAAGTATAGTTTTTAAAAATACAGAATGTGAAGAAAAAAGGGATGCGGTGTGGTGCTCTTTGTATTTCCTTCTTTGTAGTGTTCAGGAATATGTTTGAAGATCATATGTGGCTTGGGAATATTTCAAGAAAGGCTTTTTATTCCCCTCCTACAATAGATTAGAATATTAATAGATGGAAGTAATATTTGGATATCTTAGATATGAAAGTTAACCAGGTGATCTTGGACCAGTCATTCTCTTTCACCCCAACCTACCACACAGGATTGTTGTTGTGAGGAAAATAGGAGGAGGAAGGTGTATTGGATATGTTGGTCACTTTGAGTTGTTTGTAATAATAATAAAGGCGGGAAACAAATAAATCAATAAATGATTTTTCAGTATCTATCTTGCATTAAAGTGAACTAAAATGAAAGGGAGGCCCTTGAAGACTAAAATATGGTAATACCATATGAAGATCTAAGAACATGTTCCTCTTAGGGTTTTGAGCACTTTTGCACATAAGTGTTATATTTGCTTATTACTCTCATGAATAATATGTTTGATCTCTCATTTTCAGAAAACGTGGCAAAGTTTCGATTATCTGAATTGATACCTTCAGGTAAATTTGAGAAATATTTTTTCAATCTCATCTATCCTGTAATGGAAGAGTTAATAAGGAAACAATGAAGTGAGCTTTTTGATCTCTGATGTTGCCATATTTATCACTAGCATTAGTTATAAATGAGGTGGTCTTGAACAGAAGTTATATAGCTGAAGTTTCCAGTATGAAACTTAAATAGTTAGTCCCTGACTTAGGATCACAATTAATTCAAAATATATGTTGCTAACAAAACAGTTAAGTGAGTTTTGCCCTATTTTCCGACCTTTCATGCCACATATATTAAATGAATCACTGCAATTGTTATGTTAGTAATACGGTTGTTAAATGAATTTGGCTTCGCCATTGCCTTTGCTTGTCAGAAAGTCAGAAATCACCTGACCCTACAACACTGCAACCATCATAAATATGAGTCAGTTGCCAAGCATCTGAATTTTGGTCACATGACCACTCGGATGCTGCAATGGTCATAAGTAGGAAAATGGTCATAAGTCACTTTTTTCAGTGCTGTTGTAACTTTGGTGACTAAATGAAGGTAAGTAAAGGTAAGTTGAGGACTACCTGTATATGAAAAATATTATTTCCTCAGAAATCTGTGAAGTTCATTCTTTCTTTGTTAAAGCTTCTTTTTTATGTAACATTTCATGCATAAACAAGACAAATGCTAATTCTTTAGCCCCAGTCCTTATTTCCTTAAGCTACCCCTAGCATTGTAGGAAGTTGATAGTGCCTGGAGGCCAGTGATTGGCATTGAAACCCATTCTGGATCTCTGTTAAAACTAAAAGACAGAAAAGGAGCCTGGAAACCTGAGGTCAACATGAATGATGGGTTCTGGAGTAACTGTGACAATTTTAGAGCAAGGGATATAATCATGGAGATTAAAGCAAGGGCATCCAGTCTTGGCAACTTTAAGTCTCGTGGACTTCAACTCTTAGAATGGACTTCAACTCTCAGCAGCATGGCCGGTTGGAGAATTATGGGAGATGAAGTGCATGGGTCTTAAATTTGCCAAGATTGGACAGGCCTATTTTAAAGGAAATAGTAACATGGTTGTGAAGCGAGGGCTAGAATCCTGAGAAAATTGGAGAATATGAATGGCAGAAGGATGGTGAGTTGGTTCTGTGAGGAATAAACATTCTGAGTGCACTTTTGTGAGCTTGCTGTGTGTAGGATGTATGTCTTTATTTCGTAGGTTCTGTTTGGAAAATTGATTTAGGAGTGATTTTTCTTTTCATGAAAGATACTAAGAATTGCTTTGAGTTTGAGAACTCGGATCTCCACATTTATTTTATATTGAAACACTATGTTTTGTGATTGGTCATGCCTATTCTCCTACAAAAACCATTTAAGGAATAGGCATTACCCACCAGCCCTTACATGTTCTGAAAATTTCTAATGTATTCATTGGCCCACAAAATTGGAAATCATTCTGGGCAAAATAAATGCCCAGAGAGCAGTGCATAATTGAAAGTTCAGGGAAGCCACTATGCTTGCTTGTGTTAAAACGTTCTTGGAAGTGAACACAGGGTGGCAGAATAGGCCTTCTGAGCAAGGACTAAGTCTTTTTAGTCCTACTTTCTGCTTCTCTACTTCTTTTCAATTTAGGTCAATCCGTACTGATACATCTACTTTCACAAAAATATTATTTTTAACAGCAATGTTCAAATATTATTATATTTTTAAATTTTGTTTATATGCCCTCATGAAATGAATCTCTGCAGAAGTAACCCAGCCAAAGTTTTACGGCATGGTACAACAGCAAAGGTTGATCTCTCCTGGCAGTGTTGAAATTGATGACAGCCAAAAGTATTTGTGCTGATCTTTTCTGGTCCTGCAATCTCCAGTTTTAATAACTGGGCCCACTACATGTTGTGGATCAAGCAGGGAAAATATCTTTTTGGGGTGTCAATCTCCATCAATCTGATCCCACATCAACAGTAGATGAGTTGGGGCTTTACAATTGCCTGTGATTCCACTTCAGAATTTGTATCCAATGTTTTCATAAATCAATTCTTCTGCTCTTTGTGCTATCTCATATATACAGTATGTGTATACACACACACCCCTCCACTGGGCAATTTGTTCTTAAGGCAGAAAGATGCTTAATCAATATATTTACATCTTACTTTCTGCTCAACTAAAATCCAGGTTCTTAATTATGGTCTTCGGATGGTCACCAACTCATCAGTTCTTGAGTCAAACTCTGATCTGGGTCCTGCAAAAACATCTAAAGGGATGAAAGAAAACAGTATAAATTAGATCCAGCTTTCTTGGTTTTCTTTGATTATTATTATCTTGACAACTGAATGTGCTTTTTAATTGTTCTGGGAATAAGCAGGTGAAGTAGTTTGAAACTATGATTTCTACTATGTCTGGAAAGCATTAAATTCCCCAAATATAAATTGTGACTTATTTTTCAAGACTGTTACATCGGTTATCACACAGTGAGTGAAGCAACTCTTAACCTTAGGACCTGGTATTTGACCGTGAGTCTTTCTCCCTCAAATTAGAATAAAAATCCAATAAATTAACTCAGTGATTTGCAAACACTGTTTTCTACATTTTCATCTGGCCATTTATGCCAGGCTTAGAGTGAGATTGTGTGCTATCAGTACTTTTGTGGAAGATGTACTTTCTTTTAATTATGTCCAACTGCAAAGCCTGAAAGAGAATAGCCTCATTGCCCCTGAATAAGGTCCCATCTTGGACACTAAGCCTCCATTGGTAGTTCATATGTAGTCTGGCCACTCCTCCAGTGTCTGACCATCTGTAAAACTTCATCTTCATCTATGGTCTTCTGTATTCCCATTGCCTGTCAATAGTGTTAGAAAATGGTTAAGTACTGTAACCTTTATGGATTCTGTGTCCTTCTCTATAAAATCCTCTTTGCTGATTTATAGAGGAATGTTCTGTATGAAGTTTCTCCCAGTGCAAGATGTTCTTGTGGAATTTTCATATATCAAATTATTGTAATTTTATTAAGAGTTCTTGAAACTCTTCAGGGCACCTGGCAACACTTTCTATGCAATACATTTTCAAGGTTTGTGTTCTTATTGGGCCTGCACTGTTTGGCCAAACGAAAACAAATGGAACTTCTCCATGTACAGGCAATAATTCTTTCTCAATGTATGTGTAACTCTGATCACTTTAAAAGAATGCTTGATTAGAATGTACCGTGTAGACTTCCTAGTCATCTCTCTGTTATGTTGTTTTGCAGCAAAAAGCTGTTCTGCTCAACTTTAGTACAGGAGAATAGGGATTTGGGATAGATTTTAATTTTAAAAATAATACCTGCAAATCACTTTCGGATCATTCTCACCCAATGTCCTTATTTTTTGAGTTGTGAGAGTGTTCCACAATGATCTCTTTGCAAAATTCTGCCAGGCTACATATTATGCTGAAGAATTTTTGGATTCCTTTCATGTTCTTTGGTCTTAATATCCTTTACATTGCTTTCCCAAGTCCAGCTTATGGACTCCACTTTCAGCAAGTGTCCATTATAAAGCACTTGTTTCAGTCTTAGCTGGACTTCATTAGGATTCCATTTATTGTGCCACTCTAAGAAAACAAGAAACCTATTTTTAAATTAAGTCTTATATTGTTTCTGTTTCAGTATTTTCTTCTCCAGTAATGAGGATGGCAGCTGTAATTACTTTTCTGCCTGAAAATGCTCCTTATTTATTTATTTATTTTATTTTATTTTTATTTTTATTTATATGCCGCCCTTCTCCGGAGACTCAGGGTGGCTTACAATGCGTTAAGCAATAGCCTTCATATTTTTGTATATTTTATACAAAGTCAGCTTATTGTCCCCACAAACTGGGTCCTCATTTTACCTACCTTAGAAAGGATGGAAGGCTGAGTCAAGCTTGAGTCTGGTGAGAATTGAACTCGCAGTAATTGCAGGCAGCTGGAAGCTAAATACTACCTTTTAACAGTAGCATTAGTCTGCTGTGCCACTCAGGTTCCTCTTTTTGATTTAGGTTTTAATGAAATCCAACAGGGCTTGGGTTGCTGATCCTTGTTTCTTTATTTACTTATTGATTTTTATCGTGCTGTTATTATTTTATAAGTAATTCAAGGCAGAGAACATAAATAATAATCCTTCCTCCTTTGTTTTTCCCACAACAACAACCTGATGAGATGGGATGGGATGGGATGGTCCAAGGCCTAAGGCAGCACTGGAACTCACTATTCTACACCAGGGGTCTCCAACCTTGGCAGCTTTAAGATTTGTGGACTTCAACTCCCAGAATTCCTCGGCCAGCTTTGAAATCCACACATCTTAAAGTTGCCAAGGTTGGAGACCCCTGTTCTACACTATTGTTCAAACAGCAAAGTATCACAGATTCCTAGGACATTTAAGATATGATGACCTGCACAACTCTGTTCCCTTGCAATGGTCTGAATACTGATCCTCCCAAAAAAATAAAATAAAAATTATGAGTTCTTGTTTAAATTTGGAAATCTTAATTTTACCCTTGTCCGCTGCTTTTAGATTTAGCCTATTGTACATAAAAATATACTTAATAGCATGCTATTTATAGGAAGAGAAGACTAGTAGCACATTGAAGGTGGATCCACAATCTAGTTAAAAGAGAATAGGTTGTCTGTTCTGTTGGCTATCATGTTAATGAACAATGGGGATATATTTCATTCTTTCTGATATTATTCACTCTGCGGACATTTGCTAAGACGTGATTTGGAATTCCTGAGTTCAAGTTTTGGATTTCATCACAACGTTTATATTCCTCACTGTCTGCTTGTATCATCTTTACTTTCCAATTGTAAGGTTTCCTCAGTAGATTCAGATTTATCTTGCACATTGCTGAGTAACAAGTCAGCAACATTCAGCGCCAACTGAAGCTCCAGGCCATCTAACAAAGGCTGTTCCTGTGGAGTATATTGCAGAGGTCAAGAGGCAAGGTTATTATAGCATGACTCACCATGTGTGGAAGTTCTGATCCAGAAAGCACTGTAGTTAGCATTAAAAATAGGCACATGTAGTTGTTATACACTGCAGTGGTGGTTTTCATGAAGATTATACAAACATACTTATAAGTATGTTAACGGTGTTGATAACATACTGGAAAATAACCAATATTCTCACATTGCAATAGTTGTATCTTAACATTCATGATATTGACAACTTTTTAGCCCCTCACAAGCTTCCTAAAATTAATGACCAAGAAATAGAGAATTTAAAAAGTGAATGGTGAACAGAATCTTAATATTATATGTTCTTTGCTGAGACGTGATTTTGAAAGTTGTCTACAAATTAACAGGGCAGTTTGACATTGAATTTTTATAGTCATCATCCATAAATAGAATGTGGTACTAAGGGCTAATCAGCCAAGAGCTTAATATAGCATCACACTCTAGTTTTGCAACATTGCGCCAAGTTTTCATTACAGAAGAAAGCATAACTTCAGGGTTCCTCCTCCTCCCAGGTTATAAACATTAATTATTATACCATGGTAGCCAAATCGGTGGCCTAACAAATCAATTAATTCCAAGGCATGTTCTTGGATTTTGAGACAGAGTTTTCAGCTATTTTTCATCACAAACTCTAGAATAACCAATCCAAAAAGAAAGGGATTTTCGCTGTTCTGATGGTACTTCCATTGCAATGACTTCTGAATGACCGACATTTAAGACCTCTTCATCTTTTTATTTAGACCAATGAGATACAACAACACAAACCACAAAGAGACTCTTGTGATAAGATAAACAAAAGATGAGTATTTGGAGTTCACAGACAGATGCACCCACGTATCCAGTGTAGAATGACTATTTTCCTGCTTTTTCTCATGGCGTCTTGTATCATCACATGTGGCTATTTCTCAAGAGAACATGTAATTTTGTGTTATTATGAGGTGTAGGAATAATCACAATAAACCCTGTGTATCCTTGAAACCTTTGGGGTTTGATTATGCTTTTACATTGGTGTATTTCAACCATTTGGATATGGTTGAAATTTTTTATACCGTTCACTGGGTGAATTCACTGGGATTTATTTTGAAGGAGACATATATATGTTTTCATTGCAAAATCTCCCTCTCTGGTAACTGGACATTGCTGTGAATCTTGCCATTCTGAAATTAAATGTCTTTGCTTTGCTATTGAAAGCTAAAAATAAATCCTTGCTGACAAAATGCGTGAAAGCGAACAGACAATACTTTCTGGTGATACCACATGCTTCAAGATAATGAAGGGTCAAATACAATTATATATAATAATGATGCATCCCGGAGGACAGGGAGAACAGAAAATTAAATCCCATGTCACTGAGAAAAATGACATATTTTACAATAAGAAACAGTTGCATGTGCTTTATTTATCCATTTTTCCTATGGCTAGGTTTAAATTATATCAATGCAATTAGCAATTTGCTTCACTGCAGCTGAAGCATGCGCTTGTGCATCTGAAGGGAAAAATCCTCTTTAATCTCTAGTGAAGAATGTTGTTTCATTGATAGCTAAGTAAATTTGCCTTGCTCCTAAATGTTTCATTTTTTGCAAATGGCAAAACAAAATCTAGCTCCTTTTCTAACCAGTTATGCTGGGCTTCCTTTCAGTGTAAGGATTCTTATTTAGAGATTGTTACAAAGGGAGGGGAAAGGTGGTTGGTCTTTGTTTGTCTGTGAGGGGCGGGTTTAAAAAAGTCAGAAGGGCAAATACGAGTATACAGTCTGAAGCCCCGCCCCCTTTTTCCATCATTGATCATGTGGTTGTAGCCACCACCCTGAGTTTTTTTACTTCCACCTCACAGGTCCTCCAAGGCCCCTTCCAACTCTATGATACTATGATGATCCCTCTGCCCTTATAGGATGTACAGGTAAACCTCATTTAGCGACTGCCTCAGGTAGCAACCATTTGCAGTTATAACAACGATGAAAAAATAACTGTGTAACCAATCCTTGAATTTTTCTCTCCCAGTCATGTGTTTGCCATTACAGTCAGTACAAAATCATAAGCAAATGTGAGTCATGCGATTTTTCACTTAGCAATTGCTTTGCTTAACAATCAAGTTGCCAATCCCAATTGCAGTCGCTAAATGAGGACTACCTGTATAGAGCAAATCCTGGAACTGCTTTAGACAGCTTTATCGTCCTAAACTGTATTATAACTCAAGAGAGAAATATGGAAACTGGTGTTCATGATCACCTGAGAACACTGAAGTAATTTCTTGCAAAAAAGGAAAAGATCATCAGTGGAAGAAAGGTTTTATTAAGTGACATTCTCATTCTCTCCCTCCATCTCTCTCTCTCTCTCTCTCACACACACACACACACACAGACACACACACACCAGCAGTGTTCCTAATATGATTCAGCAGCACATTTCAGATATTGAAATCTTTAATTGGATGTATAATATGATATATCCTCTGATTTCAGATAGAAAGGTCTCTGTACAATTGGGGATTCTTGTGTTTTAAAAAGGTGTTGTCATGATTCTTGGAATTTCATCAACATTTTCTTCTTCTTGCACTGAGGCATAAGGATTTAATGCAAAGCTTTTGCATGCAGCACATAAGCTAGTCATTCTTGTAAATGAAACGATTGAGGTTATTAGCTGCCTGTGGGTACAAGCCCTTTTTCAAATTTTACCGTGTTGTTTGACTAGGGGATTTGGGGTTATGAAATCTAAACAAGCCACAATTTGTAAGTCAGTAACAAACCCTGTTTGAAACTGCTTTATATTTTTAGCCCACCTGGGAATAATACAGGGTTTATTCATCATGCAGTGATCTCTCTGTTGGGTTAGTTTATCTGCTTGTGTAAAGAAGAAATAGCTGTACATGTGAACATATTGCTTGTTCCATTTGGCTGAAGAACCCAGGATCCAATGCTTACTATATGTATGAATTCTATTGGTTGTTCATTGTGGGACAGAATGTGCCATAAATGTGTTCCTTGTGGGACTTGTCTTTCTGAAATATGGTACAATGTAATGAAATTGTATGTTTCATTGATCAAATGTATTCATTGGCCACAATTCTCTGTTTACTATTCAGATGGAAAAGAGCTGGCGTTTTATGAAACAAACACTCGGTATTTTCTGTTTCCTGAGCCAAAGCTGACTCCTTCATATCCTGGAGTGGATCGAGAGCTATTAATGAACACCCATCCTTCTTTCCCGGTATGTTGGTATGAAGTGAGATTTCATCTACCAAAGAAAGAAATGTCTGCTTAGTAACCCAATCTTGATAGGAATTATTTGATCTATCAACTTCTTGCTTTTTACTTGTGAATGTTATATAGTTAGAAACTCTTCAAAGCACAAAGCCCTTTATAGTAAAATCATTTCTGATCATTCAAAGGGTAAAATATACTACAGTGATAGCCTCAGTTGACATCATGAAAACAGTAGTTAGTAAGTTAGTGATAAACCATTGCACTGTATGGGAAGAGCTTAATTTTTTACTTGGAATTTGGATTATTTTTTAAGTGACAAAGCGTGCGTCAAAGTTTTGGGTGTGATTTTTTTTTTAATCTTATGTGCTAGTGCAGCTTTAATTTAATCTGAAATGGGCCAGAATTAAAACCCCATAATTCTCAGCAGTTGTCTGGACAGCCCCAGAATTATGAAAGATAATAACAAGAGATTTCCTAGGTGGAAATTGTTGGGTTTTCTCCCTCAATTTTTGCCAACTCACATGATTGTTTTATGAAAACATATATTAAAAATTTACAAGAGTTCTAATCGTTCATCTTTATTTTCATCTGATAAAGCTGTTGACGGAGAACTCCTTTCAATCTGTTAATCCTTTTTTGAATATGTATTTAATTCTTGTGCAATGTTGAAAGTGTCTTTTATGTTTCCAAATGGAAATAATGTTGGGAAACAGAAACAGTGACCTTAAGAGCCCTGAGGGATATATGTGTATATATATCATAAATTCAGGCTAGAGATATCAAAAACCTGAAGCTTGATCCCAGGCTAGGGGCATGGCAGAAGCTTTCAAAAAGCTACAATGGCAGCTGTGGCTACCTACTTTTTGAGAGCTTTCCTTCCCAAATTGTGTCATGGTTTATCTAAAGTAGGCACTTATACAGGTAGTTCTTGACTTATGACTGGTCAAAGTTATAACGGACCCCTAAAAGATACTTAAAACCTGGATTTGAAGTTCTGATGGCTGCCTCCCCCCCACCCCCTGCAATTATGAAATCACATTTTAGGCCATCAGCAGCTGGCCCAAGTTGCCCACCATTTACAGTGTCCTGTAGTCATATGACCACAATTTATGATGGTTTTTTGCCAGAAACTGACATCTATTTCTGGTTTATGACAAAAAATACCCATTGTGGACAATTGGCTTGCTTAATGACTATTGAAAAAAAAAAGTAATATCAAGTCAGTCGTGTGACCTGCTTAATGGCCGACATATCTTACAACCATAATTTCAGGCTCAATTATCACATACGTCAAGGATTACCTATAATAACTAAGTAGGTCTAACAAACTCATTGGTCCCTTCTGCTGGAAGGAAATATAGTCTATATAAAGTTAGAAATTGATTCAGAATGATTTAAAAGTAGAACACACATATGTCAATCAAACTAAGCAATTTGCTAATCAACCCTTATGTTGCTGTTCCCTGAGATAACTGAAATGATACGATAGCTCAGCATAACTACTAGCTAGAATCTGAGTTGCAAATAAAAATATTACTTGGAAGCAATCGGTAAGTTTATGATGCAACCTTTACATGCTTATTTGAAGTAATTTATAAGTATATGCACATATTAATTGTTAATTTAAATTGATTTCTGTTTTACCTGATGTTCTTCAACAATGAAAAATAGTTGCACTCTCATGTAGTGCATTAATGTATTATCATGTGCTGCATGCATTTATTTATATTCCTCATGTTAAAATTGTTTAAAGGGCATTGCACCAAAATTAGAATTTTCAACAAGAACAACTATTACAGAACTTCCACTTCTTCACAGCAAGTGGTATAGTGTAAGTAATTTTAATAAATTGTCATTTTTAGAGCCAATTATATTTGCTCAATCTATTTTTTTCCTTATCTCTATTCTTAATTCAGATAGTCCTCAACGTGTGACCACAATTGAACCCAAAATGTATGTTGCTAAGCAAGAAATTTGTTAAGTGAGTTTTGTCCCATTTTATGACTTTTCTTGCCACATTTGTTAAGTGAATCAGTGCAGTCACACGGTTGTTAAGTGAATCTGGTTTCCCCATTGACTTTGCTTGTCAGAAGGTCACAAAAGGGGATCACATGACCCTGGGACACTACATCCATCATAAATGTGAATCAGTTGTCAAGCATCCGAATGTAAATCATGTGACCATGGGGACGCTGCAATGGTCATAAGTGTGAAAAACTGTCATAACTCACTTTTTTCAGTGCCGTTATAGACTAGACTAGACTAGACTAGACTAGACTAGACTAGACTAGACTAGACTAGACTAGACTAGACTAGACTAGAATAGAATAGAATAGAATAGAATAGAATAGAATAGAATAGAATAACAGAGTTGGAAGGGACATTGGAAGTCTTCTAGTCCAACCCCCTGCTCAGGCAGGAAACCCTACACCACTTCAGACAAATGGTTATCTAATCTCTTCTTAAAAACTTCCAGTGTTGGAGCATTCACAACTTCTGCAGGCAAGTTGTTCCACTGATTAATTGTTCTAACTTTCAGGAAATTTCTCCTTAGTTCTAAGTTGCTTTTCTCCTTGATTAGTTTCCACCCATTGCTTCTTGTCCTGGGAATAATTTGATTCCCTCTTCTTTGTGGCAACCTCTGAGATATTGGAACACTGCTACCATGTCTCCCCTAGTCCTTCTTTTCATTAAACTAGACATACCCAGTTCCTGCAACTGTTCTTCATATGTTTTTCATATGTAACTTCATATGTAACGGTCACTAAGTGAATTGTTGTAAGTGGAGAACTATCTGTATTGCCTTCCCAACTGATTCCTGAGATTACAAACCAGATATATTTTGCAGGATCGCAATAAAATCAAGTTACAAAGGGAGCCTTCAACATCACCCGAAAAAAGGAGCATCTCACCAGTGCAACATAAGGCAGCAAAAAGTCGGAGTTGTAAGAGACTTTCGAGGTCATTTGAGTCCCGCTCCTCATCGCCGAACTCAAGAAGGCGTCTCCATGAAGTCTGCAGAGATAAGGACCCGCCATCATCTTCCCTGAACCTGAGAGGTGTTCGGTTCAAAACAGAAGCGGAGCACAGGCCGCCTTTCGTAGTTAGGCATGTAAGTCCCAAATATACGATGGAAATGTTCAGTTCAATATTGGGGCAGTTTTCTCAATTTAAAGCTTCACGAACATAATGTTGTAGAAAAACAAAATGCATCTTCCTTTTGGGGTGATCGAATAGAACTTATCAGAGCTTCATTCCATAAAAATTAATTTCAATTGAATGATAGGTTTCAGTTGGGACAATAAAGAACACTCCTCAGTGTAAATTGGAGCACAAAGAAGAGGAAAGTAAGAAGTTAAATATTTACCTATTCTACTTCGGAGGGAGCATCTTTCCTTTTTCTCTTCTTTTGTAACATTTATAAGCAATAATAAAGTGCAGATGTTGACTTTAAACTTAAATTATACTTGTTATATATCGTAAAAACTAAATATATCCTGCTTGGTATCTTTTAACAACATTATATTGATAGGCAGTTGTGTAAATTCATTAAGGATCTGTTCATCCATAGGTAATATCTTTTTTTAAATGCACCTTTGCTTTAAATAAAGCAAAAGGATGATGAGGCTCAATTATAGTCATTTTTTAAAAAAAAGAACATACATCAAATTGGGCTGATTAAAATTCAAATTGGGCTGATTTAAATAGATTCTATTTTTTATCTGTGTGCAATCAACATACACTGGAATGTTATCTCTGTTGCTAGATTCTAGAATTTCAGATTGACAATATATGGTTCTGTTGATGGATTGCATCCCATCATCCTCACCATTAACCATGATGGCTTGGTCTGATGAGAGTTGTAAGGACACACTTTTCTTCTCTCTGATGCTAGGCTCTCTCCAGCAACATGCAAATAGCCTTGATTTGCCTCAACTTCCCATGTGTGTTTTGCATTGTACAGAAAGTACGTGTGTTTGTACAGATATGCATACATGTACATGTACATACACACACACATACTTTCAGTCAATTCCTTTTACTGCATCTAGCCATAAAATAAAGTTTTGGCTGTCATTTTTTCCTCTGTTATAATAAAAATTGGGGAAGTACATAATTTCTTATTGACTTAAAGATGTTTACAAACATCTATAAGTGCTACCAGTGTGCCTTTACTCGGATGTAAGATGTACATCTATTGGTGGGGATTCTTGCCTAATAAGAGCATTTGGTCTGGATTTCTGATGAATGATGTTCATTGATTTCAAAGAGTTTAATCCAGGTAAGCATGTGTAGGTTTATGGTGTAACCTACTACTGTCATCTTCAGGCAAAGCTGATTGTAATGTTTTCCAAGAAAACTCTCTGGTGCAATTTTCACTTTTCTTCCCTTCCCAAAATTAATGTTCCCTTTCTTGTCTCTTCCCTGCCCATATAGAGGCAGTTACATTGATTTCTTTCTCTATAACTAAAGAAAAAACTTTCTTTAGAAGTTTTCATAAATCCAGTATTTCAGTATTCACAATATAGCCCTTTTCCTCTGTAAATATCAAAAACAAACATCTCAGGATGTCATCAATCCCAGTTAGTAAACCATTTCTCCTATTCTCAAGAAATGCCAGGATTTAATTAACAGCAAACCACTTACTGTGATAGACTTAATACACTTGGGTCTATTTAAACCAGGGATCAGCAATCCGTGACTCTGGAGCTGCATGTGGCTCTTTCATCCTTCTGCTGCGGCTCTCTATTGCTGGTCGGCTCCACAATTGATAGGGCTTTCATTTAGGATAGGTAGAGGAAAAAGGACGCCGTGCTAGGAGGAGACTCTATGGTGGGAGAACCGGACTTCCAGTCAGCAGAGGAAAAAGGACGCTGCACTAGGAGGAGACTGATGGGGGAACTGGACTTCTGGTCAGCTCCAGAATTGATTGGAGGCTTTCGGTTAGGACCTTTGTGGCTCTTTGAGTGTTTAAGATTGCTGACCCCTGATTTAAACAGTATAGGTTTAGATGTAACAAGACAATGATCCTTTTCTACACTTGATAATACAAAAGTGTGTATCACCCACTATTTGGGGGTAGGATAAAGTCAACATTATGCAAGCTTATACACATTGATTTATTATTTTCACAAATAACTCAAGGCAGTGAACACATCCTTCCTCCTTCTATTTTCCCCACAACAACAACTCAGTAAAGTGAGCATGCTGAGAGACTGTGAATGGCCCAAGGTTTTCATGGCTAAGGTGGACTAGAACTCATGATCTCTGGCGTTCTAACCTGGTGCCTTTACCACTAGACCAAACTGCCTCTCAGTAAATTTATCTACACCATTAATTCTGATCCCCCACCCTTACTTTGAAAGAGGAGAGACCAAGGTCCTGATTCATTCAAAGGCATTAGAACTTCCAGTTGCTTCATTGAATTAATTTTGAATAAATAAACAATGTAATCACAATCAATAGAGCAGACTGACCCAAATTAATCAACTAGAACAGTAAGCAATAAGGAAACAGCCATAGTTGGGTTCTTGGGAGTGGAGATAAGTGGATCACAGTGTTTTCAGCTCATAATGTATGGTACATTTTAAGCCAAGAAATGCATTAAAAATTGGAGTATGAAAAATAAATAAATACATAAATAAATGGCATTCCTTCCTATCTACACTATAGATGTGGCCCATATAAAGACCTCAAATATCCCTGCATTTGACTTATAGACATCTTAATGTCGGGTCTAAAAGCAGCCCACTTTTTGATCTTAATTCGAGTTTTTAAATAACCAGTTGTTTTAATATTTACCCTGCAATCATATTAAAGCTAATTAAATTAAAGGATGTTATGGGCAAATGTGCATAAGTAATAAGTGTACCACACACCCCTGAAACTTTATTTCAATGATTTCAGTATTGTTTAGGATTCCATTTTGAGATTATTTCCTATTATTTTTAGGTGGATGCTTCTAAAGGATTTTCTGAGGAAGCTCGGTCTCCCTTATCGTATCAAAATGCAAGACAGGGTACCATCACATCAAAAAACCCTCACAAATACCAGTTAAAACGAGGTACTTATTCATTTATTAGGCATTGATTTAAAATGTTAATTGTTTTTATGTCTGTTTACATCTCAGGGTGCTATGTTTTGATGCTATGGAGGCTGAATTTTGTCATTTTTATTTCTTCTGATGAACATATATATGTGTGTGTGTGTGTGTGTGTATATTATGTGTGTGTGTGTGTGTAAGTTAAAGTATATAAATCACATAATAATGTTAAAATTTTACATCTTGTGAGGTGGCATTAAAACTGTCTAGGGCTGCATGTGGTCTACAGGCCTGATCTAGATGCACTAACTACTTAGATCTTAAATAAATTAGTAGAGTTATTTTAGAGCAAAAGCAGAACCTCTAATTTTATTTAGTAAATAAAAATGTCTGTTTCTGTAAATTACAACAAAGATCGTTATCAGTAATGTGCATTGGAGACCACAAACCACATGGCTGGACTAGTTGAGTAATTTTAGTGAATGACGCACAGTCTCTATGGCCCAGAAGATAACCCAGATCTGTGATTTAAGCCAAGTTGTGTAACTCATTAGTAATCTTGATTCTTTTCTATATCAGATGTTGTGTTAATACCTTTCTTAATGGTATAAAATTAAAATAGAATATGGCACATAAATACAAATCCTTCATAATGCTGTTCATGCTGAGGAAAAATGTTCCTCAGACATCACATTTTGTACCTTCTTTCAGAAGATTCTTCTTGTAGTCATTGCTGCATGCACTTGCTAGATAATATTATGTAGGAAATCTGAAATAGATTATCCGTGAAATAAAGGTGCAGTTGTTACATAAATTTGGAAGAGAGCCAAGTAGCTTTCATTAGAAGTCTTCTCATAGAGAGATTTTTTCCCCTCAAATCATAGATTTCTCTACCTGGGAAACTGCCATCTGTTTCTCTGCTCCTGACCCAAATCTGTCTTTTTTAAAAAAATCATTGTAACTGAGATAAGCTGCTGTCCCAGGTGCTCGTTAGATATCCATGGATTTGCATGTTTCTTCCAACTTCATACCATTTTTGTAACAATTTAAAACATTAAATATTAACTAATTAGATACATTTGCACTTTTATATGTCTGGATAAATGTATTGTAAATACTTAATTAGCATGTTACAGTAGAAGGTGCTATCAGTGATGAAAACACTTCTGAGTTACTCAGTTGTGAATAAACTGTGGCATTTAGCCAGCTAATAAATAATCATAAGCATCTATATTACATACAGTTCTTTCTCTGGTTTTCAAAGTAATGTGTGATATGGGAGTTTGCTCTTCCTTGCCAAATCGTTTTCTCAACTGCTAATAGAGGGAAACAAGTGAGGTTGTCTCTTTTCTTGAAAGCCCAATTGTATGTTGTCAAAATTCTGGCAAACAAAGGAGCAAAACCTTTCATGCATTAGTATTTCCTTTGTTGAGCTTAACATGTTTCTTTTTCTTGTTAATCAGGAAAAAAAAATACTTTAGTCTAAAAAAAATATTTTAGTCTAAATTTCAGAGAATCAGGGCATTGTGTCATTCTAAACCACTGCATATCACAGAGAAATAGACAACTTTTGTGCTCTCTGTCTGTTTACCTGTTCAATTTCTATCCTTGCCCATCTCAGTCAATGACTCTGGATGGGATACAATTCAAAGAATATATTGCAACCAAAATATTAAAACATTTTAAAACAATAAAAACAATAGAAATATGCAAAATATACATATACCTAATTCAGTCCAGATTACCCAGTTCCATGCTTTGATCTTCCCCAAATGGCTGCGCTTCAATCTCTAGCTACACTCCAGACCATTAGTTATAGATTGTTCTATTCTTAAGCATTAATCAGAAGTTCTAATTCAGCAGGAAGCTGTAACCATGCCCTGTATTATATACTTTAATAAATGTAGCCAAGATCTACGCCTGAAATTTCAGATTGTACCTGAAAATTGATTAGAGCTGGATGACAAGTATTGCAGAAAATAGATCTAGCCAGACATGTTAAACTGTCCTGTGAGCTTTCATAAACTATCTTTTACCATACAAGGTATGTGCAATATAAAAATTATATGCATTAATCAGAATGCTTGTCATTGTTTCTTGTAGCAATTTCGTTTGATAGCTGGAAAACAACATCTCCAGCTGCTAAGGTAAACATTTGGGGAGAGGTTTGTAAAAACATGGCTAATAAGTTAATTGATGAATTCAGAATTCTGGATCATTTAACAAACTATTCCACTGTATAGTTAATATAGCCTTTGATGTGTGAGCTCCACCCCCCACCCACTCCAATGCTAGAATTCAGAATGGAAAATGGCTGAAGCATCAATGTACCTGACATTGTAAACTTGGCCTGTGTGAGACAAATGCTTATTCCACACAGGTGATAGTATATATATATAAATGAAAATCAGGAAGTTACATTTGACCACTTCCTCCCTGGAGGTCTGTTCTGGGAGTCCATTGATTCCATTAATACTCATCAGTGGCAGCCATCTATGTTTTTCTTTTCACAATTAATTTTCCTTGTTCTGACTCCATCTCCTCCATCTTGTTTCCCTCTAGATATGTTTGGAGTCTGTAATTGCCATAATGCTGGTTGGTACTTTGGGGAGTTGTAATCTGAAAAACAGTAGACAACAGCAGACTTCTCTAATTATTGGGAAATTCTTTCTTCTTCATAGGTTATCAGAGAACCAGCTGAAGACCAAAATTTGGATTATGAGTCATCATTTCATGAAACAAGGCCATCTGCTGCCACTTACGCATGGAAGACCCCTGGTCTTTGCCACAGAAGTTCTTCCCCAAACCATTATGAGTCAACGAGTTCTAGTGGAAGATGGGTATCTCCCCAACACAGGTTATCACTCTTAGATAATTAAATGTTAAATGTAGCACCGGTTGTCCATCTATCTAGTTTAGCGCATATCCCCATCACCAGAAATTGTTGACAGCTGCAGTTGATGCTGCTTCTTGCCTTCATTGGTATTAGTAACAGTCATACAATAAAGTTCCATCTCTCTGTCAAGGAAGCCTCAAATTCCCACTTCTTGATTATAATCTCTATTACCAGGAAAGAGGCCTATTTTTGCCTCCCTACCACTGCATAGGCTATGTTAACAGTTGTCAAAGAACTACTGTAGTTGCAAATGAAGTCAGCAATCAAGCTCAGTTCAGTCAAGGCAGCAGATCAAGAAGTTTGTATATACTGTAGCCTGTTTTGGATGCATTATATCTTGCTTGCTCATGTCTTCTTGAATGATCAGTTTTACGACTTATGATTGCATCCAGATCTAGCTTTTTGTGTAGATGCCCACTGTTCTCTAGTCCCCAAAACCCTTTTCAGCGATTGGTTGATTTACTAGCAAAATCTCTTTAAGGCTTTTAAAATTTTATTTCATTTCTCTAAACATCTTGTACTGTAGTCTCCCATTGTTGCAGCTGCACAGCAACTAAGATAGTACAGATAAAGACTTACGTAAGCAAGAAATTAAAACAAATGATTGCTTCAACAGAAGAAATAACGTTGATTAGTAGTCTACACTGCAGTAGAACTACAGGACGTGAAGGTTAAAATTAAAAGTAACATTCATGTTAGAGTCCTCCAGAATGCTGTAATTAGGGCTATTTTTGAAGTCGTCTTGGAAACATTAGCTAGCATGAAATTCAGCCACCAGATCTATTGTATGAGATTTAGAAGCTGCCTGATCTGCATAACCTACACTAAAAACAAAAAGAAAATTCCGTGGGTCTGGACATGCACACTGCCTGTATGTAAACATAATTAACAGGATCCCACCAAGATCCTACCCCAAGATCTGGAAGAACACTTAAGATTTGGCTCTTATCCTGATGTTCTGAATCTCTGACTGATATCATTCCGGGTAGGTGCCACTATAGAGAAAACAAATTTCCTGCAGCCCAATAAATGGTGCCATTGAGTGACAGGATCACTCCAGCTCTACCTGGTCTTATCAAACTATAGGAAATAGACAATCCTTCAGATAGCTTGGCCCTTTTATCTGTTTGAATAGATTTGTCCACACTATTGCTAATGCTTAGCAAAATTCCTGCTGCCCGTCTTTTTCTAGACACAGTTCCAAGACATTTAAAGCTTTCAGAAAGGGATCACCATTGACTTTATAGCCCTTTTTCACTCTGAATCATCTGTGAATCTCAGAGACTTTTTCTGAGGTGATTCCAGGACCAGAAACCTTTCATTTGAGCATGTCCCGATTCTTACAATTTAGAGATCAGCTAATAGATTTTATTTATCAAATCTATAGCGATACTGGATGGATTTTATTTAGTCTGTCACAAATTGGAATAGTTATTTTTTATACTCTGTAAAGTTTAGATTAAAATTTTGTTGCAAGCTGCCTCAGAGAATTTTGTTAGGGGGAACAAAATTTTGTTAGGGGAGAAAAGTGCCAATGACTAAATTAGATATATCTATGTATATGTATATACTTGGATGAAAGATGACAATGTCTGGAGTACTTAGCTATTGACAATTTAAAGTGAAAGTCCAAGTGAAAGTCTTCTGCATTTTCTTCTCTCCTGCTGACTAAAGGATACAATGCAGTGATGCTGATCATCTTAGATTAATAAAAATATGAGCTAAGATCTAGGCAAGTCCCATAAACAATTCTGACCTTGTGGTATAAATAGCAAAAAAAAAGGGAGAATTTCACACATTGGAATCGCTTGGTAAAAGAGATTCTTCAGGTTCTTAGTCAGCTCTTTAGCAAAAGTTTATCTCTGCGGCAAAATAGTGACATTTGCTGTTCAAGTTGTGAGCCCAACTTGCAGAAAACAAAAGCTGAACGTATTTTGCAGTCATATTTAGTAGTAAAGAACAAGGGAGATCTGTTATTAATGGGGAACCTGTGGAAATGCCAGCAGACGGAAGTACTTGTGTTATCTGATGGGACCATCTGCCTAGAACGGGTGACCAACCTTGGCAAATTTAAGACCTATGAAGTTCAACTCTCAGAATTCACCAGCCAGCCATGGCCTAGACCAGGGGTCAGCAATCTGCGGCTCTGGAGCCACATGTGACTATTTCACCCCTCTGCTGCGGCTCGCTGTCACTCAAAATATGTGTCACAACCGCCAATGTGTGACACCCGCTGGCACGTGATTTATTGAGCTTTTCAACCCCCAGTAGGCCAACCATGGATAAATCCCAAGAAAAGAAAAGTTTCAGACGTAAACAAAATGTTTAATTCAACTACATATGCTAGATTTGTGGCTGCTCAAGAAATAGTCAGGCACGGGAAGGGTTTTGTGGCTCCCGGTGTTTTCTTTTCTGTAAGAAATGGGTCCAAATGGCTCTTTGAGTGTTTAAGGTTGCAGACCTCCGGCCTAGACAACAGCATGAGTATTGTATGTCGGATGTTTTTCAGGCTTTACTCCAGCCCCAATTTCAGCTGGGAGGAGATTAATGAGAGAGTGAGGAATCTGCTTACCTCTCCTGAAGCCAGAGAACGGCTTTCCATTGTGAGTATAACTTTCTTCACCTTAAAGAGGGCTGTAAACCCTGTGAAGCGGTATATGTGCTATTGCTATTCTCTCTATATATCCTATATAAGTGCTATTGCTATTGCTATCTCTTTATGAGCAAAAACAATGGAACGTGATATATTTGATTCAGGCAGACGATGGTAGCTTTCAAGAGTCAGAACTGGAAGTTTGTTCAGCTTAAATAAGGGGAAAGATGGGTCCTGATTTCCTACATATATCATGTATTAAGCAGCTGTTTGTTAAGACTCTACAACTCTTTGGCTGGTGAATTCTATTTTTTTGTTACATTTATACACTAGCTTTTCTTCCATGGACTGTACTACTGGCAAACTTAATTCCTTGAATGTGGCTATTTGGTAGCCAAAATTGTAACAGCTATGCAGAGGGTCAGATAAAAGAGCTTTTGGGGAGAAATAAAAGTGTCAGGATTCCAAGTAACACCCCCAACAAAAGAAGACTCCAAGGCTAGATGTTCCTCAAAGTTCCACTTTATTAGAGATGTCATATTGGCACTAGTTTCCCAGAGCACTAAATATGGCAGCCCTGAAGATTCAAAGAAAAAAATGGCCTCCAGGGCTGACAAAAAGGATCGTAGGAATTAAAAAAACTAAGAGGAAAAAGTATCCTACCAATACCCCTTCCGCCATTCAGAAAAAAACTCTTGTCTGTACATAAAATATTAACTCCCCGTTGTAGCAGGGAAACTAGAAAATCAGAAGAAAGAGAGAAAGAAGTATCATAGAAAAGGATTTTTTTGGATTTCTGCCATTTTGACTTTGTATTGCAACTTTTTCTATTTGAATTGAATAACACTCATTTGGGACAGATGACTTTGAATAACAGGCAGCAAAAGCAGCAGATTCTTGTTGCTCTATATCTTTTAGCAAGCTAATCTGATTCCTGTTTGCTAGTTGGATAGTTTGGAACATGGTTATTTAGATATTTAAATGTTGCCATAAATTGTTGCTAAAAAACAACAACCCATAGTCAAATGACACCAGTATCCATTGTTGCAAAATGGCTCATGAGTTGTTTGTCAACCAAGGCTACCTTTAATTTACTATGGTAGAGCCACTTGCTATAGATAAATGCACAGAATTTGTCTTTGTGAATCTGCTGGTTCTTATAATATAAAAGAGATTGTTCTTCTTACTGGTGTACCCACTCCTTTGCACAGCTCATTTCTCTTCAGAAATCAGATGATTTTATCTCACCTCCATAATCCTCTTGTTATGCTCTGTTTAAATCAGAGAAGCTGTTTGCACTCATATCCAGTGCCCTATGTTGGAAGTGCAGATCCATGTGAGTTAACCTACAGTGACATTACTTGCTGTTGTCTCTCTAAAATGATACATACTTGTAATGAACATTAATAGAAAATTATTCTGACCAACAATGTGCAGAGGACAGTGTCATCCATCAGTTCTTCCTGAACATGTAATGATAAGCTGTTTTAATTCTTCCTGTAACAGCTGATATATTTGTTTTTAGTTGGGAACATTTAGCATTGCTGATCACGATGAATGATCCAAGTTAATGGGACAAGTATTTTGCAGGGAGCCACTGATTTTGAGATTGATGATGTCCTTGAGAGAAGGTCCATCTCTTTGAGGAGTTCCCCACACTGTGACTCAACAGAACAGAGATACAGCTTGTAGTTATGGTTGGCAAGGTAGGTTTCTTAAGCAGTCTTGTCTTGGGGGTGGAAGCAATGACATATTTCATGTAGTTTTAAAAAAAAAACTCAAGAAGGCTATAAAATCATGCACAAAAGCTGTAAGATAAGCCATTACAGCAGTATTATAGCCAGACATATTTCTAATGTCCCCGCCCTCCAGAACAGTTGGAAAATAAGGAATCACTTCTATGGAGAAAAATGACATTACATGCCGGATTCTTAATATAAGAGCATAGAAACACTATTTAGCACTGTAAGACAGTCTAAAGTCCAAATGCCAACTGAATGGTTAGCACTGCAAGTCAGTTTAAAGTCCAAACGCTAACTGAACTTGACCTTGGATGCTAGATTAAAGTTATTTAATGGTGTTAACTTTCCTGGGTCCTGGTGGGTCATGCATTCCTGGAAAACATTAAGGTTGAGGGATAGGTGTCTGGATTAGTATGCTCTGATCCATGAAATGTCTTATCTGTTTGTTTTGCTTTAAGCGTTTTTTATCCTGTCATTCATAAGCCTGCAGCCTTCAAATTAGAATAATTCACAGCAATAATGTTGCAGTCTTTTGGAAAATAAAATCTATTTTTGTTCAAAGTGGAGTATTTCATATAGTGTTTTTCTATTTTATCCCCTATAGTAATGGTTAATAAATATCTCTTTTGCAGAAAGAATGCCATGGCTTTGAGATATAGCCTGGAAGATTTATTGCTGGCAAGGTCTTCACTACAAAATGAAGATGATGGAAAGTTCATTATCAGCATGAAGTTATGTCAACATTGATTTGAACACAAGTCACCGCTGTATGGTTGCCTTGATTAAACTGAGGATTTATACATTTTGAAAGGAGTGTAAATATATTGACGTATTAAGGTTGAAGGCATAATCATGCAGATGCATGATTTGAATCATTGTTTCGGGAAGGTTGTGTATTGCTACCTTAAGATGGTACTTAGTGGATTTAAAATTAAATGCCTTACTGAGTTTAGGATAGATTGATAACCAGATATTTTTAGTCAGGTGGGTTAAGGAAGTTACCACATAATGAGAGTCCATCTCAAATAAATTCAGATTTAGAAGGTAAATTCTACATTTTTGGAGAAGGTTCTGGAAGTGCTCAGATATTTAAAGCAGAGATAAGTCCATCGCTGGAAGCTTATTCATTATAGTGATGGAAAAGTTGCCAGTGTCACTCCACGGTTGCTTTCCATGCTGTAGAAGATGATTGGGGAAGCCTTAAATTAAGTACGTTCAAAGTTCTTATGTTCCTACTCAACACAATGTTGACAAAAGAGAGACATTACATCAGACCTAGAGCTGGAGTAATTACTATCCCAGTGAAACCAGTCAGATCACACCAACTTTATAGACTTTGAAAGTGGTGGAGTCTATTCTACATACCTTCTCCAGTGTTATTAGTATTGTTCTCTCTGGATACCATCTTAATTTGTACACTTAATTTGAAAATAACTTAGAATAACTTAAGTCTAATTGGAAGAGCAGCATGGTGGTCTTGCCTCCCACTCAGAAGGTTGAGAGTTCAATCCTAGGCAGTGGTGGATGTTTCTCTCTCTCAAGGTGCAAAGAGAAAATTTTCCGTGAACTCCATGTAGGTGTCAGGAAGGGCATCTGGCCAGTAAACACTCAGCTTCATTCAGTTGCCCTGAATTAAGGGACTGCAGGGCCATAAAAAGAAGTTTAACTGACTTTAATTCTGAGTAGACATATGTACTATTAACAGATGGAATAATAGGATAGACATTTATAATGTTTGAGTTTGTTTGTTTTATTTACATCCCACCTTTATTATTTTTTATAAATAACTCGAAGAGGCTAATGTACCTATTACTTCTTCCTCTTAATTTCCCCACAACAGCTTGTGGAGTGGTTCGGCTGTGAGAGAATGACTGATCCAAAGTCACCTAGCTGGCTTTCATGGCTAAGGTGGGACTAGTATGCACTGTCTTCCAGTTTCTAGCCTGGTGCCTTTACCATTAAGCCAGACTGGCTCTCTGTTTTGTTTGGTCCCCCCTCCTCAGTTCATAAGAGTACTCTGTGCAGCAAAAACCAACATGAATTTTGGAAAGTTCAGAATTAGACATATGACTTCAGGCTTCCTTTGGCTTTGCCAGATCCCTGGAGGAGAACTTGTCTCTACAAAGAGACAAGGCTTGTAACTAATGCTCACCTTACAACTTCAATAATAAGTTAAGAGGGCACACGAAAGTTCAGCAAGACATAAACATATGTATAGAGCTGCAGTGGCGCAATGGTTAGAGTGCAGGCTACTTCTGCTGATCACCGGCTGCCAACAGTTTGGCAGATCGAATCTCACCAGGCTCAAGGTTGACTCAGCCTTCCATCCTTCTGAGGTTGGTAAAATGAGGACCCAGATTGTTGGGGGCAATATGCTGACTCTGTAAAACCACTTAGAGAGGGTTGTAAAGCACTGTGAAGTGCTATATAAGTCTTATTGCTATTGCTATATTGGACTCCACCTTACAAATGGAAACCATAATTTTTATTCTTCACTTCATATTTTTAGAGACAATATTGTCTTTTGCTTCATTCACTGGGCTTCATCTCAGATTTGCAAGTATTCATTCAACATTTAAGAATAGAGTTGACTGACAATTATTAAAGTGCCATTAAGTCAGTATCAATCCTTAATAATCACATCAATTTTCTCCAAGATGATCTGTCACCAGCCCAATAGTCAGGTTTTCTAATGGTGCAACAATCACTACTGTAACTGAATTTATCCACCCTGGTATGGGTCATCCTCTTCTTTTTCCTTACACCTTTCCCAGTATCAGAAGAGCCATGGTGGTGCAGTGGTTAGAATGCAGTTTGCAGGCTAACTCTGCATTCCCACTGCCAGGAGTTCAATTCTGATCAGCTCAAGGTTGACTCAGCCTTCTGTCCTTCTGAGGACAGTAAAATGGGGACCCAAATTGTTTGGGAAAATATACTGACTCTGTAAACTGTTTAGGGAGGGCTGTAAAGCACTGTGAAGTGGTATATAAGTCTAAGTGCTATTGCTATCAGAGCATCAGACTAGAGAGCTAATGTGTCCAAAGTAGGAAAATTTGAGCCTTGCGTGAGAATTTTGGGTTTATTTATTTGAACATCAATTTGTTTTCTTGGCTCTTCATGGTATTCTCAGAAACCTTCACTAATCACAAAGTGCAAAAAAATGCTTTCTATCCTGCTTCTTTAGAATATAGGATAGAAAGAGAACGGACGTTGCTTACCTGAACGTCCCTTCTGGGCGCGCTGCTGGAGAATCCAAAGTGTGGGTTATTCTTAGTCTATTAGTCAGAGACTGAGTGTATGTTCCTTTAATTTTTTCTGGTCACGCCTCCTGTGCTCGACTTAGGTCAGTTTTGTTCACGAAGGCAGACTGAGGAGTCCAAACGATAAGTCAAACTCAAGCCAACTAGACCTGAAACACAGAAACTCAACAGGGTGGGTTGGATTCTCCAGCAGCGCGCTCAGAAGGGACGTTCAGGTAAGCAATGTCCGTTCTCCAGTGTGCTGCTTGGAGAATCCAAAGCGTGGGATATACCTAAGCAAGTTCAATTAGGAGGGGACAGCTGACTGGTCTGAGGTGGCCTCCGAAGATCGAACTGATTGTAATACACGGCGACCAAATGATGCTTCAGCCGATGCAAAGGAGTCGACCTTATAGTGTCTGATAAATGGAGACAAGGTTGTCCATGTAACTGCTCTGCAGATTTCGGAGACGGAAGCTTGAGTTGCCTAAACCACGGTTGTAGATGCGCTTCTCATGGAGTGAGCTAGGATTCTCCCCAGTAAGGGCTTGCCTTTGATCGTATACACCTTACAGATGCACGCCTTCAGCCATCTCCCAATGGTGTAAGAGGAGACTTTCTTGCCCAATGAAACCGGGAGGAACGAGACAAATAGGGCTTCGAATCGTCGAAAAGATGCAGTTCTTTTAATGTACCTGCGGAGGGCCCTCCTAACGTCCAAGGTATGCCACTGTTCTTCTAACTGATGCCTCAGGTTCGGACAGAAATCCGGAAGAACAAGTTCTTGCGCGTGATGGAATAGCGAGTTGACCTTGGGCAGGAAGGAGGGGTCCATCCGCAGGACGACCCTATTTGAATGGAAGACACACAGATCGTCTCTCACAGACAAGGCAGCTAGTTCTAAGATTTGGCATGCAGATGTTATCGCTATCAAGAAAGCAACTTTGAGCGTCAGGAGATGGAGACCAATAGATCAAAATGGTTCGAAGGGGGAAGAAGTAAGAGCTTGAAGCACCAGAGAAAGGTCCCATGTAGGATAGCGGTGAACCACAGGAGGCCAGAGGTTGGAAGCACCTCTCAGGAAGCTCCGAATCCGCGAGTTGTGTGAGAGAGCACTCATCGCCATTGGAGAGGATCGTGTGCAAGGCCACCACTTGTCTGTGGAGCGTGTTTGGGGCCAGGCGCTTATCAAAGCCTGCTTGCAAGAAGTCAAGGACGTCAGAGACAGATGCAGTAGTTGGATCTGTATGCTTGGTTGTGCACCAGGAACAGAATGAACGCCAAGTAGCATTGTAGATCCTCATCGTAGAAGCCCGCCTGGAAGCCTGAATGGTAGAGATCACCCGCCCCGAGAGATTGTCCTTCCTCAGGAGGATCCTCTCAAGTGCCAGACGGTCAACTGGAGCCATTGAGGCTCTGGATGCAGTATGACCCCCTGGCTGAGAGATATCCTGTCCCCTGGAATCCTCCAGAGACCATCGACAGAGAGGCTCACTAGATCCGCGAACCAGGATCTGAGAGGCCAGTGTGGGGCAATTAGCAGGACTTCTGCCTTCTCCCGCAGCAGCTTCCGAATAACTCTCGGCAGGAGTGGTAAGGAGGGGAAGGCATAGAGTAGGCCCGGAGGCCAAGGGCAGCGGAGAGCATTGACGCCTTCGGCCGTGGGGCATGGAAACTGGGTGAAGAATCGTGGCAGATGGGTGTTGTTCGGATCCGCAAACAGGTCGAGGACTGAGTGATCGAACCTGTCTGACAATTCGCGGAAGAGGGATGGGTGGAGACGCCACTCCGCATGGTCTATCTGCTGCCTGCTGAGCCAGTCTGCTTGGAGATTGTGCATCCCGGCGATGTGCTCCGCTGTCAGCGACAAGACATGCTTCTCTGCCCAGGTGAGGAGTATCGTTGCCTCCGCCATTAGGGGTACAGACTTTGTCCCGCCATCGCGATTTACGTGCGCCTTTGCAGTCACGTTGTCCGTGAGAATCAGGACATGCTGGTCTGCTACAAGGGCCTGAAACTGCCAAAAGGCAAGTCTGATTGCCTGAAGTTCGAGCCAATTGATGTCGTTGATCAACTCCGCGGGAGACTATCGGCCCTGTGCAACGTGGGACTGAAGATGGGCACCCCACCCTAGCAGACTTGCATCCGTTGTTATAGTCACTCGTGGCGGCTCCTGGAACAGGCACCCCTGGTGTGTGGCCGACGAGGCCCACCAGCGAAGGGAGAGATGTACCTCTGATGGAAGTCAAACACGTGACCTAGAATTGCTGCAGCGTGCTCTCTGGTATGGTAGGAGGTACCACTGCAACTGCTGGGAATGGAATCTCGCCCAGGGAATGATAGATATGCATGATAGCATTTTCCTGAGCAGTGTCGACAGAAAGATCAGCAGCACCGTCGGGAGCGAGAGTATCTGAGCCACCAAGGAACAGATACTGAGGCGGCGGTCCTGGGACAGAAACACCATGGCTTGTTCTGAGTCTGTCACTGCACCCAGATGTAAAATGCAAGTGATCGGATGGAGGTGACTTTTCTTGAGGTTCAGGGTAAAACCATGTACCTGCAAGGTAT